GATATTGTTAGAACCGATAAAAATATTATGGTTAGGTACTTACCTGCAATCCCGGTGAGCTCAAGCAAAAGCACGGCAGAAAGCCAAGCCCCGGGAATAAAAAGCCCCAAAAAGAAAACAGCACACTAAATTATTTCTGATAGTAAAATTGCTGCTTGCATTTATACCAAAATATTCAATCTTCGAAACATTTTGCTTTTCATTTCCAAAGACTTGGCACTCATCAAATGTCTTTGGGAATGAAGACTCCAATAAGTTGGAATAATCAGATCTAAAAAAAGCTAAATATTTGTAAAAAGTAAGCTCATATTGTTATGATAAACCGTTCCAACACTTACAAGAAGCCAAAAGAACTTCGAGCACTATAAAAGACACCACGAAAATGCTCATCAGCGTCCCAAGGGAGCCATCAGCGCAAAACGAATAAGGATATTCATTAAACTGACTCAGTTCTGGGTATATCTAGGTTCGGCTTGTAAATTAAATGCCCTTCAAAAACAACAACCTTGAGACCCTCTTGTTTTGCAAGATCAGGATTGAGATTGACAAGGATCCAAAGCATACCTCCTGTTAGAATGACCGCGTGGGCCACAGCTAGTACATGTACGCCGAATTGCAGATATGGGCCAAAAAGGAGTAAATGATCTTTGGGAAGGATCGTTTGTTGACGCTGAAAGAGTGCGGCTCCCATCGATGACATCATAGTTGCCAGTAGACCCCAGGCCACTGTCTAAATGTTACTATATTACTGGACTCGTTATTATAGCAATAACTTGAATAGCAATAATTTGAGTATTTATTGCTGAATAGCTCAAACTAATTTAGATCAAACTATCCGCTTCTGAATCTTAAACCGATTTAGTTAAATTGCAGATAAATCTAATCCAAATTGAAAGGGTTTACCTTTCAGAAAGGACCTTTGAAATAGTAAAAAAACTAAAATAATACAAAAGCAGCTTTACTAAGTATTTTAAAATCAATACACTTATCCATTCTATTCCTTACTCCTTGATATTGCATTGGTACATGCAACACAGTACTCCCAAAACCTGGATAAAGAAAGCACTGGGCCGGAAAAGCCGGCAAAGCCGTGAAAATATTTGTGTAAACGCATTCGAGAATGACACAAGATAGCTAAAAATTAGATCTTTTCCTAAAAAATAGAATTTTTACATGATAGACGAAGAGATAATGTTTGTAAGTACTCCAAGCTTTGGGCGTCACTTTTAGAATCATATAGCAGCCATAGCAATTGAACAGAAAGAATGGAACTAAAGATCTTTTAATCTTAACAATTTGTAAGTTTTGTTGCGTTACCTGACATAATGCTCAGCCATAAATTTACAGTTTTGTAGTAAGTTATATCAACTACCATTGAAACTAAACAAAATATATAAGGACAAAGTATTTTATCAGAAATTTGAAATCGAAAGAAAATTCTACCATGAAATAGTTTTTTATTTTTAATTAATGCTGGAGTTTTGACTTTTTCACCTCAACTCACCTGCTTTTCTGTGAAAGAGTCTTCGTTTTGTAAAAGAAATGACCCGATGTTCTGAAAGGATTAAAGGTCAATAATGTTGTAGTGCGCTATTTGTGTGCAGAAATGTTCCAAAACAAATTTGAAAGCTAGTTTATGGATGTTAACACATTCGCGACAATACAGCCGTTCTAATCACGATTATTTTTAGTGTCAACTCAAGCTTTTAAGGATTTCGTTATTTATTTTGTAGAAATTTCTTGATAACTTTGTAATCGTTTGCAAGGGGAGATTCGGCGCTATCGAATGAACTATAATAGTTCAGTTTATCTTTGAATCTTCACCAAATTATCAGTAAAAAAGTAACGACGACGCGACTGTACGCCCAAAATACCGTCGTCGCGAATGTGTTAAATTCATGACTCTTTTGTGGTTTTTGGACAAAATTTTGAGACGGGAAATGTCCAGGCCAAAAGCCACGAAAAAGGGGTGCCCTGAAGTGGCAATATCAGAACAGCTCAGGTAGTGCAGTAGCCAAGTGTTTGCCATAGCGATGCTAAACTCTGGTGGTTGGATATTGTGCCAATAAGCTCAATTTTCTCTCAAAAACGAAGGATCTTGACACAAAATGAGCAGCTCTTTCGCCATTCTTGACAAAATTACCAAAATTACATCGGCTGGCTCACTAGTTTCTCAATAGAGTACCAAAAACATATTGGATTTTCAATATTTTAATTTCAATAACTTTCCAATTACCGAGTGTTTCACCTGGACGATTGCATAATAAACATTTGTGGGCGAAAAGATCGATTTGTAAACCAAAAGAAGAGACATTTCCTGCTCGACTAACTATTGCTGGCCTTGTATTCATGATCGTTGAGTTCGATGCTCATTCCGAGGACTATGTCTTTACGATTATTCACTGCATTTCGGGTAAGTGTTGCAATGGCAGGCTTAGATAAAATAGATCTTCTTCAGTTGTTGGCACAATCATAAACCTTTTCGGATTGTACACTATATTGGTTTATTCTCCAAAAGAGATGGGCGAGTACTCAAAAGCATTGGCGTGTCTACAGGTTACAAATCTACTCAAATCTACTCAAATCTACTCAAAGGCTAACAAGCAAGAAAATCTAAATACCGGAAATGCTGTATTACAGCGGTCGGTCGCTTCTTTTTTCAATATCCCTTCGGAGAGTCGCTCTATTAGAAGGGATCATTCTATTTTTCATAGTCCCTAATTTGAAAGAACCATGTCGGATCATAAAAATATTATTTCTGTTAAAGAAAATTTCTCATAACCTCTATTAAATATTAACAAAATGATAATAAATAACATTGAAGCTAGTAACAATTAGCTAGGAAGATCAAGAGGAACATTAAAATTGAAAAGAATCAAATCATTGCTTGTATCGTCGATTTCTGCAACGTTTGTATCGACGTTTGTGTTCAATTCTCTCAAAAGCTTGGTCATTCTTTGATCCAGACGAGCATTCTTCAACTTTTCGTAGCCTAAAACAAAAAAAAATTAGTAAAACAATAACGGATCATCCTGTTGGAATGACCTCATCTCGGCCAAAAATAATAATGCTAAAAATAAAATAATAATGTATACCGTATTCTCTCTAATAGTAGTGCACCTTGAGTGTTGCCTAAATTGCTCGAAATCTCGAAAAGCGTTTATCGGAACCTATCGATGTAGGGTCGGAAAATGTAGCTGACGATGAGATCTAGTGGGGGATTAGAGTGTTGAGCTCCAAAAGCACGGAAACCCTAAAATCGTCATCAACTCGGCTGGCGGGGTGCACTACTATTAGAGAGAATACGGTACTTTATTTCAGCATAAAGTGTGATATTGTTGAAGGAACAAGCATAAAAACACACTAAGCTAGACTTAAACTAAAGAGAATTTAAACAAAAGCAAAAAAATCACAAATTTTTAATAAAGCAAAAAATAATTCACACAAAACACACAGAAATAATTCACAGGCTAGCTACCTTATGAGATGAAATTTCAAGTTTAAAAGCATTTAATGATGTGATTTTACGAATATGATCGGGGAGAGAATGCCAAAGACTTACAACTCAAGAGGTGGAAAAGTTTCTAGCAATTTTTGAGGAGACATTGTTATGTTTTTATGTTATAGGACAAAGATTTATCAAGTAAAATGGTAACACCACCTGCGCAAGGTTTCACAGCAGAAACACTTTCACAACGAATAACGTTAATTGATTTAAGGAGTTAAGCAAAGACGAACAAATTGAATCATTTAACCAGGGCTCTGTAATGGCTAAAATCGGATAAGCTTTGGTTCTAACTAACGTTTGGAAAGTGACTAAACGATTGCAAGAATTAGAAACAATGCTGTGAGCGTTTGAATAGGAAATTTCTAGGAACGAAAGAAAGAGAGAAGCCTTAAGAGAGGAAAAATCTATTTGATTATTGTTGATCCTGAAGATTAAGGACGCGATGGTTGGGGTTGAGGACTCGTTCATATAATATTTGAAGCTGGACTGGAAATCTCGATGATGAGCTTGAGAACAATGAAAAGACGGCTGTATCGACGATGGGTTGAGTGTAGATAAATCCAGTAGAACCATTTCTTGATGTAACCTTCCGCTTCACGTTAGATGGAGCAGGCACTTTCTTGGGTCGTCCTCTCCTGTTTGAAGGCATTGTAAAGGTTTGCGATAGTAGGGGGAATTTCATTTATGTGATTCGTTTGCGTTGAAACCTCAACGACATTCCGGAGGCAGGCATCCATGCGGTCAGGTTAAGAATTGGGTGGTCGGTGAGAAGATAACGTGTTTTCTTTTGGCTTTGGAAGGGTCGGATTGACGATAAGATAGCAAATTATAAGAAATTGGGCAAATCACGGTAGAGAATCCTTGACAAAATAATGAAAAGACCCGAGCACATTTGGTACACCATATTTTGACGATAAGGTGATCTTAGGGCGTGGGCGAGACGAAGAATAGATTCCCATTCGATGGCTGACAAATATGTAGGCGTCCAATTCAAAAGCGGAGAAAATTGCGGAGTTGAGTAAGAATCGATCGAAGGTGCGACGATACGCTGGAGTGATTGTTGGGTGAAGGGGACATTCGGGAAGATCCTCAATGACCAGGTGGTACTCCGAAGTGAGCGATTTGGTTAGCACAAAGTCCTCTCGTGAGCGGAGGTCCAAATGGGATAGGTGGCAGAGGGTGGAGTGGATGACGGAGCCGCATCAGCATCAAATGTTGCATCAATTGGAGAAGTAGAAGTAGAGCTAAAGTTTCATATGGTGCCCTTAAACTTGGGTCATTAAATAATGATAATGCCTTCCAGAGAATACAAAATAAAAAAAATTTTGAAAGAAGGGGGTCGTCCTATTTGAGGGGATCGCTCTGATATAGCATTTACAATAATCTAATTTTTATTTTACAGGTGACAACAACATTTTGTGATCATATTCTCGGTGATGGTTGTTGTCCTTTTTTTCTTTTCCCCTTGATTGCAGGGGTACCATATGGATGGATGACACGCGTCGGGCTCTCCACCGAGTTCTTGACTGTATTTTTTAAATTTAAAACAAAAAACAAATGAATTATGCTAATTTGAAAAGGTTTTTGTCGTGATCTCTTTAGGTCTTGGGTATGTCTGTGCTGGGCCACACTCAAACATGTACGGTGTTTTTGTTTCTGCTTCGACTCCAATTCATCGTTCCCATGGGTCATCCGTTAAAAATGAAAACTGCGTAAACATTAGCTGTAAAATTATTGATCCAAGTCTTTTAGCTTGAAATATGCATTCTTTCTATTGCTGAATATCGCTCCTTACTTACATTGCCTGTGGTATTTGCCAGTCGTCTTTAATCATGACAATAAACAAGCTACGAATGATTACTATCGACAGGTTAGTTGATAGTTAGCAGCTTTTAACACATTCACGACAAAATCACTTTTGGCTTGGCTGTTGTTTCGGACGATAGCTATGTTATCTATGTGGTAGACGTGAAAATTCGTAATCGGAGGCATTCCGGGATAGAGAGTTTGAATCCGTTATTAACTTTGGAGCAACTTTGTGTGGGTTGCACTTAGGTAATTAAACCGAATGAAATATCCAAAAATAGAACCGTTTTCTTTAAAAACCAAGTACGAATTCGAATTTCGGCCCGATCAGCCTCAAGAAAAAGTGCTAATTCCACGTACGGCCCACCGGTGGGCCGTAGAGTCGCGAATGTGTTAAAAATGTTTTTGAAAAAGGATAAGTAAGCCCTCAGCAAGTTGAATACTCAGTTTTGGGAGCGTTCATCCCTATTAGGCTTAGGATCTAACCCGCAACTAACCTTTTAATTTACGTGATCTGTTGTCAGACCTGTAGGGATGCCTTTTCAGAAATACCCTGAATTGCTCCAATTCATCGAATTAGACAATTTCTTGGGTTCTGCTCCGGAAATGAATTTCTTTTTTCTCTACAATATTTGCAGTTTTCTGGCTATCTGTGGCACATTGATGATCAGTTGGTGGTTTTAGAATCAAATGGCTATGCACCTAGTTAACGATTGTGATTGTGGAACATTTGATACTCGCCCCGCCCTCTTTGCCATTGGCGATCGAACTTTGAGCTCATACATCTTGGTGTTGGGCTGTTCAATGAAATAGTTTTTGTACCAATCGACAGAGAAGGACTTGGCGCATCCAATGATACCAAGAATATTTAAATTGAACGGCCCAACACGAAGATATTTGAGCTGAAAGTTAGATTGCCAATAGCAAAAGGGGCGGGGCGCGTATAAAATGTCCAATAACCCTCACCAAATCCTCAATTTCGTTGGTACCAGGTTAGTGCAAAAAATGGGTTGCTAAAATTGGTAAATTATAAGTTTTATATAAGTTGGGTACTTTGACTGCCAAACCCATGGGTCCTCTTCTTCTAATATGCAAAATGGCGTGCAAAAAAGTCAAAAGTACCCCAAACCTGCTTTTGATTATTTCGCACGCCATTTAAAATGCAAATGTTCTTGGCTTAATGTAAAGTGACTTGCAGAATAGTCAAAAGTACCATGAAAAGACTTAACAACTCAGGTTTATCTTGTCTGTGCTTCTACTTTCTTCGCATTCAAGAAGAATACCTGGAAAAACGACTCATTCACGAGGAGAGGAAATTGATCAAAGCTTTAATTACACAAGTGAGCTTCTGCGACTATTAAGTAGACTTGTCCCACTAATGGTTCAAACGATCAATGCGCAAAGTCACGCCAGGCCATCTTTCAAATACATTTGTATCATTTGTATCATTTCAAGCATCATATCTTTCAAATATTTGGGTTTGATTTCTAGCGTTAAACCGTTAAGGTTGTTAAACAACTCTACCATCAGTAGCACGTCAATTTAATTTAAAAACACTGTAACCTTATTTCAGATAACAATTCCAATGATCACTGTGATCATCCCGTTCTTTTTGGGTACTGCTGTAATCATTCTTGATCAAACCAAATACACCAGTAAGTTGATCCTCAGCTCGATGCTATTTTCAACACAACGAAAGTCTGCATGAAATTGAGCAAATGTATTCTATGTGTCGCAGCCGCTAGTGATTCAATCACCATCGGCTAGCCGATGGTGATTGAAAGTTTTTTTAATGAAACATTTGGAATACAATGCAGATTTATCAAATAAAAAACTTAGGTTAATAGGACCAAATATTTTAACACTTCGGGAGGTAACTTCCGTTGTCAAATTGTTGTCTTCTGTTGCCAAATCTGCCAAAAGATGTTCTCGAAAAAAATTTTAAAACAACGCCACTCATTCCATCTTTTAGACACAAACTATTACTTTCTTCGGTGTTAAATGAGTAATAATTTTTATTTTAAGTAATAGTTGACTAATGATTTTTCAATCGTTTCTTTTTTTCGATTGATCTCGTGTATCGTTGCGACTTTTCTAGTTATTTTTTTAGAAATGGAAAGTAAATTTGTCGATCACCTTACGCAACATCAATCTACGAAGAAATACAATTGGATTCCCGATGTCACAACGCCAAAATAGTGAAAACGATCAAACGAATAACCAGTGAAGATACAAAAGAAAAAAGGACTCCTGAAGAAATAAATTTGTTGGCGCGCTTTACTTTGCAAAAGGAGAACGTTCTGGACATCATCTACAACATTGGAAGAACCGGAGAAATGAAACGGGTGATCATCAAGGAAAATCTTGAACTGTTGATGAAAACACACAAGGATCCTGGACACCCTGGAAGGGACATAATGTGGAAAGCACTAAGGGAATATCATGGAATATCGAAGGATATCATCGAGATTTTTGTCAAACTCTGTTCTGAATGTGAATTGAAGAAAGGCACGCCGGAAAAAGGAGTCGTTGTCAAGCCAATCATCACCAAAAAACAAATCGAGCGGGCCCAAGTGGATCTGATCGATTTGCAATCAGTACCAGATGAGGATTTGGATGCGTAAATGGTCGATGTGTATGCCACAAGTCGAATGTTTTGTGCAACAGTCGATGTCACAACAGCAATCCCTGCTCAAACAAGTAACATTTAATTGTTAGTTATTTTTTAGTTAAACTTGATTTTGTGCTAGCACTTTGTTGTATTGCACCTTAGGGAAGTTGTTCATTAATTTTTTTGTTGTTAAACTTGTTTGCTTATTACATGTTTGCAATAAATTGTTGAAAAGTGAATAAAGCTTGCAATTCATAAAGCAAAAATATTAAGCAAAATTTACTTTCATTTAGATGACATAATTTTTCGAATTTGGCAACAGAAGTTACCTCCCGAGGTGTTAAAATATTTGGTCCTATTAACCTAACTTTTTTATTTGCATGTGAGATAAATCTGCATTGAATTCCAAATGTTTCATTAAAAAACTTTCAATCACCATCGGCTAGCCGATCGTGATTGAATCACTAGCGGCTGAAAATCACGAGCGGCTGCGACATATATAATAGTCGAAAATTTTTTCAGAATATTGCGCACTAATTGGCCTGTGCGTCTCTCAACATGGTCTTGCCAATACCCTAGCAATACTATTATTGTATCGACCGTATCGTAAACATCTCAAAGCAACTTTGCGGAAACTGAGTAAATGGATAAGAGTTGATTGTAAGTAGTTTTTCTAAAGCCATATAAATTTTTCGATAGCCATTGTCGAGAAGTGGTTGGGTCCAAAAGTGTCTCCGCTCTGGGTCACTGCTTTCTTGGCTCAACAAAGTGCTTCAAATTCATGATAAAACAAAAGAAAGTTTAGTGTTTACTGTATTGAAATAAAAAAATTAAAAGTTTCATTAAAAATTGTGGAAATTGTTAGGAAAAGTTCATTCAATGGGATCAACAGCAGTTATTTGGTTGAGCGCACCAGTAGGGGCACTTTCCGGAGTTACAATTTCCAATGCAAGAGTCGGGGCAGCAAGAGGCTGGACGATGACGATCAGCACGACGGAACAAGTCGACCACACCATTTTGGACACCTGAAATATTGGAATGTTAATGAATAGAGGAAGTGATTGTCCCGGAATGCAGATGGCAAAAACCCACTCATTGGCGGATTTTCCTTTTCTTCGGTGGCTGAAACGAGTGGATCGATCAAGAAGAAGCAAATAAGGGCCACCACAGCGACTTTCATTTTCGATGGGCGAATGGAGAAATACAAATTGAATTTGTGTGGTAGTTGAGCCTTACAGTTGGGTATTTATACTTGCTGGTTGTTAAGTTAACTGTCATCGAAAGGGCATTCAAATCTTTACTTCTAAACTTTCTGCTTTCATTTCCGATGATAACTCTTTGTCTTTTCGCTGTAGTCGTTAGTTGAATTACCACTCCTCGTTTTGAAACAGTTTCATTTTTATTTGTTTTGCATTTTGAATGGGTTAAATGAATCAAAATCTGGTTGTACTTCTTGCTCGAAAACACTGATAAGCTGAGGAAAAAGAAAGAAGGAAGTCGCAAAGGTGGAAAGAAAGAAAAAGAAACCTCAATTTGGAAATATTTCAATTTGGAAATATTTGGAAATATTTTTAAAATATTTTAAATAAATAATATTTGGAAATATTTGAAAATAGTTTTTTATACAGACAATTCCGTGAGAGAATTTACATAGATCTGCCAGATAAGAGTCGAGAGCGCGTCATGAATAGGGTGTGTTCCTCAAGAAATAGTGCAAAATAGGAAACGAGTGCATTTAAAATAAACTGAATATCTTACAAATTGTCATGAATGTCAGAAGAAACACAATTTATTGTATGCCTGCATTTATTTATTGTATTTATTGTATATTCATATATTATAAAACCTTATTATGAAACAATTTTCAGATGGCTCGACCAACAAAGAAGGTGCTTTCAAGGAGACGTAATATAGAAGGTGGTCATCTCGCAAACCTCAAGATACCGAGCTCCAGTCAACGGCGGAACTCAAAAGCTGTTCAAGCCGAGTCTGTGAAGAAAGTCTTGAAGAAACGCCCTGATGTAAGCCAGCCCTATGATCAAGTACAGCATTTGGAGAATGCTCACCAACGACGAGCAGAGAAAGCTGACGAAAAGAAATCACAGGAGAAAGCGAGACAAAACGCTGTCTTAGTGACACAACTGAAGAAACAAGTGACCAATTCGCAAAGCAGTCAGTCCGTACCAGCAACATCAGCTTCTCCCGAAAAGGCGTTAGCACTCAAAAGAAAAGCAGGGGTCTCAGACCGCGGATTTTCTAGAATCAACACGTTTGTGCGGAAGGCTTGTGGTTACCTCATTGGATCTAGCAGACAGTTGCGGTCATGTCGGAAAAAGCTTGAAGAAATTGTGGAATACGTAATTCACGACGATAATGAAGACCAAGACGACGAAAGCGAACCCAAAAAAAGCATACGCCTCTTGAACGTGGGGAGGGTGCTGGTGGAACGGGAAAAGCGCTTGAAGTTGGACCCAGATCAAAAGAAAATCGTGGTGTTATCTCTTGATAAAGGCCATAATCGAGTCATGGCTACGGTCTCATATCCAAACAGCAAAAAGCCGTGCTCGGTTTTTAACTTTCTCCCATTGATCGTATGGGAAGGCCCGGATAATTACTCAGAATTGCAAGAAAGAAATGTGGCTGACTATTATGAGCAATTGACGAAGATGGGCTACGAAGTCTTACTTGGTGGAGACTTATTATTTTTGACAACAAATGCTGGCCTTGGAAATGGGATGCGATTCAGCTGTCTTTGGTGTTCGAAAGAGTTCGACAAAGGCAAAAACAAAGACAATGATTCGATCGATTTCGTGAAGCACCCGCCACGAAGCAAGGCTTTGGAGGATATGATTGCAACTTTGAAGCTGGTCCCCAAAAAAGAGGATGTCATCCCGGTGCCAACAAACATGGTTATTCCACCGATCCTTCACACCAAGATCAAGGTGGGCAACTATTTGTTTGAAAAAATGCTAGCTTTGGAAGGATCATCAAAGGCGTTCAAGCAAGTTGTAAAAAAACGACATTTGACTGTGAATAGGAAAGAGGAAGGAGTCATATACCACAGATTTCATGGTAACGATATCAAACGCTTATGTGTGGCACTTCCTGATTTCAAGCAAATCTCCACGTCAACTGAGTACTCCAAGGTGATCGAGGCCATGGAAGCTTTCAATGACTGGGCACAGCTAGTCTCGTCGACGAAAACGGGCCTAGATTTGATGAAAATTGCCGAAATTGCGTACAAAAACCAGCACACAGCTGAGAAAGATTGTTGTCAAACGGCAATTCTTTGTGCTGCACTCGAAAAAGTCGGCGGGCTTGGATCTAGCGTCCTTATTCACTGTATTGTCTCGCATTTGGGTTCGTTTCTGGCACAACATCGGATGATCGGAGCCGTGGTCGAGGAGGGCATTGAAGCTATCCACAGTAAGCTGGAAACGGAGATCAGGCGCCACAAGAAGAGCAAAATCGAACGACTTCTTCAGGCTGTGAAGTGGTTAGGCATCCAAGTCCTTCTAAATGATGCCGAGGAAGAAGTTAAGGAAGAAACTTTCGTAAATTAGTTTGTCTTATCTATCACTTTTATCATATTATTACTACAAATATATACAAATAAATATTCTTTTATGAAATATACTGGAATACACATCTTCTGGAGTGTTTTTTAATATAGATTCAGAATAAAAACACCTAGGAACTCAATTTTGCTTCTGTGGTCCTGAAATGGGCACTCTTCCCTATATTTGTCTAAAAGTGACGCCGGGAAAAACCTCAGAACTCATCGTAAACAAAATGCAGAGAAATGGCAAGGGTATCGTTAGAAAGAGTAAAACCAGGGCCACAACTTTGTAATACATCGTTTGGCACGTTCTTTTGGAGTGAATATGAGAAAAATCGGAAAAATCGAAATTTTGACGAATTCCTTAACATTTTGTTCGTAAAACTTTAAGCCGTAATAACTTTCTTGTGAGTAAGCTAGATTGACGATAAGCTTTTGTACATGAAATGGTGCGAAGAATTTCTCGAGTTCAAAGTCTTGAGTTAATCCAGGTGTATTTGTGGTTGTTGTTAATCCATTTTTCAGAAAAACTTGACGACAGCACAAGATTTTGGTAGAAAGACGCCAAAAATCAGGCCGTATTCCAATCTTTGAGCTGCTATTAGTTTGGAATGGTCCACAAAATTGCAAACTTTTTCCACTTTTTAGAAAAATAATGATCATCAACGATTGAGCAATTGGTTTGCCGAAATTTGTAGAGATATTTGATGGAATAACCATCATTGATTGGATGGCTTTTGAGAAAATCCCTCTACCTAATACAGAATTCCGCAAATTTCGATTAATCTTCAGTAAATTGAGCAAATCAAAAGTATCACATCTTTCAAAGATTTGAGCTTTGACTTCTGATGGAAGCAGGGAAATATTGAAATTCGAGGTCATCTGGATAAGAAGTTGAGCAATTTCTCTAAATTTTGGGATTCCTTTCTTTGAGCCAACAAACTACAGAGCTGGATGCAGTTTAGAAGCGACTTACTGTTTTAGGAAGCGGTTTAGTTTTTGAGAAAAGTCTTCACAAATCGTTTTTGTTGAAAAAAGCGGCAAATCATAAAGAAGTGAGGTAAAAATCTTTTCTTTGAGGCAACAAACTACAATTCCGATTGCAATTTAGAAAGACAGCACCTTTCTGATGTTTTTTTCTTCATAAAAGTGCTTGATGAAGTGCAATAGGGAAATGTTTATGCACATAATAGACAAAGATTGATTTCGATTAATCTTTGATGCAATTAGCAGCATCCTGGTAAATTGCACCAATAAGAACAGTGCCCAAAGTCACAATTATCAATACACGAATCGGGGCAACATCTAGGTTCAGCACGAAGGGATGAGTTGGCTAAAGATATTCAGCTATTCAATAATGAGCCATTCTAAAGATAATCAGCAATAATGAATCATTCCAAAGTTATTTAGCTATTCAATCATTCTAAAGATATTCAGCTATTCAGTTGATCACTGAATATCGTTGTTTATCATTTTCTTTAGCCGCATTCGTATCTGAATTGCATAACATGCAAAGGTTAACTTTTAAAGCTATCTAGGCAATGAGTAGCTTGATTTCAAGACAACTCACTCCTTGGCGCATTTTCATTTTCCTTAATGGCTGAGAATGAATCAACAAAGAAGAAGAAGCAAATAAGGGTCACAACAGCGACTTTCATTTTGGATTGGTGAATGGAGAAATACAAATTGGATTTTTGATGTAGTTGTGGTTTCCAATGGGATATTTATACTGGCCTTGCATTAAGTTTTAATTTTTAACCAAAAAAAAATTCAAAATATTGACTTTCACTTTTCTGATTTCATTTCCGATGCTAATTTTACTTGGATTTAACTTTTAAGGTTGCTAGCAATTGGGCATAAACACTAGTCCGTTCACAATTCAATCTTTCATCTTTCTTATCAGCTTTTTAAGGCAACAATGAGGTTTTGCCCACGCTAACAAAAAACCTAACTGACGACTCAAGTAATTATTTTGAAGGGGTCAAAAACTAGTCAATTTTGTCAGCGGAAATGAAATCAGCAATGTTTGAGTAGCATCTTTAGACAACAAATAAACCTTGGTATAAATACTCAACTTGAAGTCCCAACTACATCACAAATCCAATTTGTTTTCGCCTTTCATCAACCCCAAAATGAAAGTCGCTGTGGTGGCCCTTATTTGCTTCTTCTTCTTGGTCGATCCACTCGTTTCAGCCACCGAAGAAAAGGAAAATGCTACGTTGAGTGAGTTTTTAAATCTGTAGTTAGATGGAGATCTTAACATTGTCTTTCATATATCAATTCATATTTTAGTTTTCCAAAATGACTTTCTTCATCGTGCTGATCGTCATCGTCCGCGCGATTGTTGCCCCGACTCGTGCATTGGAAATTGTTACTCCGGAAAGTGCCCGTATTGGTGTGGCCTTCCTAACAACTGCTGCTAATCAGAATTAAATCTCCAAGTATTTCTCCTGTAACAACTCGTTTGTAACATTCGATTACTCTTTTCAATAATCCTTTCCTTTCAATAAAGCTCTAATTTCAGATCCATACAGAACATTTCACATTTGCCGCGTACAAAGCCAAAAAAAATTAAATTAAATCAGTCTACTTAGATGCTCGTTTATTTTAAGATGGAGGCACCCACGTTTTAATTTGTAATCTGAATCAAAATCACTAAAACCGAAAAACTAAACATGTTTTACGATGCCTTTATCAGAACCTTTCGCCCTCAAAAACTCCGATCCTACCTGAAAAAACGCCCGAATTTGTCATCTTTTTCGGTGGCTTCACTGATAAAAAGCAAAGAATAAAACTCAAAAATCCCTTCTTGGAAACACATCACTAAGATGAAGTTGACACTGTTGGGTGCCGTTTTATTGAATGTGGCTATTGCCCAATTCTCGTGCCCTGCTGAATTTACCTACAATAATGCCCTTGGAGCTTGTTTAAGCACTTACACTTTCTATTGTAAGTTTGATAATTCTAAATTATACTGAAAAATTGCTTCAGAAATTTCAAAAACAATTATTTAGCTAGCTGGAGCTCTGCCAACTTCTACTGTAATTATGCTGGAGCCAGCTTGCTCTCCGTGCACAACGCTATGCAGAACTCACTGTATGCTCAGATTCAAAAAAGTGGGTAATCTGTTGAAAATATTTGCTAATGTATGTGTCAGACTCATACTCAAATTCAGATCAAACTGGAGACAATCGTGGCTGGCTGGGATTGACGAAGAATGGGAGTATGTGGATGTGGACTGATGGAACACCCTTCGACTACAACAGAGTGCAAGGTTTGGTTTAAAACATTGAGTTCTCAATGCTTATCGAATACGAAACTTAAGGCACTCAAGGAAACTGTGTCTACCTTGACTCAAACGATTTGTTCTGGAAAGGAGCGGATTGCAGCGTTGATCTCCCGTTCCTCTGCACCGTTCCAGCAGGCAACGGAACTCGAGCTCAAACCACTACACAACCATCGTTATTCAATGTCACGACAACCAACATTCCAAACACACCAGCCAATCTCAATTGTCAATCAGGTTTTAGTCCTTCACAATGTTTGCCGTAATATCAGCAGAGTTTGCTAGATTACCATTCTACACACTCTAGTTACCCTAAATTTTTAGTCAATCAACAATCATTGTACACCTGTCAACAGGGCTGGCAATACTTTCCAACAACCGGATATCAATATATGGCAAGAATTTTGTTAGCTAACTTTAATAAAGTCATTCAGGTGATCTATGAGAGCGATTACAACACCGGAGAAGCTTATTGTGTGAGCCAAGGAGGCCATCTTGCGTCAGTTCACAGTGCTGAAGAGAACAACTTCATCACAAGTAGGTTAAACGCATCTTTATAAAGCAAGTTTATTGTCAGATCTTTGTTGTCCCACTGGCTGCTCGTTTTCGAACAACGATGGTCGTTATGGACAGTATGTGCTTGGAGCCTATGAGGTGAGTCTTGCAGTTAGACGATTTGAAATAGAAAAAACTAGAAAGGATAGAAATTTGAACAAGTATTACATACTTGATTCCATTATTAGTCGACTATTCATTTCAGACTTAATCTTTTTCAGCAAGGTGGCTCGTTCTTCTGGAGTGATGGAACTCCGTTCGATTACTCAGGCAGTCAATGCTTTGACGAACACTTGGATAACTCGGTCCTTTTGGTGAGTTTTGCGAGAATTCAGCTTATAAAACAATCAAATTCTTTGTGGATAGCCTACTTTTGTAATGTATACTAATCTACTAATGGAATATGAACTAGTTGAATAAAAAAAACTCAAGCTTTTCAGGTGTCCAACTACCTCAACTGTGACATTTGCGGAACTCCCGGAAATTGGTTCTGGGAGGTAATTGATTCGAATCAGAAGATGCCATATGGTGTCTGTAAGAAATAATTGTTATCTTTTTAATTCAATAAACGTTGAAAATGAAAGCGACAATACAATCTTTGAAAGAAAAAGTCTTCTATAAGAAGCCATCAAAAGAACCATCAAAAGTCTTGTGAGGATTCAGCTTATAAAACAATCAAATTCTTTGTAGATAGCCTACTTTTGTAATGTAAACCAGGAACTAAATAGGAAGTAATTAGGAACTAACTAGGAACTAAATGGTAACTAAATAGGAACTAAATAGGAACTAAATAGGAACTCATAGGAACCAAGTAGGACCTAAAAGGAACCATAAAGGTACTATAAAGGAACTATAAAGGAACTATAAAGGAACTAAGCCTAAGCAAGTCGATGATGCCGATCCATATATTTCTTGGATACTTATGGGTTATTTCATTATTTCTAGTAAAAATACAAGAAAAACGACTCAAGATGAGCAAAAATTAGAGATTTTGCTTGGAGATACAACAAATGAACCCCGTCAATTGCTTCCCCGACCCCGAAAATCCCTGGATACAACTGAGCTTCCCCGCTTTCTAGGTGTCACTATGCCCAATTTTTGGAATTAATTTTTGCATTTAATTTGACTGTATTTCTGCTGAGAATTTTACATTCTTTTAAACTAAAATAACTTTAATTCAATCATTTCCACATGAAACTTCATCAAAAAAATTGTATCACTACACATACACTTCTTTAAACTTTGCTGATTGCTCAATGCTGAAATTTGATATTCATTCCTCACCAGTTTTCCGTCATTTTTTAAAGCGATTAAGAGAAAAGTTGAAAATACCGCTCCGAACAGACGCACATCTGAGCTCATAATCAGAACATGTGCTCAGTTGACTATGCGTCTCACTTGCTTAGCTCAGTGCATGTCCTGAGCTGATTGCCATTGATAGTGAGCTCAGAAGTACTGAGCTGAGTGACCCAGAGATCACTATTAGAAACCATAGCTCAGTACATGCCTTGAGTTGACTGAGTGCCACTAATAGTGCCACTCAGTCAACTCAAGACGATCGACAATCGTGATGGTCGAATCAGTTACAGTTTTGGTTGCTGCAGTAGCGTGACAGCCTTGAACGTTCTAGGGCCACGTTCTCCATGTGTTGCCAGACTCTCATCGACACTTGACGGACGTACCAGAGGCAGCGGTCCCATTTCACTGATCTGTCATTAAAGTTTCACTGAACTTTGAGCATGAAGTGAAACTGAAGTTTCACTGAACTTTGAGCTTTAAGCACTCAACTATTAAGTGATGCATTTAAAACAAAGTGTTCTTGCTCAAAGAGCATCAAATTTGCATAATCTGATATTTGCTTAGAACTCGGGGAAATATCGTGGAAAAGCGTTGTTATGCTTTTTTGGTCAATAGCGTGTTTCCGTTCGGATTGATTGTTGTTGGCAAGAGTTCTCAAAACTAGAGTCACGTTTATTATTGAAATTAGATCGAGAATCAGTATTGGAATGGAAATAGATGGAATTATGAAAGTAAGAAAAAAATATAATTCAATCTTACAATAAATTGACATTATGGTACTGTAGGGTATTGAATGTTAAGTGTTGAATGAAAGGGTACTGGCTATGTAGTAGGTAAGGCTGCTATCGGTAAGGTTTAGTACTATGTTCGTGGTTACTGTAGGTACTGTACTATAGGTATTGTACTTTATTTGCACCAAAAAACCATCGTTTTCAATTTCCGAAAGAGAAAGATCAACATGATTCAAAGCCAATCGATTCAAGCCAATCGGCTTAACCCTCTCCATTTCAAAAAAGATACACAAGGTGTTTGTTTGAACTCACCACGAAAGCAAAGCCAAAACTTTTCTGCATAAATTAGGAATGAAGCGAACACTCATAAATGGAGCTGAGCTTCATAAAGTTTGTTTCTCTCAGTAATGGCACAACTTACCAACAGTCAACTCCTTCTTTTTCTGCTATTGTTCATTGCTAGCGATGCATTTGTTAGGTAAGTTGATGACCGATAGTTGATGGCCGATAGTTGATGACCGATAGTTGATGACCGATAGTTGATGACCGATAGTTGATGGCTCTCTTTGAATTGATAGATAAAAATCGGAGAGGCAACTTTTAGTTTCTATTTGGCTTGGGAAATACCAAAGTGATTACCCAATTCAGAATCCCTCTCACAAAGCACAAAGTCAACAGAACACGAATATTGTCGGCTACATTCGGTGGATGGAACGAGAACCTGGCAAATGCACAGAATGTAAGTACCGACTCGAGAAGGAAAAGGACTGGATCCGACAGCCGATCCTACCCATCCGAACCAATGAAAAGTCAATTTGATATCGGTATCAGTCCATTTGATCGGTATCACCTAAGAGTTGCTGATTATCTTTTTGATGCCCTTTTCAAGCAATAAATTCATTTCAGGAGCTCTACTTTGGAAGTGTTCTGGTAGGAAATCCCGGTCAAACACTCACCGTCGATTTTGATACCGGTTCGGATATGTTTTGGGTGCCTTGTAATTGTAAACTTGGTGACATCGGTCTACAAGATCCTTTCGAGATAAACTCTTGCGCCTCACATACTCATGTTGTGAGTTTTCTACCGAAAATTAGCTTACAATTAAGGTTTCTAAAAGGTTTCTTACTTCAATCTTATTCCTAGTTCAATCCAAAAGCGTCAAAGACAAACCGCATGACCTCGACACCGTTCAGCATTCAGTATGGGAGTGGTTTTGTGGATGGTCGTGTGATGTATGATAGGCTTTGTGTACGTGAATCCTTGACTGCTTTGATTTGGAATGATTTTAGATTCCAGGCACAGCTCATTGCACACCAAGACCACAGAAAATGGGATGCACTTCATTTACGGACTCTGGCTTTCGAGTGAAAAACTTTTTTTGAAAATGAACTAAAACTAAATTTTAGAATGCTCCTGGTAGCATTGATAGCGATGGCTTGATGGGATTGGCTTATGTTTATGGAAAAATGGGTGACTCGCTGATACGATCGATTTTCAACAGTGTAAGAAGTTATACTGCTTTACTCAGTTCATTCATCTTTAGGCCAATTGCAAGCTTGAAATATTTGCTTTCTACTTGAGCAACTCTGGAGACAAAACAAAGAGCGAGATGACGATTTGTGGAACCGATCCAGCACATTATATTGTGAGTCAAAAAACGCTAAATATCCAACCATATTTTCAGCACAAATCCAGCACATTATATTGTGAGTTGGAAGAGTTTTAAAAAGCTGGGCAAACTCGAAAACGTCTTTAATATTTAGGCACCACTCCGTTTCCTCAGTGTTGACAAATCGAGTTACTATTGGACTGTGGCTTTAAGTCGAGTGCAATGGGGAGGGAAAACGGTTGGGTTTTACTTCAAAAATCCAGACATCAAAACTTTCTATAGCAATGGACAAAATCGGCGCTGAATGCAGTCCTTTTTGATACTGGAACAACTGGAATTTACTTGCCCGGTTCGCTTGTAAATAAAGTGAGTAAGAAATGAGATTGGCTTTAAAAAGTAACCTGATATTTGGTTCTAATCGATTCAATGAAACAAAACGACTTCTTTCTCTAATTCTCTAATCTTTAAGTACCAATTTAGATTGAATCCGCGTGTGGCAAGTGTAGTTGTCCGACATTAATCTTTACCTTGAATGGACATACATTTTCTCTCCCTGGCAGTTATTATGTGGTAAGAAACTTGTCAAGACTAACTCTTTTTGAGTTTTAAAAGAGAATTGTAAGATTAATTAGGGCAGCGACAGCGATATTCAGACACTCGTTGTAGTTTGAAGGACTTTTTAGTCTTTGATGCCTAGTGTTGCTGACAAATCCTAAAAATCTATTCATCAAAAGTATCCAATTGACAATTTTAGGACTCTTCATGCACTTTGTTGATCTTTTCTTCCGATGAGATCTCGATTGCTGCCGGTTTGAATGCACAATGGATTCTCGGTGACGCGTTTCTTCGACGATTCTATTCAGTCTACGATTATGCACATGGACGAGTTGGGTTGGCTCCTCGACGATAATGATCTCAACCATCAAAAAACAGTGTAATTTTTTCTATATTAATTAAAACTAAGTGCTTGAATGCATTCTTAACACTAAAAAGTAGAAAACAAATAAATTTATCTAACAATCAAAGCCGAAGGGCAAAAGACAAATGAAACAAATACTCAAAGACAAAACAAGTAACTTAAATTTATCACAAATTTCAATAGAAAAACCCTGGAACCAAAATGTAACATCTATAATGGAACAAGCAATTGTTTAAAACAAGTACATTCAACGATTTAAACACGTTCAACCGTCTGATCAACAACTTTTTGGATTTTGCAATAACACATTGGTCGATATGTGGCTCGAAGAAGACAACTTGCTGCCTGTTCGTATTTGAATTCAAAGCTCAATATTTGTAAGAAGTATTATTCTGTCCAGGCTGCTCTATCTTTTATCTATTGACACCAAGATAAAATATCTAAACCGCATCGAGCCGTCGCCCTTTTGACTACCCGACTTCACGCTCTCAAAAAAATCCAGAAAAAAGACATTTTAAACCCGTTTTAATGTTATTTTGCAGAAAAATGTGCTTTTAGAAAAGCTACTTTGCCCTAGACCAATTCTAAGCTTCTCATACAAGTAGAATTTTTAATTATTCAGCTAATTTTTTGAATTTTCCATTAAAATATTGCCCTAAATGTTTCTGACTAAAATAGCTTGTATTCTTTCCTAGGTATAAACGGATGTGGACTAGAATTTGGGTTAAGTTAAAGAGAGTGGATCCCTTTTTGATATCTCGCCATCTCTAACACCCCGACAATCCAACTCAACTCCTCCAATGTAATAGAGGGGAGTCCCTGTGAAATGACCGACCTGTACTGCAGTTGCATAGACCCGGAAGATATGTCTCTTTATTTACAGTAATACAATAAGATGAATAGATTACAAATAAGAGTAAGGGGAAGGGGGGACTCCAAATGAGAGTCTCACTTGTCCTCCTAGGCAATCCCAAGACCGCCCCTTCTCGGGATAAAGGGCACAGGGGGGACACATTTGCATGAGACACATCTATACAACGTTTGGCTTGGAGCTGACACTTGGAATTTGCAAAGTAAGGCAACAACACCGAAAAGTGCCGCAGAATCGTCATTTTCTTTAGAAATACTGAAACTCTTCAACACCATTTGTTAGGATTGAACCATTTCTACAAGCAAAATTAAGTGAAGACCCTTTAGTCAAATTTTGGCACTTCGTGAATTGTCATGTTATTTTGTGACTTCATGCCAGAATCATTTCATGAAAAAAGGTGTGTTTGTTTCAATGCTTTCTCTGATATTTTGTTTTCATTTTTAAATTGCATTCAAACTTTTAAATCATTATATAAATTATTAGTATTGACTAGCAATGACAAAAAAAAAGTTTGACACAAAAATTGAACTAATTGACAAAAAGTTGAACTGTAATTAAGCAAGGTGGGTAATTTTGAATGCATTTAATAGTGTTAAAGTTCATAGATTTATTATATTTGTTTGGAATCGATGATCTTTCGTCCTTTCGTCTCAAAAGCACTCTTTTATATCAGTACACACTTGAGTAGAGGTTTTGCCTAAAATTGGGACTTTATATTTCATTAGACACGCTAAAAACAATATGAAAAGCAAGTTTTAACATTAGAAAGTCTTACCACTTTTCATATCTGAAAAAATTGTGCTAATATATTGATTGATGTCGTTATTACATCTTTGAATGAGTGTCTGATCAAGGGTTTGACATTCCTGAATTCATAAAGATTAGTTTTTTAGACTAAAAGTCTAAAACAGATCCAAAAGCTGATCAAAAACCCACATTGAGTAGCTGTGCTTGCAGAGTTGTTTGATCATAGACTTTTGTGCCAAAGTGTTTGTGTGCCTGTAAAATATTGGTAATTCCACTGTATCAATAAGTTGAGACTTACTGCATCAATAAGTTGAATACAAGTCGGACAAAAGTCTAACGGAGTAGTAGTTGGAGCTTTTGTGGTTGTAGTTACGGTAGTTGTCGTTGTAGTTGTTGTGGGAGTTGTTGTAGTTGTTGTGGGAGTTGTTGTCGTTTTCACTGTGGTTGTAGTAGTCATTACCACCGTTGTCACACATTCGCCCATATCGTGACAGATTTGATAGGTTGATTTTCCTGAAAACTTCGTTTTCTTAACTCTTTTGTTAGCTTAACCATTTTGCATATCTTTATAGATGATGTCAATGTTTTTTCGAATCCATCCCTCACAATCTCGAACAGCTTGCTCGCCGTAAATTCGTCTCAATGATGCACAATCCTAAATCCTGAGTTTGGCTAGGTTTTGAAATGTACCGTATTATTTACACAAATAATACGGTACAAACAATTCACAAGCGCAACTCTTAAGCCCTGGGAAGAAACTCAGATATATGGGAAAAATGAATCAATAATCTAGCCGGCGGGATTGAACCCTTGACCTAGGAACTAGGGAACTGTAAGAAAAGAACCTGTGAGAGACCTTTGAAAGCTTTCAAATACTTAAATGTTCATAAAAACAGCTTTTTGTGTTTCAGGAAAAAAAGCAAGAAGTTTGGCTCAGAGGGGAATTGAACCCGCGAGTAAAAATGGCATAGTTGAAAATAATCAAGTGATTCTCACTTGAAAATAACAAGCCCATGGGCTTCTATTAAAGTTTTTACGGTAAATAAGATGCTTACTGTCATCAACTCCCGCTCGACGCCATTCTTGCTTTCACCTCTCCGATAGTGTGATTGTGCCTAAGATCATGACTGGGTTATTGTTTTTGAGCATTTTACTTGATTAACAACATATTCACACATAGCGCACGGGTCACTGGTTGCTCGTTGCTGAAAATTGAAATAGATACACTACTGGGCAATGAAATATCATATTTGAAAAAAGCTCGTCAGTTTCGCGCGTCTGTAACTCTCTTGTCTTTACCGTATTTCTAAATATTAATATTACCATTGTGTAGCCCTTGAAAAGAGCTTTCAGAAAATGTATAACACTAATAGTTTAAACTCAAAGACAAGGGAGTTACAGACGCGCAAAAGGGACGATCGTTTTTCAAATATGATATTTCATTGTCCGGTCCTGTACATTCAACAAGTTAAATCGTTCAAATCAAATCGTTATATCAAATTTCTGTACCTTTAAAGCCAACCCAAGAATTGCAAAAGAAAACAGAATAAGAGCTCGTTTCATTTCTTCTAAAGCAAGAGTTTAAATCAACTTTCAACAAACAGACTCCAATCAAAATCCAAAAAGAACTGAGAGTTCCACCCCATTGCGTGATAAGTGCCAAATCTGGGAACAAAAAGAAGATAAAAGAGATTTTCAAATCTCGGTTTGTGGCTTTATCAGTGAAGCCAGAAATCACACTGCCGGAATCACTCAGATGAGGCAATTCCCGAGATCCGGCTGATTTTGGGTCCGAGATTTTAAAGCATTCAAAAATTTAACAAGGTCCAAAGAAGAAAATATTTTTGTATCATAGTGATGTAGTGTCTGGTAAAATGGTAACTTCAAGGTTTTATTTCATATATTTGATTGGTGCATAAGTCTTTAGTAAATGTCTGAACTGTAGTTTCTCAAAAAAAAAAACTATATTTATTCAAAATAAACATCATTATAAAGTATAACTTGTTGCAATTTATTGGATAAAGCGCAGAGAGGGCACCTAAATTACAGAATCTGATAGCCGTTTGAGAAGAGCACGCGGAAATATTGTGGAAGAGTATTGAAGTGATTTTTGGTCAGATCGCGTCCGAGGGAACTGTTGACGAAAACGACTCAAAACTGACTCAAAACTAGAGTCAAAATTCGCTCAATTCCAAAAGTTAAAAGCCTTTGTGTATTTCAGTATTGCGACTGTAAAGGAAAATGAAATCAGGTAAAAAAAACGAGGATTTCTGACCATGAGGTGACTGAATCTAGCAATTGGCGATCTAACAATTGACGTTTTCTAATTAAAAGAATGAATCGAAAGAGTAACAGTAGCACCTAAACTACAAGTTTAGCAAGCAAACTTTTCAGAATGAGATAAACTGAGCAAAGCACTAAGAATCTTCTAACCCTTCCGGAAGTCAAACATCAACGCGGCTCAAAGCCAATCGATTAAGCAGTCGGTCGGCTTTATTCGCTCAATTCCAAAAATTAAAAGCCTCTGTGAAGACTTTGTTGGTTTGATCTCAAGTTCCGCACCAAACAATGCCAAAACATTTAAGCGAAAAGAGAAGGAATGACTAAACTCATGAAAATTAGTTTAGCTTGTGCTTGAGTAAACACTTTTAATCTTACAAAGAAAGTAGAAGAAACATTTGACAGTGAAAAAAAGTGTAATGTTTGGATCAAATTTATGCTGCAAATACAATGGTTTTATGATGATAACACCGTTTTTCATAGCTTCCTTTTTTAAAAGCTACCGAATACCATTGTCGTTTCAGAAATTTCGTTCATCTGAATGGGCATTAATTGAATTTTGGGCAAACACTGAAACCTCTTTAATCATTCGAATTAACCCTTGCTCAAAACATAGCAAAGACATCTGGAGTTTGTTGATTGATAGCTCAAGTTCATTAAAATGTCGATCGACATCGCGCGATTCCAAATCGGTGTCTACCAACCATTTCAACTTTTCAACCAGTCGCTATAAAGTAGAGATTGATAGATTCGATTAAATATAATATAGACAGATTCGATTAAATATAATAAAAACAGGATAAGTAGCCATTAAAGGGCTTCACATTCTCACGAATCTAGTAATCTAGGAAATAGTTATTTAAAAATAGTTAAGATTGGTGCTTTACGGTTGACAGGGAGGGGCGAGTTTTTGGTCAACTTGCAGCTGATTTTTAAACACCTTAAACTTGTCAGATCAGGAAGTTTAAATAGGATTTAGATAGCTTAGAACGGCAAATTTAAGAAACTATTTGTTTCGTCAAAAGTTATTAACAAAAACCTATCTAAAATTGGGCTGCAAAAATGGTCAAAAACTCGGCGCCTCTCCCTCCTTCCCCCCGATACCCATAAAGATCCTTAAGATTTTTTAAGGTTTAATTGGCTTGTATTTAGTCTTCAGCATACCTTGTATGTATCACGTGCAACAATATTATCCATTCTGTTCACGATTTTTGCACAATACACTGGCAATAGTAAGGATTTGTATAGTTTCTGAAAAATTGTGAATCCAATAATTTCAAAATTTTCTTTACAGCCAACGCTAAGAGATCAGTCTTTTGTCCGCAATTTGAGTGCTCAACAAGGCAATGTGAGCATAGAGATTCCTTGAGAATCTGTGAAATTATACTAGAGATCTAAAGATTTTCGTTTACTCTACCGCTTGATGTAACTCTTGGGCGGAGACTTCATGATAGCCTCTTCCATGTCTCATCTAAACACATTTATCGATTAAAAAGAACAGTTTGTCTTACTTGGAAGTGTTCATCGCAAATTCGTAGATGTCTGAGTAAGGAATCCCCATCTGGTTCTGTGCAACTTGGACAAACGATGCGTAGACCCTCAAATTTGTCAAACCTAAGGTTTATCGTTACATTTTTGGCTGCCGTCGTTCGTGGAGGAGTTGGAGCTGGAGTTAACGATGTTAAAAGTTGATAAATGTTTGAAGTTTCTCGTCGCTTTGGAGTAGACTGAAAATTCAATTATTGACAATAATTGGTGCAAAAATAGCACCGGGTGTTTTTAAGAACCAGCTTCACTAACAGGGTTGAAACTAGGCGCCTAGGCGTTGAACTAGGTGATGAGACGAGACTCGAACCCCCTTACCAGGCAAATTCGTTAACCATTACACCACAACGCGCCTGATCTCTCTTACTCCAGAGGGAGTTAACTACACGTTACTAACAAGAATAACAAGGATATAAGATCATGAATTTCTATCTATAAAACCAAAATTCAAAGCATTCACCTCCTCGTTACCCATCGTTGTGGCGAAAGAATGGGAGTACCAATATTTTTGACGAAAATGAAGAGAAGTTTTGTTTAGTTTGAATTTAGAAGTTTTTGACGCAATGAAAAGCCTAAATGTAAGGAAAAGCTGAACTCCTTATCAATTCTCCACTCGACAGTTTCTTTTATATTGCTTTTTTATAAATATTCTTACGAAAAATTTTCATATTAATGGCCAGAACAACTAGAACTTTCCAACGAACTTTCCAACTACGGGCAATTTCGCAAATCATAGATTTAAATTAATTTCCTTGCGAAACGTTTTTCCTTTTCATTGTTTTAAGTCTTGTGTCACTGTCTGTCTGTCTGTCTGTCTTAAAACTTGAATGTTTACTTGTTTACACTGAAAGTGTTGCACAACATCATTTTTGGTAACCTTAACATCCTTTTTTACGACACTGAAAGCAAATAAATTGGACCAAGAATGCAAAAAAGAACCCATAAAGATTCAAATTATTTGAGATTTCATCAGAAATGCGGATAAAATGAATGAAAAATGCCGACAAAATAACACCCAAAATAAAACAAGCCTGACTAGAGCAAAGGAAGATGAGAATACTGATCTAAACACGTTGTTCATACGTCTGATTAACGACTTTTTTAATTTTACGACAACACATTGATCAGTAGGTGGCCCGCAGAAGACAAATTGCCGTATCTAAATATCCTATCTAAATTCAAATGCCAATGAAAAGTTAATCTTTCAAGTTTTTAGTTCATAGTTAACTTACCGATTTATGAGAAAAAATTGCTTTGTTTCTAGCACCAACTTCCCACCATCTTCCAGTTTAAAGATTGCCCGTTATATAAATATATCTGTCACTGTCATTCCGAGAATTTACCGAAAATTCTGCGTCTCGACCTCAAAAAACGACTATTGAACGAGTTGGGAATTCTTATGACCTTGGTAAGCTGAATAAGTCAAGATCATCAAAATCTTCATAAAATCACTAAGCCAGATATTTTAGTAGCAAACCCTACGCTTTTTAAGGTCACATTCTCGCAGAGTTCAATGTGATCACAGTCCGTCAAAAATTGATTGAAATTGAAGCAGCGATCAATGGAATTGAAAGCATTAGCCAAAGCGACTCTTTCTTGAATAACTCAAAACATAGCTTTCTTTCAAAATCTCACTTTCGCACTGGTATTGGTTCTCCGTAGTTACAATTGCAATACTCTGCTAGGATTGATAAATCCCGACAATCCTTTGGCAAATCTGGGTCTAATTCCCTTAGCCATGAGTTTCCGAGAGTATCTTGAAGGAAATTTAATCTTACTCCTACCATTGATACGGAAAAACGATTGATCTTCGAAGTCAGCAATGGGTCGATGCTAAAAACACAAGCACTGAAGTCTTGAGTCTCAGGGCAAAGAGTTCGAAAGAACACACAAACACTGAACCGTTCAAACCTCGTTCTTTTGTCTTCCTTATCACCGCTTTTGAATTAACAACAAGGTTTTGCCTACGCTTTCACAAAAAACCTAACTGACAACTCAAGTAATTACTTTGAAGGGGTCAAAAACTAGTCAGAGTTGTCAGCGGAAATGAAATCAGCAATGTTTGATTAGCATCTTTAGACTTGATATCACCAAATAAATCTTAGTATAAATACTCAACTTGAAGTCCCAACTACATCACAAACCCAATTTTTATTTCTCCTTTCACCAAACCAAAATGAAAGTCGCTGTGGTGGCCCTTATTTGCTTCTTCTTCTTGGTCGATCCACTCGTTTCAGCCACCGAAGAAAAGGAAAATGCTACGTTGAGTGAGTTTTTAAATCTGTAGTTAGATGGAGATCTTAACATTGTCTTTCATATATCAATTCATATTTTAGTTTTCCAAAACGACTTTCTTCATCGTGCTGATCGTCATCGTCCGCGCGATTGTTGCCCCGACTCGTGCATTGGAAATTGTTACTCCGGGAAGTGCCCGTATTGGTGTGGCCTTCCAAACAACTGCTGCTAATCAAAATTCAGTTTCGAAGCATTTCTCCTGTAACAACTCTTTTGTAACATTGCATTTCTCTTTCCAATAATCTTTTCCTTTTAAATAAACATCTGATTTCAGATCCATACAGAAAATTTCACGTTTACCGTACACAAAGCAACAAAAACTCAAGTTGAATCAGTCCCCTTAGGTGCTAGTTCATCTTAAGATAGATGAAAGACATCTGTGATCTGTGATCAATATCGCTAACCAGAACGTTCGCTCGCGGCCTAGCATACAGCCCGGGCAAAGGATGCTTTCCTTTTGGAACCCGTAAAGGAAAAGGAGCAGTGAGCAATTGAGCCGCTTCCTTGACTTGACTTCTATATATTTCTTGGGTTCTTATGGGTTATTTAACAATTTGTATCCAAAATAAGAAAAAAAGGCTTCAGATCAGCAAAAATTAGAGATTTTACTTGGAGATACAACAAACGAACCCCTCCGATCGCTTCCCCGACCCAGAAAACCCCTGGGTACAACCTTTTGCAACTGAGCTTTCCCGCTTTCTAGGCGTCACTATGCCCAAATTTTTGGGATTAATTTTTGCATTAATTTGACTGTAATTTTGCCACAAATTCTACACCCTTCTAAACCAAAACAGCTAAAATACAAGGACCTGCAAAGCTGATTTCATCTTCTAATATACACTAATAATGAGAACCGGTCCCAATTCGGGCCCCTGCTTTAATAAAAAACAAATTATGAAACCTTTATCGTCATATTCCAATATGCATCCACCTAGTCAAACTGCAGCAAATCTCCATTCAGATTGGCTTCTTCTATAGTACTCTTCTCCACAGTTTCATCTGTTGTTCGACCAACAACGAAAAGTGTTTGGTAGGAGAACTTAAACATTAAACTTATTAATGACTAGCTAAATTTTTTTTATTGAAATCAGTTTTTCAGAACTTACATTCATTTCCCAGGCGCCGTCAGCATAAGTGACTTGGATTGCGTCTCTCCGGCTTTGATTCCCGATAATTTTTATTTGAATGGACTTCTTGAAGCATTGTTTACAAAGAAAGCGTTGCTCAAACATAATTTTTATGATCTTTGATGCTCAATTTGCATATCATAATTAGCTCGACTGGAAAATAGTTAAAAACGAGAAAAGGGGCCGAGAGCGAGATAATGAGTGACTAACGCGGACACAATTCAGCGAAATTACACCTGTTATTGAAATGGGAGCATTTCGAGTTTTGTTTAAAGTTAATTTTGATGGAAGTGTTTTCGGAAAAATATTTTGTTGGTGTCGATCTTCTTCCATATCGAATTGAATTATCGATAATTTTTCTTATTTTAACCGTGATGTCAATATTATTTGTAATCTTTATCGCATTTCGGAGTACTCCGAAGAAAATGGTTAGATATCGAGTTCACATAATCGATAGCTTGGTGAGGTTTTTGGGAGAAAATGGCAAGTGAATAAGTTCGCAAATAAGATTGAGCATAAGCTCTGAAAGCTCTCGAGTTAATGAAGCAAGGATTTTTCAAGAAACAGTTGTGACTGAAGTTTAAGGTCCCCCCGTTCGGCCACACATTCACCTGAATAACAACAAGGAAAGCGTTCTTTGCCGATTGTTGCTTAGCGACAACTCGATTCAAATATAATAGACCGTAAGTCACACAAATATAAAATGGCGTCAAAATGCCACATGTGAGAAAGGCAGCTATTTGGAGGATTTTCAGCCATAAGTTTAGATCGAGAACAAGGGGTGGCTGGTTTGGGGAGGGGAAAGGTTCTGTTTGTATCGACAGCAAACAAAGCTACAATAACTTACAAGAGCTGAAAGATACAGTGGCCCACAGTAGTACAAGCTACAATAGCCTACAACAGTACAATCTATAGTCTGTAGCAAAATAAACCTACGGTAACATTAGTACAATGCCACAGCAGCATACAACAGCCTAAAGCTACGGTAGCCAACAATAGCATGAGGCTACAGGAACCTACGCCTACAGCAAACTACAGTCAGGATTTTGCAAGTCATCTAAACCTCTTCCATTTTCAGATTGCCAGCGGTATCTTCAGCTTCACTTTCATAATATTCTACACTCCTTATGTTTTCCATAAAAACGGCGATCCGCAGATTTATTTCCTCTCAACAGCTCTTCTAAACTATGCCATTAAAAAAATTCCATTGCATCTTTTATTGGCAAGTTTACTATTCACTTCTGAATCTTGGCAAGTTTACTATTCACTCCCACTTCTAGATTGGTTGCTATTTCGCAGCTTTCAACACGGCTCGAGCTGTCATTCTCTGTTTCAAATATCGTTTTGATGCGGTGATCTATGGACGATTCAGGGATCAATATTTACGATGGGATAAATATCTCGTTTATCCATTAATCATTTTTCCGTTTATTGCTACGATATTTATTGTTCCAAATGCCACCCATTCGACGGGTTTTCGAGCAGTTGTTGTGGGTTAAGAATGGCTGATTTAACTACATTTTGAACCACTAAAAACTTGAACAAGTTTTAAACTTTGGTTCCAAACCGTGTTTTTTTCTGATTAATATATCGATTCCTTTTTTTTATCCTTTCAGAAATCCATAACCTTATCCACTTCAAATCTCGAAATCGAAGTCGAACCCCTTGTTCTCGATCTAAACTTATGGCTGAAAATCCTCCAAATAGCTGCCTTTCTCCCATGTGGCATTTTGACGACATTTTATATTTGTGTGACTTATGTTCTACTATATTTGAATCGAGTTGTCGCTAAGCAACAATCGAAAAAGATTCTTTCGACACAAAGAACAGCTTTCACTATGTTGTTAATTCAGGTAAGAAAGAAGTAACAAAAAAGACCAAACCAGTTACAACTGATATCTTGAAATAATTCTCTTCAACGGAGCTTTCAGGCTACCAACCCCTGGCGCAGTTCCTGTAATTGTAATGATCATTGGTTTTCTTATCAACAGTGAGATGAGCATGTCGGGTAAAAGACTTGGAATTACAAAAGAAACTCCATCTTTCAGTCTTCAATCTCACCACAAGTGTCATTATGATTTCATATGGATTCTTCTATCCATTTGTTGTCTTGATTACGACAAAACCCTACTTTTTATATACAAAGAGCTTGCTATTCAAAGCATTTTCTAGACCACATGCCGTTTCGATCAAACAGTTCCCTGGTGCAGCAAAACCTTGACCTCTGCTACATATTGTATCACTGCAAAGAATTCACCAGACTCACCAGACAAAGAATTCACCAGACCAGAATTCACCATAATGCTTGTTGAAACGAAAGCAAAACAGTCCACGTTCTGCAATTTCAAATTATTCTACACGACGGCGACAATATGTATTTAAAATATAAATGATCTGGGTGGCTTACAATAAAAACTTCATCGATGAAGAGAGCTATTATGTGAGCCAAGGAGCACATCTTGCCTCAATCTACAGTGAGGCTGAAAATGACTTTATTATGGGTAAGTTGAAATTCTTTCAAACTGGTAGACTTTCAAAGTGTTTTTCAATGTAATCATGCACTTGAGTACCCATGGCATAGGGTACCTTGTTAGTCCTGTTATTAAACCTAAAGAAGCTGTAACCCAACTTTTGCTGGCCGGGTTCAATACCCCAGATGTTTTCCTAATCTTTTCGCAATTATCGAGTCTTACAAGCAGGTGTTACTGTATTCGTAACAGTTTATGCGGTAACAAACCTTGTCATTTAGATCTATGCTGTCCACCTGCCTGTTTTGATTTAACAGTTTATTTAGAAGTAAATAGCAAATAACAGATAATAGCAAAACCATGAAATTACGCAAAACGTGGTGTGTAAGAATTGTTTTGAGCGCTATTCTATGTTATTGATAGAAATTTCAGAGAAACGGCACCCTCAAATGGACTGGTGGATCTGCGTTTGACTATCAAAAGGTCCCGTGCTTTGATACAAATCAGGATTAAGATTTGGTTAAGATTGGTGGTCAGTGTGGCTAATTTTTGGTGTGTTTGAAAATTCGAGGGATCCCAAATCTCAGATCTCAAACTATCACGCTGTGATGTTTATGGCACTCCATGGCAATGGAATTGGCATACCATTGGCGTGCAGCCAACCGTCCCTAATTCTGTCTGCAAAAGCAGATAAATTCAGCCACAAAATATCAATAAATTTTGTACCCTGTTAAGTAACAAATTTTTATCTCTGCTCACAATTTTCTGAAGAAACTATTTATACAGAAAATGATAAAGAAAGATTACACAAACATGTATTAGGTTGAACTGAATGAAACCGCCGTTTCATTCAGTTTCTACATAGAAATTTTATTGTTAAAATACTGCGAAAAACAACAATTATTCCAATAAGAAATGCGCCATTATCTTCAATAATCTTTCTTCGCTTTTCTTTCGAAAAGCTAAGGTGTTTGACCATGAAAGTATTGGCACTTCGAAATCCTCATTCCCTTCGTGAAATCGTTGGAACCAAGCTCGACATTGTCTTTCGGAGATTAGTGATTGGCCAAATACACTTGCAGTGACTTTATAGCAATCGGCTGCCACTTTTCCTTGCTTGAAGTCATACAGCATACAAACTCGAATTCGATACTTCAAATCGTTCATCCTAAAAAGTTAAAAGTAGCAGGGGGAAGACAAATGGAGAACCAAGAAAACAAATAAGAAAACAGATTTTAAGTAACATAAAAATATATTGATTAAATAGTCAGCAATTAACATTTAACGACAAAAGATTAAGCGGCGGCGACTTCATTTGGTTTAACCTAAGATTTTTAGTGTCATCTTTCCTTCAGACTTTGTTTGCTTTACTGGATGTTGATTCCATTCAATTAGAGTTTCATTGAACTCATAATTAAGTAAATCAAACTACAAGAATGGTTACAGTAGTTTTTCCAAACTATCCATTTTTTAGAAAACATTGTGATAAAATACGACTCTTCTTTACTGTTAAAAAGCTGAATTAAAATTTTTAGCAATTTCTTTTTCTTTTTTTTTCAATTTGTTCTGAAGTTAATCGGTCAAATTCTAAAGTTCATAACAACCAGAAATCAATCCAGAAACGCTTTTATTTTCTCAATTTTTTTGTTTCAAAAGTGATCTTCGGCGTCACTATGCTCAAGTTTTTGAGATCAATTTTTGCCTTAAATTTGTTTATAGTTTTGCTAGAAATTCTACATCCCGTTAAACCAAAATAATTTGGTTTTATTGAGAATAGGTATTAAACTGTCCAGAAAGTCTTCAAAGCACTGTCCTGAAGGTTTAAATTTACATTTGAAAATCGTAAACCTTATTTCCTTATTGTGTGTAAGTATTTCTAGACAAACCATTTACAGTCGAACCTCTCTATAACGAACCTCGATATAACGTAAACCTCTCTATAACGTAAGGCGTGACCGGTCCCGGCCGACGTTAAGCTATATAAAACGGCACTCTATATAACGTAAACCTCTATATAACGTAAGCTATAGCCGTCCCGTGAGTTACGTTATAGAGAGGTTCGACTGTATTTCCAAATACAGCAGAGAAAGTGGTAGCAAAAACATCATCGCTATGAATGTTTGATCAAAATTTTGAAATAAATTCTTGTATTATAATCGATTTGCTTTCATAAAGAATAGCAAAACTCCAAAAATCTTTGAGTATAAACAATCGAGTCCGATTTCTAAAAAGAACGGCTCTTTTTTGTTTGGCTTTAAAAATAATCCATGATTCATGGAAGTTTAAAGTATCGCTCGTTTCCGATAAATGAGAGCTGATACTCATCGGCAGTTTCTTTTGCACCACCCTAATACTTCCGTTTAAAACCAACCAATTCACCAATTAACGTATGGTTTGCTCTAAATAAAAAATGTTTCTTCTTCAATTTCCCATCCTTTTAAGCCAATTTTGGTTCACTTTCAAGAAAATTTGAGAGTGAAAAGTGAAGCAAATTGGAGTTTCTCGTAAAAATCGATAAAAAACCTAAACGAAAAAATTGGCTGAATGTATTTCTCTGAAAATTTGGCTATATACCAAACTTTTTGTGCTCTATCTTTTATCTATTGACATCAAGATAGGTTTCCTTAGCTAAAGTGTCATCACATCATCAATTTTTGACTACCCGACTTCGCGCTCCCAAAAAAATGCAGACATAAGATATTTTAAACCCGTTTTAATATTATTTTGCAGAAAAATGATTAGCCTTTTTAATGAAAAAAGCCGTCGTCAATTCATGCATTTGTTGGTTTTAAACGAAAGTAAGAAAAAAAACGAAAAGACTTTCTGGACAGCCTAATGATTCCAAATCCGGATCACTCCAATTTCTCAGTCTCAATAACCGATGCTCTATAGTACCCCTGGTGTTTTGACCTCAATCATGTTCACTCTTCAGATGATCACAAGCTCTTTTGTCGTTTTTGCCAATATAGTACTCGTTGGTTTGATCGGCATTGGAATGCCTGCACTTTTTGGTCTATGGGCTCAACAAATGTTGGCACCAATACTCAAAGTTCTCGAATGTTTTCTATCCTATTTCTTATCCGGGTCAGCCATTTATATTCTTAAGAAGCATGAAAAAGTATTAGTTGGCTTTAGTTCAATGTTTTTAGAATCATCACAATAGTTTGCCTCCAAGAATGAAAGGAAACAAAAGAATTCAGCACGATCACTGGAAGATCGACGGATTCGAAATTGTCAACAACCAGAGTCAAAACAACAACTACTAAAACTCAATTTTTTTTTGTCTAAAATAGGTATTATGGGTGAATTTTAATGCTTAAACACTTTATTTCAACAACAACATAAACTCGTTTATCCGATCAAATTCGAAACTCTTTCAACAGCTGAATCGTAATAAAGACTAATGCTGTTTGGAGCCATTGAATCCCTTCTTGTTCTTCGATCATACAAAATATAAATCATAATAAAGATGACAACTATTCCCAATAAAGAGAACAAAATCCATGTCATTGTGTGACTTTGTGGCTTACCGTTTAACCAATCTAAAACCTTGTTTCATTTGACAAATTTCATTTAACTTACATGTTTCTAGTTTCAATTGAAATCCTTTAGATGTGTCCGATCCGTCACTCACAAATCGGAGAAGCAGCTGATTGCTTTCAGTTGTTCGGACTTCTCCAATTCGGTCAAATCTGAATGAATTTGTATTAGAGCCTACTGACAATGAGCTTGAAAGACGTTGATTAGACCAACAATTGCTACACTGCTAAATTGGGTTTTTCAACCCTTGCAACAACAAGCAACAATTGCAGCAACAATCAACAATTGCAACAACCATCAACAACTGCAGCAACAATCAACAATTGCAACAACAATCAAAAATTGCAATAACATTCAACAATTGCAGCAACAAGCAACAATTGCTAGTACACTGCAAGAATATCAGTAAAGTTGGTTCGCTAAAGATTAGCGAGACAAGTGTATTGTAAAGTAAAGTATTTCAACAACTATACTTTTTCGTTATCCCATGTTCCTCATATGTCAGTCGATCATTGTAGAAAATAGAAAGGGCAATGACAACGATCCGAATTTTAGCCCCATCAGCAGCCGTTATTGAATAAGAACAATTCATATTGTTGCAATAACTAAAAATCATCCTGAACAAAGTTAACAACGTGCTTAAATCATTAGCAAGTTGCTTTAAGCAAGCCAAATAAAGTCAGATGCCTTACTTTGCTGGATAATATGGTGATAAAACCCAAATCGGCAAATCATCAAGTGTGTATTCTGTTTGCTCGCATTGACAGGCTAAAAGCAAATATTTATTTACTATCTAAACCAGTCTTTAAAGTCTTTAAGCCTTACAATCCGCCTGTTAAATGAATCTCCAAAGCCACATGACCAAGCATTGATAAAGGAACATTTCCTCACCTCCTTTCCACTCCAAATTGATGCTTACATTAATCTCTGTCTCGACATTATCCGGCCTTGTTCCAAAGTGCAAATAAATGAAGTCAGCTCTATTTAATCTTATCAAAATCTCAGCTCGATAACTAACGTGTTTGCTGAAGTGAGGTAGTCACCAGTGCTGAAACTTCGAGACGGATTGTCATTAGGAATAAAGGAGCTAAAATGAGAAGGAATTTGTGAACATAGGGATTAGCATTAGAAACCTCTTTATATTTTCATCTATCGCCATAGTGAGCAGCCATGCATAAAGAGTGGTTTTCTCAAATTCCCATGTTATTATAAGGCGATTTTTTGGGTTATTTTTGATCCTTATAAAGCAATCCAATTGAGGGCATTCCTTTTTGATGTTGAACTTGATATTTTTTGTTTCGAAAATATTCAGATCAAGAAAAGGCTCGATGGAACCGGGGAAACATGTGCATTCTAAAACTATCGTGAGTTTTTCACTTCAATTTCTAGCTGTGAGGCTTCCCTATGAATTCTGTCTTGATTTTGTCGATGGGATGTCGGTGTATTTTATTTTCAAGCGCTAAGCCAGAGGTCACGAAGGTTAAATCCAGACACCAACCTTGTTTTCATATTCATACCCGTAAAAGGACTACCTACCTAGCTTGTAGACTTGCTATCTGATCGAAATTCTGTTGAATCCGATCCGATTCTATCCGATAGAAGGGTTGACCGGATCCGATCGGATTTGATTTATTTCAATAGAGGCTTTTATCAGATCGAATCCAATGGATGAGATCCGATAAAAGCCTCTAATGAAATCCTATAAAAGCCTCAGATTATAGGATCCCGCATTCAATGGATGGGATCATCGATCATCCGATCCGATCCGGAAGATGTGAAGATGTAATCCGGATTCGATCCATCCGATGGCAAGTCTACTAGCTTGTCCAACTCAGATTATAGGATTAAAATCAAGTAATGTAGATGAACCAAGGCTTTGACTGTGTAAGACAATATTGTCAAGGCTTGACGAGTTTCTTAACTTGAGAGAGATCAAGGCTAGTATACTCTGAGCATATCTTTTACAAACTTCTCGAAACGTGCATCAACGTGAAGTTGAGCGCATGCACATTTCGATGGTATGAAATATTAAATGAAGTTGGCAGCATCCAGATTTGTCTGTAGTCGTGCCTTGTCCGAACCAATGAGCTGAAAGATGTCAAGTAAACTATGTTCCAGAGTCAAAACCTGGCAATTCTCGAGTTATTTGTCGTAACGCCCTTCATTTTGAGTGTGAATGGCGTTTTGTAGGATTCAAAACGCTAAACAAATGTTGTTGAGTTATAAATTTTACAAACATTTGCTTCTAATAAGATTCGTTCATAGTGAGTTGAATTCTCTTCAGTGGCGGCAATGCTGACTTCTGATTCACATGTGGCAAGATCACAAACGCCGGATGGAAAATCGGGAAGAGTAATATTGGTATCATGCGATAAAACAATTTTCTCCATAGAACAAATGCAACCTGAGATTGATTTGGATTCTGGGTTCAGCCTAGTTGACTGATATTGTATTAGGCTGGCAAGTTATAAACGATCGTTTTTGGGTAATGTGTTTTCTGAAAAAACGGCTTATCCAATCAAAAAACGGTTTGCTTGATTCAAAAGCCCTTATCCTTAATCCACAAAATGGCTTTTTTGAATTTTTGAAAAATGTTTTATTTTATGTTAAGCGAAATTATTCTAGGAGCAGCACATCTTGAGCAGATTGAATTCAAATGGAAGATCAACGATTCTACTCGTTCGCCCAATCCGAAAGATGATTTGTTTCTTGGACAAAGGTGAACGGAAAACAACGATGCATGGACCAATGATTGTTTTGCCAAGTCCAACCTCTGGAACAGTGGAACATGTCGTCGACACACTTCCAAGTGATTGTTGGAAAAACAGGTTGGAAAGGCAAGCTCAGAGTTTGAAAGTTTTTTGACAATTTTTATTTGGATACAGTCAAATTTGAAAAATGTTTTATTTTAGAACTTTTTTAGGCATTTTAATGTAAGAGTTCAAAATCCTGGTTTCTAGCATTCATGAGCTATTATATTTTTGAGTGATTGCATACTTTTTAAAATAAAACGCTTCATTGATTACATAGTTTCCCAAAATTTCAGAACAATCCAATCGATCGAACCGTTTTCTTTCTTTTAATTTTTTTAAAAAATCATGCTTAAATTCAAACAAAAATGGATTAAACTAGCACAAAAGTGCATTTTGAGCCTAATTTGAAAATTAACCTTCCGAAGATTTGATTGTTCTGAAATTTTGGGAAACTAAGTACAGTCGAACCTCTCTATAACGAACCTCGATATAACGTAAACCTCTCTATAACGTAAGGCGTGACCGGTCTCGGCCGACGTTAAGCTATATAAAACGGCACTCTATATAACGTAAACCTCTATATAACGTAAGCTATAGCCGTCCCGTGAGTTACGTTATAGAGAGGTTCGACTGTAATCGATGAAGCGTTTTATGTTAAAAAGTATGCAATCACTCAAAAATATAATAGCTCATGAATGCTAGAAACCAGAATTTTGAACTCTTACATTAAAATGCCTAAAAAAGTTCTAAAATAGAACATTTTTCAAAAATTCAAAAAAGTCATTTTGTAGATTAAGAATAGGGCTTTTGAATCAAGCAAACCGTTTTTTGATTGGATAAGCCGTTTTTTCAGAAAACACATTACCCAAAAACGATCGTTTATAACTTGCCAACCTAATAGTTTAACAAACTTTGGAGGTTATTTTTTAAAACAACAACGTGAAACCCAATCCGACTCACGATTCGGTCCTGTTTGAACGGAGAATTCAACAAATTTTTGCTCTGATCGGCATATTTTCAACAAGACTCTATTTCCAAATGACTGAGAATTGCGCAACGAAGACTTTTGGTCTAAGTAACTAAATTCATAATCGGTTTAAGCAGAATGAGGTTCAACAGTACCTCATTTTGTCATTGCAAGCTGTCATTGCAAACATTCCCATGAACATTATTGAGTGTGGCAGCTCGATAGCATGTTTGTATTCTTTACCTAGAAGAGTCTTCATCAAAATTATTTCCATAGATAAACCAAAATCAGAAGAAAATTGGAGTGAATTTCCCTCAGCCGCATGAAAGATCGCCGTGCATTCGGAATCGAAAAAAATCGTTTTAAATTAAGGTTAGCTTTAATTTTCTGTGAATGGATGGCTTTCAAGGGCTAGTTGACAATCAGTTTATGGTGATTTACAATCTTTAAACCTTCAAGATCAGAGATATTTGAAAGCCTTGGGCTAAAGTGTTGAACACTTTGATTAACAATAATAACCCGATCCAGACCACAATTGCTTTCCTTTGCCGTGTTTTCTGAAAATGTTAAAATTTGTATAAAACCTTAAAAAGTTCGACCTTCAACCATGCGAATTAAGAATTTTAAAGAAAAAATAAATCAACCTTTAACTTTGCGAATCGTTATATGAAATTTGAGACCACTTTCTGGTGTTAGACCATAGATGTAAGGATAGAGGAGTAAGCGAATCCTGAAAGCTTGTCCAAGAAAAGTTGCTGTTTCGTCATCTTCATCATCACGGTCCGTTCTAAAGTTTTTATGAAGCTGTTAACATATTTTGGATAAAATCCGGCAATTGCCGCCATTGCTGACTGGCTAAGAGGCCTGTATCTTACAAGGAAATGGTCAGAAGTGATCGTGAAACGAAGAGGTGCAAACACAAGTCGAGTCCGGCGAGTACGATATCGCTTTTAATTTTTGCGAACGGGCAATGGTTTTCGAGAAAAACGCTTTGCAAATTTAGGCTTTCTGAAAACGGAGCCTAGAGGTTAAAAAGAAAATCATCTCGCATCTCACTTCTTAACCTCTAGGCTCCGTTTTCCGAGTAGAAAACCTAAATTTGCAACGCGTTTTTCTCGAAAACCATTACCCGTTCGCAAAAACTAAAGTTTGGGGTGCGACCCGCTTTAACCTTATCATCGAGGATGATTCTGCTTAAGAATGGCCGAATAGCACAAAAGGTTAAAAGGGTTTCCCCAAAGCACTTACAACATAACAAGAACGTGCAGCACCCAACACAAGATTAATACTCGTCAGTGGTGGCACAAATGTTAATAAGCTCTTTCTACAATGTTAAACCAGTTATCTAAACAGGATTTAAAACCTGAAGAGTAGCATAAAGTAAGTTGAATTTATAATTTTACTGTTTATTAGTACAAAACCAAAATGCAACAATACCCATCACAAAGACAGCATGCGCATCAAAAGAAACAACCAAGTCCCCCCAGAAAGAAAGCAAAAGCAACCCGCAGAACCAAAAAAAACTTCCGGGGAGGGAGAAAAAAGACGAGAAAAATGCGACGCGAATAATTGCAAAATAGGAACGCAAATAGGAAGGAAACGGACGCGACCCTAAAAGCGCTATCGTATTCGCCGTACTCGACTTGTGTTTGTCATTTTCACCTCCTTTTTGGCCCGAAATCTCACGATCACTTCTGAACATTCCCTTGTTAGTCGAGAGGTCACGGGTTCAATCCCGCTGGCTAGATTATTAGTCCTTTTTTCCCATATCTATCAGCTTTTTTCTTTCCTACATTTAGTGCTTAGGAATTGTGCTTGTGTATTGTGTGTACCACATTATTCGTGTGAATAAATGCATTTTTAAAAATAAAATCTGACCGTCCTATTGGGATTTGCACTTCACTGCCGTTTACTGACAAAATTTCGAAGACGTGCATGTAGCCGCTGTAACGACTATTACGTAGCTGAAAATCGTCGATAGTCAGCGTCAATTGATGATTTGGCGGTGGTTTAATCTGCAATTGTTTGGTGATATATCTGTAAATGTAGCTTCAGCAGTGTAGCTTGAGAAAAGCTCAATAATCTCACAATCCAATTGCAATCAATGCTGCCCAGGTGTTTTTCTGGGTATCCAGGACTCTTGAGAATCATCGGTTCATCATCGGTTTCATTCATTGTTTTCTTTTCTTCTTTATCAAAGCACTGTCCTGAAGGTTTAAGTTTACATTTGAAGATTGTAAACCTTATTTCCTTGTTGTGTGTAAGTATTTCTATTGGGTTGGTGAATTGAAAACTGCGGGCTATTGTCATATGTGACAGTTTGAGGACCTTCTTCAAAAGAAACCCATTTTGGTGTCAATGGAAAAGTTGTAGAGAATCAAAAATCAAGCTTATATCCAAATTTTCAGAACGATTCAAAAACTGGTTTTCAAGAAATGCCAAATTTACGAATTTTCACAAAACTTGTATTTTAAGCGAAACTACTAAGTGTATCTTTTTGGAAATTTGGATATAAGCTTAATTTTTGATTCTCTACAACTTTTCTATTGACACCAAAATGGGTTTCTTTTGAAGAAAGTGCTCAAACTGGGACATCTCCAGTCCTCCATTTTTGAGGCTCACACTTGTCTCACACACAAGCCAAAATCCTACTACGAAAGAGGAATCCGCAAATTTCCTGTAAAATGGGCCAGTCGTCAATAATAATGAAAATTATTTGGAATAAATTGATGGCTTTATGTTGAATAAATTTGAGTTCAAAGTCCCGCAGTTTTCAATTCACCAACCCAATAGACCATTTATTTCCAAATACAGCAGAGAAAGTAGTAGCAAAAGCATCATCGCTATGAATGTTTGATCAAAATTTTGAAATAAATTCTTGTATTATAATCGATTTGCTTTCATAAAGAATAGCAAAACTCCAAAAAGCGTTGAGTATAAACAATCGAGTCCGATTTGTAAAAAGAACGGCTCTTTTTTGTTGGGCTTTAAAAATAATCCATGATTCATGGAAGTTTAAAGTCTTATGGATCAGTTTGCAAACATTCAATTGTTGATTATTGTAATAAGTAAGAAACAAAGACAGTATTCCTTTTAAATTCACTTTTTTCTTTTCGCTTTTCAAAAAGTCACTTTGTTAAAGCCATTTACTGCTAATTCTGTTAAAAAATTCATCCGAAAATCAATTTTTTCGTAGCCAGTAGTCCCCGATTTTTGTGATTTTTTAGAAAAAACCTTTCCTAAATGTTTTTCTAAAAAACTTTCTAGAAATTGACATACTCTCGGATGCAGTTTCAGTTTTGTTACTATGAAATCATTTGTTTCACTGACGCAAGCCCAGTTTTCTGCTTTCTGCGCGGTACTTTTTCTTTCAAAAATATGAACCCAGCTACTGGTCACTTTTCTTTGAACTTTTTAAATACAAAAACCAAGAACACATGCTTTTTTGTAAGTTCTATTTGAACGGTGATGGCAGAAATGTTTGCAGAGATTCTCTTCTCTTCACAACATCTCGAGAAGTCATTTTTGAGTGAAATACACAAATGAAAGCACAAAACGTGCAAATGAATTGCAACTGCTCAATGAAACTTGTTGGATTAAAGCAGTTCAGCCTGAGATATCTAACTCCAATGCTGTGGTAAGGAATTGATGTCTGTAATGCGAGTATAATAATAGATTGGAACGGTTAAAGTGAGAATTTTTTGCACTATATTTTTCTAAAAAACCAAATCACACATTTATTCAAGGTAATCGCCATTATTATCTATTATTTGTTGCCATTTATTGGGTAGAGCAAGGGATCCCCTTTTCCCAGAAATTCTTGGGCTGCATGTCAAAGAAGTCGCGTAGCCGCGTACCTCGACGCGATCTCCGAAGTGCTCCCCATCGAGCTCTGCAGCCAGCTTCCGGAAAAGATGAAAATCAGAGGGTGCTAGGTCGGGGCTATACGATGGACGAGGGAGAACTTCCCAGCTCCTTCAATTTTTGTTGAGTCAAATTTGCAACATGAAGTCTTGCATTGTCATGCAAGAGAAGGAGCTTTCCATGATTTGGCCAATTTTTTGTGATTTGTTCGGTGACCTGATTCAGCTGTACTGAATAGAAGGAAGCTACGACAATCGTGCCTTCAGGTAGCAACTCCCAATAAACTACCCCGCTCAGATCCCACCAAATGCACAACATAATCTTCTTCTGGTGCAATTCTGGCCTGGACTCAGGCTTGGTTGCTCGCCAGACCGATCCACTGCTTCTGTCTCCGATAGTTGATATAGAGTACCCACTTCTTATCACCAGCAATCACGTGTGGAAGAAAGGAATATCTTTTGTACCGGGAGAGTAGGGCGGCAGAAACTGTGAGGCGCTGCAATCTCATCACATCTCTCTTATCACATCTATTATCTCTAAAAAGGTACTCCCAGAAAAACCCATAGAAACCGCATTTTTGCCTTAGTTCGCGCCGATGTGCGTCGCCTTTTTTGACTACCCGACTTCGCGCTCCCAAAAAAATGCAAAAAAAGATATTTTAAACCCGTTTTAATATTATTTTGCAGAAAAATTATTAGCCTTTTTAAGGAAACAAACCGTAGTGAATTGATGCATCTGTTGGTTTTAAACGGAAGTTTGGAAAAAAACGACAGCCTAATAGCCGACAGCCTTCTGGACAGTTCCAAATCCGGATCACTCCAATGTCTCAGTCTCAATAACCGATGCTCTACAGTACCCCTGGTGTTTTGACTTCAATCATGTTCACTTTTCAGATCATCACAAGCTCTCTCGTCGTTTTTGGCAATACAGTACTCGTTAGTTTGATCAGCATTGGAATACCTGCACTTTTTGGTCTATGGGCTCAACAAATGTTGGCACCAATACTCAGAGTTGTCCAATGTTTTCTATCCTAACGAAAGGAAACAAAAGAATTCAACACGATCTCTGGACGATCGACGGATTCGAAATTGTCAACAACGAGAGTCAAAAAAACAACTACAAAAACGCAATTTTTTTGTCTAAAATAGGTAGTATGGGTGAATTTTAATGCTTAAACACTTTATTTCAACGACAGAAAAAGCGCGTTTATCCGATCAAATTCGAAACTCTTTCAACAGCTGAATTGTAATAAAGACTAATGCTGTTTGGAGCCATTGAATCGCTTCTTGTTCTTTGATCATACACAATATAAATCATAATAAAGATGACAACTATTCCTAATGAAGAGAACAAAATCCATGTCATTGTGTGACTTTGTGGTTTACCATTTAACCAATCTGAAACCTTGTTTCATTTGGCAAGTTTCTTTTAACTTACATGTTTCTAGTTTCAATTGAAATCCTTTAGATGTGTCCGATCCGTCACTCACAAATCGGAGAAACAGCTGATTGCTTTCAGTTGTTCGGACTTCTCCAATTCGGTCAAATCTGAATGAATTTATATTACAGCCTACTGACAATGAGCTTCAAAGAAGCTGATTAGATCAACAATTGCTACGCTGCTAAATTGGCTTTTTCAACCCTTATAAAAACAAGCAACAATTGCAACAAGAATCAACAATTGCTAGTACACTGCAAGAGTTATCAGTAAAGTTGGTTCGCTAAAGATTAGCGAGACAAGTGTATTGTAAAGTAAAGTATTTCAACAACTATACTCTTTCGTTATCCCATGTTCCTCATATGTCAGTTGATCATTGTAGTACATAGAAAGGGCAATGACAGCCAGCCGAATTTTAGCCCCATCAGCAGCCGTTATTGAATAAGAGCAATTCATATTGTTGCAATAACTAAAAATCATCCTGAACAAAGTTAACAACGTGCTTAAATCTTTAGCAAGTTGCTTTAAGCAAGCAAATAAAGTCAGATGCCTTACTTTGATGGATAATATGGCGATGAAACCCAAATCGGCAAATCATCAAGTCTGTATTCTGTTTGCTCGCATTGACAGGCTAAAAGCAAATACTTATTTACTATCTTTAAGTCTTTAAGCCTTACAATCAGCCTGTTAAATGAATCTCCAAAGCCACATGACTAAGCATTGATAAGGGAACCTTTCCTCACCTCCTTTCCACTCCAAATTGATGCTTATATTAATCTCTGTCTCGACATTATCCGGTCTTGTTCCAAAGTGCAAATAAATGAAGTCAGCTCTATTTAATCTTATCGAAATCTCAGCTCGATAACTAACGTGTTTTCTGAAGTGAGGTAATCACCAGTGCTGAAACTTCGAGACGGATTTTCGGCTTTGGGAATAAAGGAGCTAAAATCAGAAGAAATTTGTGAACATAGGGATTAGCATTAGAAACCTCTTTATATTTTCATCTATCGCCATAGTGAGCAGCCATGCATAAAGAGTGTTTTTCTCAAATTCCCATGTTATTATAAGGCGATTTTTTGGTTTATTTTTGATCCTTATAAAGCAATCCAATTGAGGGCATTCCTTTTTGATGTTGAACTTGATATTTTTTGTTTCGAAAACATTCAGATCAAGAAAAGGCTCGATGGAATCGGGGAAACATGTACATTCTAAAACTAACTTGAGTTTTTCACTTCAATCTCTAGCTGTGAGGCTTCTCTATGAATTCTGTCTTGATTTTGTCGATGGGATGTCGGTGTAGTTCATTTTAAAGCGCTAAGCCAGAGGTCACGGGTTTAAATCCAGACACTAACCTAATTTTCATATTCATACCCGCAAAAGGACTACCTACCTAGCTTGTAGACTTGCTATCTGATCGAAATTCTGTTGGATCCGATCCGATTCGATCCGATAAAAGGGTTGACCGGATCCGATCGGATTGGATTCATTTCAGTCGAGGCTTTTATCGGATCGAATCCAATGAATGAGATCCGACAAAAGCCTCTAATGAAATCCTATAAAAGCCTCAGATTATAGGATTAAAGCCGCATCCAATGGATGGGATCATCGATCATCCGAACCGATCCGGAAGATTTGAAGATGTAATCCGGATTCGATCCATCGGATGGCAAGTCTACTAGCTTGTCCAACTCAGCTTATAGGATTAAAGTCAAGTAATGTAGATGAACCAAGGTTTTAACTGCGTAAGACAAGATTGTCAAGGTTAGGCGAGTTTCTTAACTTGAGAGATCAAGGCTAGTATACTCTGAGCATATCTTTTACAAACTTCTCGAAACGTGCATCAACGTGAAGTTGAGCGCATGCACATTTCGATAGTATGAAATATTAAATGAAGTTGGCAGCATCCAGACTTGTCTGTAGTCGTGCCTTGTCCGAACCAATGAGCTGAAAGTTGTCAAGTAAACTATATTCCATAGTCAAAACCTGGCAATTCTCGAGTTATTTGTCGCAATGCCCTTCATTCTGAGTGTGAATGGCGTTTGGTAAGATTGAAAACGCTAAACAAATGTTATTCAGTTATAAATCTTAGAAACCTTTGCTTCTAATAAGATTCGTTCATAGTGAGTTGAATTCTCTTTAGTGGCGGCAATGCTGACTTCTGATTCACATGTGGCAAGATCACAAACGCCGGGTGGAAAATCGGGAAGAGTAATATTGGTATCATGCGATAAAACGATTTTCTCCATGGAACATATGCAACCTGAGATTGATTTGGATTTTGGGTTCAGCCTAGTTGACTCATATTTTAGTTTAACAAACTTTGAAGGCAATTTTTTAAAACAACAACGCGAAACCCAAACCGACTCACGATTCGGTCCTGTTTGAACGGAGAATTCGACAAATTTTTGCTCTGATCGGCATATTTTCAACAAGACTTCATTTCCAAATGACTGAGAATTGTGCAACAAAAACTTTTGGTCTAAGTCACTAAATTCATAATCGGTTTAAGCAGAAAGAGATCTATTAGGTACTTGCACAGGAAACTGCGGATTACTTCCGAGGACGAAAGTTTTTTTATTTGAAAGTGTGATGGTCCGGTTTAAATTGTATTATATTGTATTACTATTGTTTAATTATTTTCACAACTCTTGCTATCATTAAATATTATATAATCTTCGGTAGAAGATGACGGATCAAAAACTCATGTTGCAAGCGTGCCTTCTCTATGACCCCAAAATGAAGAAATCAGCATCGAAGTCGCACCGAGTCTTTGTGAAACATTCGGAGAAAACATTTTGAGTGAAAGGACTTGCCAGGAATGGTTTCGACGTTTTTGTGAAGGGGATGGCAGCTTGGAAGATGGATATTGTCCAGTTGTCTTCGATAATGCGGAGTTGCTGGAGTTGGATCCAACTCAAACTTTGCCCGAATTAGCCGAACACTTTAAATGGGATTCGAGCACAATTTCTCGACGCCTTGCGCTTATTGAAAAAAGGAATCGTTGTGGCCAATGGGTCCCACATGAATTATCCCCTGAAAACAAAGCCAATCGAGTTTTATGGTCTCGGTTTCTATTGAAAAAGGCTATGGGCAGTGCTTTTTTGAAAACATGTTGATGATGGACGAAAAGTGGACATATTTCAATAATGCAACACGCAAAAGACAATAGTTGAGCAAAGGAGAAAGGCCTGTTCCGAAATCACATCCAGAACTTCACGGAAAGAAAGTTATGCTGTCGGTCTTTTGGAATATGAAAGTAATCGTTGATTTTGAATTAAGAAAATCTTCAAAAACTATAACTTCTCAAATCTACGCCGAACAGCTGAAGAAAGTTGATGAAATTCTACGAGAAAGAGGTGCTGATCCAAGGACAATCCATTTACTCGCTCACAATTTCCGGGTACACACATCAAACCTGGCTCAAAAAAATCATAGAAGAATTTGTGACTTGTGCCTCATCCGCCCTATTCGCCTGATCTCGCTCCCGCAGATTTCCACTTGTTCCTGTCTATGCAACACTCTCATGCAAATCTAAAGTTTAACAATCCTGAAGAAGTCGAAATTTGGGTGCAAGACTACTTTGTATCGCGGGACCCCGAATTTTTCGAATCAGACATCCGAAGTCTACGCAAAAAATGAAAGAAAATAGTTGGTAATAACGGCGAATATCTTTTGGAATAAAGTTGTTTTCTTATTGATTTTTGGCTTGTTCAAATGTTGGTTATATAATCCGCAGTTTCTTTTGCAAGTACCTAATAACAGTACCTCATTTTGTCATTGCAAGCTTGATACGTTCCCATCAACATTGCTACGTCAGGCAGCTCGATAGCATGTTTGTATTCTTTACCTAGAAAAGACTTCATCAAAATGATTTCCATAGATAAACCAAAATCAGAAGAAAATTGGAGTGAATTTCCCTCAGCTGCATGAAAGATCGCCGTGCATTCGGAATCGAAAAAAATCGTGTTAAATTTAGGTTAGCTTTAATTTTCTGTGAATGGATAGCTTTCAAGGGATAGTTGACAATCAGTTTATGGTAATTTACGACTTTTAAACCTTCAAGATCAGAGATATTTGAAAGCCTTGGGCTAAAGTGTTGAACGTTTTGATTAACAATAATAACCCGATCCAGACCACAATTGCTTTCCTTTGCCATGTTTTCTGAAAATGTTCAAATTTGTATAAAACCTTAAAAAGTTTGACCTTCAAACATGCGAATTAAGAATTTTAAAGAAGAAATAAAAAAATCCAACCTTCAACTTTGCGAATCGTTATATGAAATTTGAGACCACTTTCTGGTGTTAGACCATATGGGCTTGGATAGATGAGTAAGCGAATCCTGAAAGCTTGTCCAAGAAAAGTTGCTGCTTCGGCATCTTCATCATCACGGTCCGTTCTATAGTTTTCATGAAGCTGTTAACATATTTTGGATAAAATCCGGCAATTGCCGCCATTGCTGACTGGCTAAGAGGCCTGTATCTTACAAGGAAATGGTCAGAAGTGATCGTGAGACGAAGAGGTGCAAACACAAGTCGAGTCCGGCGAGAACGGGCAATGGTTTTCGAGAAAAACGCTTTGCAAATTTAGGCTTTCTGAAAACGGAGCCTAGAGGTTAAAAAGAAAATCATCTCGCATCTCACTTCTTAACCTCTAGGCTCCGTTTTCCGAGTAGAAAGCCTAAATTTGCAACGCGTTTTTCTCGAAAAACATTGCCCGTTCGCAAAAACTAAAAGCACTATCGTACTCGCCGGACTCGACTTGTGTTTGCTGCTCATTTTCGTCCCGAAATCTCACGATCACTTCTGACCATTCCCTTGTTATTCGAGAGGTCACGGGTTCAATCCCGCTGGCTAGATTATTGGTTCTTTTTTCCCATATCTATAGGTTTTTTTCTTTCCTACATTTAGTGCTTAGGAATTGTGCTTGTGTATTGCTTGTACCACATTATTTGTGTGAATAAATGCATTTTTTTAAATAAAATCTCACCGTCCTATTGGGATTTGTACTTCACTGCCGTTTACTGACAAAATTTCGAAGAGGTACATGTAGCCGCTGTAACGACTATTACGTGGCTGAAAATCGTCGATAGTCAGCGTCAATTGATGATTTGGCGGTGGTTTAATCTGTAATTGTTTGGTGATATATCTGTAAATGTAACTTCAGCAATGTAGCTTGAGAAAAGCTCAATAATCTCACAATCCAATTGCAATCAATGCTCTCCTGGTGTTTTTCTGGGTACCCAGGATTCTTGAGAATCATCGGTTCATCGTCGGTTTCATTCATTGTTTTCTTTTCTTTTTTATCGAAGCACTGTCCTAAAGGTTTAAATTTACATTTGAATTTGAAAATTGTAAATCTTCTTTCCTTATTTTGTTTAAGTATTAGGTTGATGCATAAGTCTTTTTGTTCCTTTTCGTCTGCCGTTTCAAGCCAACAAATGCACCAATTAAACTACGGTTGATTTCATTAGAAAAACCAATTATTTTTCTGCAAAATAACATTAAAACGGGTTTAAAAATATTTTATGCCTGGATTTTCTTGAGAGTATGAAGTCGGGTAGTCAAAAAGGGCTAACTCGATGATGCGGTTTAGACACCTTAGCTAAAGAAAACCTATCTTCGTGTCAATAGATAAAAGATAGAGAAAAAAAAGTTTGATATTTCGCCAAAATTTCAGAGAAATTCATTCAGCCAATTTTTCCGTAGAGTTTTTTATAGATTTTTGCGAAAAAGGCGTTATTCACTCTCGAATTTGCTTGAAAGTGAACCGAAATTGATTTAAAAAGATGGAAATTGAACAAAAAAACACTTTTTTTATAGAGCAAACTATAGATTAATTGGTGAATTTGTTACTTTTTAACAGAAGCACGAAAAAAACGAAAAGACTTATGCATCAACCTATTATTTCTAGACAAACCATTTATTTCCAAATACAGCAGAAAAAGTAGTAACAAAAATAGCATTGCTATGAATGTTTGATCAAAATTTTGAAATAAATTCTTGTCTTATAATCGATTTGCTTTCAGAAAGAATAGCCAAACTCCAAAAAGCGTTGAGTATAAACAATCGAGTCCGATTTGTAAAAAGGACGGCTCTTTTTGTTTGGTTTTAAAAATAATCCATGATTCATGGAAGTTTAAAGTCTTATCGATTAGTTTACAAACATTCAATTGTTGATTATTGTAATAAGTAAGAAATAAAGACAGTATTCCTTTTAAATTCACTTTTTTCGAATAGCTTTTTAAAAAGTCACTTTGTTAAAGCCATTTACTGCTAATTCTGTTAAAAAGTTCAGCCGAAAATCAATTTTTTCGTAGACAGTAGTTAGTCCCTGATTTTTGTGAGTTTTTAGAAATTGACATACTCTCAGATGCAGTTTCAGTTTTGTTACTATGAAATCATTTGTTTCACTGACGCAAGCCCAGTTTTCTGCTTTCTGCGCCGTACTTTTTCTTTTAAAAACATGAACCCAGCTACTCGTCACTTTTCTTTGAACTTTTTAAATACAGAAACCAAGAACACATGCTTTTTTGTAAGTTCTATTTGAACGGTGATGGCAGAGATGTTTGCAGAGATTCTCTTCTCTTCACAACATCTCGAGAAGTCATTTTTGAGTGAAATACACAAATGAAAGCACAAAACGTGCAAATGAATTGCAACTGCTCAATGAAACTTGTTGGATTAAAGCAGTTCGGCCTGAGATATCTCTCATCACAAGTAATCACGTGTGGAAGAAAGGAATATCTGTAGTCCCGGGAGAGTAGGGCGGCAGAAACTGTGTGGCGCTGCAATCTCATCACATCTCTGATCACATGGGGAACCCACACGCCAAATTTCGAAACAAATCCCATTGAATGGAGATCGGCATGATAGGCCTTTAGTTGTTCTCCCAGAGCACTGGTTGATTGTTTGTTGTCGATCGAGCTCAGTTAGAGCTGTTTCATTGAAGTCATTCACGCTTCCACCCCTCGCCTTTTCCTCTAGGGAAAAGTCGCCTTTCTCGAAACGATGAAACCATCTGTGAGCGGTTGTTAGACTAAGTGAACCTTGCCCATAAACATTATTAATGCCCCATAAGCACGGATGGTAGTGGAATTTTCTTTGAAGCGAAACAAAAGGACATGCCGAAGATAGCCTTTCGGTAGAGTATCGGATGCCTTCAAAAGAAAGACAAAAATAAAACAGAAAATACCAATATTCCATTTGGATTTTTTAGTAATTAATAGTTGAAGAGTGGCGTAAACAAACTCCTTTTTATCTGAATGCTTTTGGCGCTGGGGAATACTGATAAGAGAAGAAAAAAATCATCATTTTGATCTTTCCAACCTAATATAAGACTGCTTTCAAAGTCTTAGCTAAAGCCTTATGTAAGGCCTAATTATTGTAAGCTTTCTCGCGCGATTGGAGTCTAGTTTGAACTGTTTTTGTAACTTTGTTAAGTGCATTGCTGACTGCGGGGGCGATTTGGTGTTTACATTTGATCTTTGTCGAGAGACGTCAAATGAATGCCAATGAATTGCCCGGCTGGACCTGAAAAGGAGTAAACCCAATGAACTCCTCAAAAATTTTTTTACTCTTCAATGTTTGAACTGCAATATTTGACCACAAGTATGCGAGGAAATGGTTTTCCGGGATCAAGTAAAACGTAGTATTTGCGGATACAGAAAAACTGGCAAAGACTTTCAAAGTAATGCTTACAATAAGCTGCATTAGAGCAGAAATATTTTAATACTGATTGTTTCTAAATGAAAACATTATATTCAATTGACCGTTTTTGACTCAGACACAGAAAAAAGCTAACAATTCAGCCAACAGTTTTCTCACAGTTTAAAAATCGAGTTCTTCTGTGAATACAGGGTCAATATTTATGGAAACCAATAGATCACCAGGTTTCAAGCTTGTTTTATACAAATCTAATATTTAAAAAGAAATAAACATATCAAAAACATAGATTTTAAGAAGTTTAAGTCATTCTTTTTCAAGATTATTGCCTTTCACGTTGTGTTTGTTCAGAAATTCCGGTGGAAAGTGCTCACTGTGCTCACTGTGGTAAGGAAATCGTATGATTTGAGTTTGTCACAAACTTACGTTAAGTTTTCTTGAGAGAATCAAAACTGGAATATGTTTCGAACATTTTTAATGTCCCATAAATTTGAAAACTCGTAAATAGTGAAGAATTTCTTATTATTAAAGAAGAATAGCTAGGTCTGATCCCTGTAATTTAGTAACCGCGTTCCAATAAATCAGTTTTTCGCATAACAAATTGAGTAAACAGTAAAAGTGTGGATGCCATGTTTGTCCTAACTTTGTAATTCAGTGCTTTCTTCAATGATTTTTTGCAGAAACTGATTTTGGAAGCGCTAAACAACCTTCAAACTCAAAAGTTCCCATAAATATTGAAGTATTTCAAAAAGTAATAGAAGTAATATGTACTCTACTCGTATTTCGAACAAGAAACAAGCCTTATAACTCGTTAACTTTAACTTCTCTGGTTTTAACTTGTCCATACACAGTTAAAACCTAAAGTTAGCTACTTTACTTGATCAAGAATTATGTCTAGTCTGAATGCAATTCATCCAATTCGTCCTGAGTGCGGCTAACGGGAATATTTTTGGGCATAGTACTAACTATACCTTTACCTTATACATTTTATATTGTTTTTATAAAACCGATAGTCTTAATCAATTTAAGCAGCTTTTCTGTGCCTTTTTGACTAAATTAGTCAAAAAATCGCTTCCTACGTAATCACAAGACCATCGCCAGACCAAAGAATTCGAAGAAGTTTGGAAATCATTAGAAGAGAAAAAGTTAACTAGTCTTTTCTAAAAAACTACATATTTGACCACATGAACTGTGAAAGAAATTAACCTGTGAAATTGGGAGAAAAGCAAACAAATCACTTGAACTCTGGTAAAAAGAAGTAACATGTGAATGGCGTTGTTCAAATAGAACTGAAAGTGGTCAATTGGGCGGGGGACAGCAAGGAAACAAATTTTAGACGAATAGTTTGAGTATAAATATCGGTGGGGAAGTTGGAGAAATCATTCGGCTCTCATTTGAATCTTCTCTAGTCAAGATGAAAACTCTCTGCTTGATCGCTCTCGGCTTGGCCGTCATGTAAGTCTTTTCAAGTTTAGAATCAAGATTCAAGTCAAGTAGACAAGTTTCTAGATAAACTCATAAGACTAAGTCTTAAACATTAAAAGAAAAACCTTCAGAAGATAATTCTTATAGTGTAACATCAGACTAGGATCTGTTCGGTATTAGAGCTAGTTGAATCTAGGCCTCAAATGAGTCCAGGCTTTCAAATCATTGAGCAATGACCTTATGAACTCTTGCGGTGTTGGAAAGATATATCAATTTCAGGGTTGTGGCTCAAGGACCTGGAGGTGGTGGCCGAGGAGGCGGTCAGCAAGGTGGCCAAATGGGAGGACAACAAGGAGGCCAAATGGGAGGACAGCAAGGAGGACAGATGGGAGGACAACAAGGAGGACAGCGAACTGGTCAACAAGGAGGATTTGGAGGACAACAGGGCGGTCAGATGGGAGGCCAACAAGGTGGACAGATGGGAGGACAACGTGGTGGACAGATGGGAGGACAACAGGGCGGACAACAGGGCGGACAACAGGGCGGACAACAGGGCGGACAACAGGGTGGACAAATGGGCGGACAACGTGGTGGACAGATGGGAGGACAACAAGGAGGCCAAATGGGCGGACAAGGAGGTCAGATGGGCGGACAAGGAGGACGCCCTGGAGGAAGATAAGCTTTCCATCCATAAACATAAGAGATGTGAATACTATGTATTTAATAAAACTTGCATTCAATGATCTTTATTTGAAAGAACGACACCAAGACGGTAAAGAAAATGTTCCAGTAAAAAGAAGTCAAGAAAATGTTCAAGAGTCAAAAACATGAGAAAAGTCAAACATTTTATTGAGCCAACAAGTTACGGTTTGAAAAATGAAAGTTTTTACAAAGCTATTTTGATTTTTGAGGTACAAATTGACAAACTCTTGAAGTTTTAAAGCAAGTTCTATCCGCTATTTTCACAGCCCGGGACATTGTAGGGCCAATCACAAACAGTGAGATTCGGATTCCATACAGTACCAGGACCACAAGGCATACGGGTCCAGCCAGCGGGAGCACACTGGAAACAATCAATATTTCAATATTGCCATTTCAATATTCCAAATCAATCAATATTTCCATTTCAAATGCATTATTCGTTTTCAATTTGAACTTTGAGAACCAAGACTTCAATGGAACTCTGTTTGACTAAATTACCTGGTAGAAATAATTACAAGAAGTTGGATCAGCTCGATAGTTAGCAGCACCAGCTTGTTGCTGAAAGATTATTAAATGTCTAGATAAATAATCAGCCAGACTTGACAAGGCATTCCGGGATAAATTGATGGCACTGTTGACATTGAAGCCTTAGTTGTTTGAGACTTGGTTGTAGCTTTGGTGGTTGGAGTTCCTAAGGTTCATTTTTAAACAGCTAACTATTATTGCTCACCAATGATGTATGGCCGTTTGCAGATTGCCGTTTGAAAGCTGAAAGTACACTGGAGATCATCCCATTTCTGGTATTGATACCACCACGGGACGTTGAGGCCAAAGGGAGAGCTGAGCACCTGGAAATGTACAAGATCCTTTTGACAATGCAACTTGAAATAAAGCCGACATTTGACTTTGGCCATTCAACAGCTTGAACAAAAGGCATAAAAGGTGAAATCCTTTCTGCTAATTTCATTTCCAAATCTCTGACTTCATCAAGGAATTGATTCATATTGACGAATAAATTTTGACAAAATCTGATCCGATTCACCAAAAACCAAAGAGATTTCTCGGGGAATTCGTAGGATTTCTGTTGAATTTCAATAGTTTTCAGAGAGATTTCCGAGGAATTTCTAAGTCAATCTAACTTTGACTACCGAACTCACTTGTATACAACTCTGCCCGCCATCATTATTCGGGCCGACAGGCACCCAATTGGTGTAATCCCATGGGGTATTGTCAATCCATTTCCAGTCCCCTGGGTTTGATCCCGTCTAAATGTTAGAAGTGTCTCTTAAAATTGCAATCAAGCAGTATTTGGAGCACAGGTAGCTGCAATTCTGGTTAGTTGTGGTAAGTTCTCAAATCTTTGCTGCAAAAACTAACCCTCTGTCCACCAATCAACGTCTGGCCATTTCCAATCGCTTTGTGCTGACAAGAGATTTCTAAAATGAAAATGAGGTGCTAGCATGAGATAAGCAATGAGATGCGCTTTTTGCGCCAAAATCTTTTGCGCCAATTTCATTTGCACTAAATGAGCTTTTTTTCAAAAACACTCACAAGAATTAGTTGATTTTGTACTTGATTGACAAAAATTAGATGATTTTGACGAATAGACTACAGAAAAAGATATTTTTGTGTGTGTTTTTCTCGCTTTATCGATTTCAAGTAGTATTCAGAGTTAGGAGAAGCGGCAATATGGCTCTCAATCGCCACAAGATCTTGCAGCATTTTCAACAAACGGCAAACTGATAACAGCTTCATTTCTAATATTTCTATAGCCTCTAAAACTTCTAAAGATCAAGTCTGGTAATTTATTGACCTTTACCAGTTTAATGAATCAAAAAACTTTTCGATTTGAAACTTGTGCTAGGTAGAATGCTCAAAAATTGAGGTGCGCCAAATTATTTGCGCTACGTATCGTTTGCGCCAATTTTCATTATCAATTAACAAAATCACTGTAACAAATTACTTTTTCCCAACTTTTTTTCAGTTTACTACTTCACAATTTTAATTCAAACTGTTTTCAATTAGAAAACACGTTTAAATACCTACACACACCCCAAAAACAGCATTTTTGTGTCACCGATTGGGATTTTTGCTCTTTATATCGATTTTATGTTATTTTCCGGCAAAGGCGTCAAAGTAGCGAGCATCGCCGACGAAAAAAAGTAGTAAAAGAATAAAAATAAACAATCAAAGCTGGTAGGAAAGAGTATTGAAAAGCGCAAATTTGGCGCAAATGATACGTGGCGGAAATAATTTGGCACTTTTGCTAGCACCTCATGTAAATTTCTACGTTAAAGTGACTTCACAAGAATAGCTTTTGAGATAACATAAAAATCTAACCATTAATCAACATGTCTTCTTCGTAAGAGTGAATCGAGGCAAGCGTTCCGTTGATTTCCTTGCATTTAGAGACACCCTGTGTAAAGGTGAATCCACCAATGATCACCTATACTTGTTAGTTTATTATCAAAACTATTTTATATGGACTTACCTTATAACAGCTCTTAAACCTGACATCTAGAAGCCAACCCGGCGGACAACTGACAACAACAATATGAGCGGTCACCGTGTACAATGCAAAAAAAGCACCAATGCAAAGTGGTCTGAGCATCTCCTTTTCAGAAAAATCTCAGAAAAATGAGATTTTCAAGTTTTCTGTTCCTTATAAATAACTTCAGCGGCTGGTCAAATAACCATTGAAGCTTGTGTTTTTAAACCAAATACCGCAAATGGACGAAATACTGAATTTTGAAAGAAATACCGCTATTGTTTGCACAATAGCCAATGGTTTCGAACACTCAATTTAGAACCGTTATTCGAAATAACACTTTTCAAGAAAAGGTTCAGGCTTTTAAAGCACTTACTTAATTTTTTACCAAAATTCTTTTACTAATTCGCTTGTACCTAAAGACACAAAACAAAGACCTAGAGCTTAAACATACAAAAGGGGTAGCGACATAGAAGTAAAATGCATTTGCGGACAAACAATTACATTTTGGGGAAAAAATTGTACGGAAAACCCTGAACATGGATAATCTTTCATCAGATTAACTCTTGTAAGATGAAAAAATAGCGGTGATTTGGTTGATTTTAGAAGAAAATCGTCATTGAGATCATTGAGATCATTAATCAGATCATTGAACTGAATATGTTCCTTTGAATTTGATTCTGATTATCGAGGCCTTGGGTAAATTTGTATTTCTATAAAATAATCTCAACTTATCAACACTTCTCATTAAAATGGTAGATCCAGTGCTATTTGAAAAAGTCATCATCTATCTTAACAGCATCTTGGCCTATTTGATGAATGGAATCCTCATCTATTTCATTCTCTTTCACAGTCGGAAAGAAATGGGCAACTATCGATATTTGATGTTATCATTTGCAGTTTTTAATCGATTCTATCCGACAGTTCATTTGCCGGTGATGCCGGTGAGTTGTTTTCTACTGATCCGGTGTTGCCAACGTACAGAGTGGCGCACAATTATGGAGACTCGGTTTTTCGACTGTAACTCGACGCCCAATTCTTCGATTCCAAAGGAAATGATTTCGAAAGTACAAAATATCAAACTTGCCAATTACACTGAATTGTTGACTGTTTTGGGTAATTCTTTAAACCAGCTACGTTCTGGAATTTGATGAGCTTAATAAACTTTTATTTTAGATTAGATATTTCAAAGAACGCACAAGATGAACACACTGAAGTAAAGTTCAAAACTAGAAAGAGCCGGTGATAAAAATTAAGACTAAAATTGCGCACTTGTAATTCAATTAGATAAAAAGACGCAAAAAGGAAAGAATTTGGTTGTTCTTTGGAGGAAATAATCGTTCTTTTAGGCTGAAAATTCAAGAAGTAATGAGTTTTGGAGCATTGTAAGCATTGTAAAATTCGGTGACGATTCAACTTCCCAAAAAGCTCATAGCACATTTTGACAAGTTTCAAAATGACAGATCTGACCATTGTTGGGCAATCGATCATCTATTTCAACAGTACATTAGCATATTTAATGAATGAAATCCTCATCTATTTCATCCTTTTTCATAGCAGGAAAGATATGGGCAACTATCGATATTTCATGTTATCATTTGCGGTTTTCAATCTTTTCTATCCAACAGTTCATTTGGCAGTGATGTCGGTGAGTTATCTTCTACTGATGTAGCCGGTATATTTAACGCAAATAACATTTCCAAAAGAAAGCTTTAGAGCTGGACCAAGACCCCATTTTCCAGGTCAAGACACGTCAAAGCCAAGGCAAACTAAAGCTGCGAAGTAATGCATCAAACATAAATATTGAATGCAAATGAAGGGAAAGAAGGATAAGAAGGAAATTGGCTAGGATAGGATTCAAACTCAAGCCGAAAGACTTCATGGGTTCCATAGACTAGCACACTATCCACTAGACCGGAAAAGCCGATGGGAAGTTGTGATTGGGAAATAAAAAAATATCAGGTTGGCAACTAAATAATGGCCCTTTTCAGTAAAAACAAAAAATTTATTAACAAGATGAACAAATATCAACATCAATCCAAAAGGTATTCTCCGTCATTCTTTATTACTTCTTTCCACTTTTGACGGAGCAACTGGATTCCTCTCTTGAAAAATTCTTCTGGTTGATCGTCAAAGAACTTCTGCACTGAAATTCGGACTTCGTCAAGGTCATTGAACTTTTTCTCGGCTAGAAAGTGTTGCATCGATCGAAAAAGATGGTAATCACTAGGCCCCATATCCGGGCTGTATGGCGCATGAGGAAGAACATTCCAGCCCAACTCCTCGATTTTCTCCATTGTAAGTTTTGCAGTGTGTGGTTTTGCGTTATCATGGAGAAAATGAATTGAAGAGGGTTCGAGTCCTTGAGAGCGAATTGCTTGATCTACACGAAGTAGTTGAGACGAATAGAGTTCTGAATTAACCGTTTGCCGGCTTTTGAGAACCTCGAAATGCACCAACCCACGAGAACTCCACCACACACAGAGGAGAGTTTTCTTTGAGTGAATATCCGGCTTCGGAGTTGGTTTTGGGTCTTCGTTTGTGCTAAGCCACTGTCGTTTTCGCGTTCGATTATCATAAAAGATCTATTTTTCATCAGAAGTGACAATGGAATCCAAGAAGCTTCCCTTTTTCGCAAGTTTTAGTAGTATTCCAGCTGTGATAACACGGGTAGCCCTATTTTCTTCGCTCAATTCATGCGGAATCCACTTTCCACTGCGGTTACTTTTCCCCAATGCATGAAGTCGCTTTTCGATTGCAGTATGCAAAAAGCCCAATCGATCCCCTAGCTCGCTTGATGTTTGACTTGGATCCTCCTTTAAAGCTGCTTCCAAAATATCGTTCTGCAGAAGTTTGGGTCGTCCTTGGCGAGGCTCATCTTCAAGACTTTCATCCCCTTCCTTGAACCGTCGATACCATCTCTTACATTGTGTTTCGGAAAGAGCTTCATCACCAAAAACTCGCAATAAATCTCTGTGAGATTCGGCAGCTGTTTTGTCTTGTTTGTAGTCGTACCAGAGACAGACACGCATTCGATATTTGAGATCTTCCATTTCTAAACAAAATTATTTGAAAAGTATCAAATCAAGGAAAGTAAAAAACGTATAATAATGCACCAGAAATTCAGTAATATTCAATTAACAACAAGCGAGGGTAGATTAAACGCAAAGATTAAAAGATTTTATCAAAAAAGGGCGAGGGCCATTATTTACTAGGTTGGTGCAAATGAAATTTTGTTTTTTTACAAACATTAAAGTCATCCAAAATTTTTTTAGATAACAATTTATTTAAAACAATAAGCACCATTATTATCTATGACATCCCTCCAACGTTGCTTCAGATTGCGGATCCCCTTCTCAAAGAACGCTTGATTCTGTAATGCAAAGTAGTTGGTCACCCAATTTTCGACTTCTTTTGCATTCTTAAACTGGCAATTCTCAAGGGAATGTTGCATCGATTTGAAAAGGTGAAAATCGAAGGGTGCTAAGTCTGGACTATACGGCGCATGTGGTAAGACCTTCCATCCTAGCTTCTCTAGTTCCTTACAAGAGGTTTTTGCCGTGTGAGCTGGAGCATTATCACGGAGAAAGTTGATAGTTTAGGGATTTAGGCCTTTTTCACGCAAAATTTCGTCAACCTTTTTGAGTTGTTGAATAAAATAAGATGAATCGACTGTTTTTCCGGGCTCTAATAATTCAAAATGAACAAGTCCATTGATATTCCACCAGCAAGACAACATCACTTTGCGCCCATGATAATCCGGCTTTGGAGTTGGAATTGGCGCTTGACCTTTGCTCAGCCATTGTCTTTTTCGAGAAGTATTATCAAAGTGAATCCACTTCTCATCCATCGTCAAGATATTCTCAAAAAAATGGCTTCTTTTCGACTTATGGAGCAGGATATGGCTGATCGAAACGCGTGCTCCCAGATTCTCAACACTCAATTGATGTGGAACCCATTGTCCATTACGATTTGTCTTTCCAATTATTTCCAAATGGCGTACAATTGTTGAATGATCACATTGGAGATGTTTGGCAAGTTCTCGTGTTGTTTGCATTGGATCAGCTTCAAGCTTCAATTAATTGTTCCAATTCATTGTTGTCGATGGCTGTGGCACGATGTCCATGTGATTCGTCTTCAAGGGATTCATTACCATCTCGGAATTGGGCAAACCAGAGCTGGCATGATCTTTCGGTGATAACCTGTTCTCCAAAGGCGGAACAGAGATCACGATGTGAATCAGCAGCGTTTTTGCCCATTTTGAAGTCATAGAGAAGACACGTGCGCAGAACATACTTTTGATCCACCATGATCTAAAGCAAAAATCAAATAAAAAGTGAAAGCTCTGACTTTGAAAAAATGCGAAAATAAAGTAAATATCCAAGAGTACAGATGCACAAAAGAACACCAAATAAGTTCTTCAGATTAAAAAAATAAGAACATTTTATATCGACCGAAATTTCTTTTGCACCAACCTAATAGTTGCCAACCTAATAAAGACAAGGAATGTTCTCTAAATTCAGGCAGATCGAGAACAATCACTCAACTTTTGGGCTTAACCACGATTGGGAAATAAAGACAAGGAATGTCGCTAGATTCAGGCAGATCGAGAACAATCATTCAACTTTTGAGCTTAGCCACTAAAATGCACTACAATAAGCACTAATATATCGAAATTAACCTAAAATCCTTACTAGAAAATGCACGCCTACGGCTACGGCTATGCTCTGATGCCGACATCATTCTTGATGAACACCATCATACCAGCGCATTTGGGATTGTGCATATATGGAGCACTCTTCTCACAGGTTCGATTCTAGCTTGACTCTATCAAAAACTCTTCAGAGCCTATCCCTTCTCGAGTATCATTTTATCTATCGATATCTCGCCATTTGCAAGTAAACTGATCTTTAAGGACTAGCTCTATTCCCTTTCAGAAGCCACTGCTTATATGTGTTCAACTCGTGGAAATATTTCATCATTCATCTCTTACTGATGGGCCTTGTTTGGGGACTGACTACACATTTGTTCTTAAGCTCGCAGACTCTGGCAGTATGAATTTTCAGTGATCCGCCTAGTGCAGTATTTTAGGACCACTTCCGGGAACCACTTTGGGAAATCTATGTGAACAAGACGGCAATTGTTGGGCCATTGTACAAGATTTCTATTTTATTTTTCGATGTTGCTTTCCTATGTTTGAGACTGTTAACGAACGATAGAGGTTTTTGGCGCGAAAACAAACTCGGTGAAGTGGTTTCGGATTGGACGAATCTCTTTGCGCTGGCAGTTGTTGAGCTAATACTTGGAGCATCGTTCGCTGTAATCATCTTTTGCACTTGGCAAATTCAAAAGACTTTGAAAGTGAGATTTCACTGAGTGAATCACTTTAAAACAATCTTAGACCACAGCAATGAGCGAAAAATCGATCAGGTTGCAACATGAGCTCTTCAGAGCGCTATTAGTTTAGGTAAAACAACATTAAAAGAGCAAACTTTAACAAATTTAGCCTTGCAAAAACTTCAAGAAGCTTTAGACAATTGTTCCGGGAATTTTTGCGTACACCCCTGGAGCTATCGCTTCATTTTGTCCGCTCTTTGGTGTCCCTCTTGGCCAATGGTGCACTCTGATTCCAATTCTCATTTCATTCTATCCATTTGTTGATCCAATCTGCATGCTATATTTTATTAAGGATTACCGGAATGTTTTGATTGCCAAGTTTGGTACAAGGTGGGTACTGAAGTTTGATATAAAAGGGCCTTAACTTATCTAAGATTATCTAACAATACAGGGTGGCCGGAAAGTTCTATTACTTTTGAAAGCGACGCCGCGAAATTCAGGTTCAGAAAAGGAGAAGTGAAAACAATAGTAAAATAAATATTTACCTTTTCTTATTAAAATTAAGCGTTTTTCATAAAGACTTATCAAAAAGATGGGTTTTATTATCCTTTCAAGCAAGGCTCTCTGTTCTCCAGACTGGTCGCACAATCGAGCTGAAAAGTCCAGTGATTAAAAAAGTTGGAACACAAATAAAGCTTACCCAGTTTTATATTCAAAAAGAGGAGATATTTTTCTTTAAAACTAGCCGCTCTATAACTAAATTGAGCTAGAAATAACAAATCTACAGTCATTTTGCGAATTTCAAAATTAGAATTGAGAGCTTCTGAAAAAGATTCTTTATTGAAACCGTTAAGAGAGTCGAAATTTTCTCAAAACTTGATTTCATATAATAAAAATAGTTAACTTTTAAAAAAATTAAGTTTATTACCTTTGATCTTTTGTCAATCGAATTTTATGGTGTTTCTTTTAAAAGTAACAGAACTTTTCGGGCACTATTGGGTTTGGGAGTTTGAAATGGCAACGTTTTCGGATAGAATTTTGAAAAAAAACTAAACCATACCCTTTTTTCAAATTTATTTCTAATAACAATTGAAGTTTTGTTCATTATACGCCAAAATTTCATTCCGATCTGGTGTAGTGTTTTCGAGAAATGAGGATGGATGTGTCAAAGGTCGATTTTTGACTATCACTTAACGTGACGATTTTTGTAACAAAAATACTCGACTAGCATCCAGTTAAAACGGCTATTTTATAAGATAATAAATCAAATTCGATAATAAAAGTTAGTAATTGAAAAAGACGTGTTTGAGTCCTGAAAATAGTAACCTCAAAGATCTCTCATGTTCCCAAAAAGTGACAAGTTCTTATTCGAAAATTTTTGATTAACGAAAATTTTAAATTTTATGTTTATTTTGGTTAATAATTTTATACAAACATATTGGTTCAAACAGTTTTTGAGTCTAGTAAGTTGCAAATTTTTAGCGGTCTTAATTTTAAGGGAAATTTAGGCAAAAATCGACTTTTTAACTCTCATTTCTCAAAAACTCTGCATCAGATCGGGATGAAATTTTGGCGTATTTACTATATATAATTGAAGGTTGTTCGTCCGTCCGTCAGTCCGTCCGTGCGCACGAAAATTTTTCGAAACGTCGAGGAGCAGGTGTGGCCGAGGGGATAGCGCGCCAGTTTCCAGATCGGATCCAGCCCGCGGGATATTGTTTTGCTTTTTTGTTATTCAATGAAAGAATTTGTCTTTGCTATGAATTATATGATTGTGACATATTCGTCTGTCAGAAAAAAAAACAAGAAATGGGTTTCTCGGGCTGGAAATTGATACCCGGACACTTTCGACTATGCTGATGCCAAATTTAAAGTCAGATTCGAGGCCTATGTGCAAGTTAGTAAACGGGTTTGGCCAAACGGAGTGTGGCGTAGTCGCTACTCAGGGCTCGGCCCCAGTTGACCAATTTCGATGTGTGCTATATTTTTTGATACGACAATTTATATATGGACAATTTCTCGGCCGCCGCGTGGCGGACGCCCAGCTGGTAATCAACAAAGCTTCAATTGTTATTAGAAAAAATTTGAGAAAAAGTTATGGTTTAGTTTTTCTTCAAAAGCTCGATCGAAGACGCCGCCATTTCATATTCCCCAACCCAATAAGAGTTATCTAAGAAGCGAACTTGATTTTAGAATCAGAGTCTTGGGCGGAAATGAACATGAAAGAGTGACATCTCTAAAGCTTTCAGCATTCGAAATCTCAACCCCGCAAAAGAAAGGATTCAATTTATAATCAAAAGACTGAAGCTCATTCTTGATGTTTCTTGAACAGAGAATTCTATTTACCGAGACCCGATTTGTGAACAACATTTTTTTCCTCTTTCTCAGCCTTTTCCTATTCGTGACCTTTAACTTTTTTTTACACAGGTGGATTCACGAAAATCTCTAAAACCATACTTGTTAATAAAAAGTACGCACATCAGTAAGTCTATTACATTTGCTAAACCCCAAGAACTACACAAAAGAATTCAATGAATTCAAAGAAAATGTGACACTAAAGCACCTGTTTCATTAATTATTCTATTGGGTTGATGAATTGAAAAATGCGGGACTCTGAACTAAAATTTATTCAACATAAAACCATAAATTCATTCCAAACAATTTCCATTATTATTGACGACTTCTGCCCATTTTACAGGCAATTTGCGGATTCCCCTTTCGTGGTAGGATTTTGGTTTGTGTGTGAGAGAAGTGTGAGACTCAAGAATGGAGGACTGGAGACTCAAAAATAGAGGAATGTCCCAGTTTGAGCACTTTCTTCAAAAGAAACCCCTTTTGGTGTCAATAGAAAAGTTGTAGAGAATCAAAAATTAAACTTATATCCAAATTTCCAAAAGATACACTTAGTAGTTTCGCTTAAAATACAAGTTTTGTGAAAATTCGTAAATTTGGCATTTCTTGAAAACCAGTTTTTGAATCGTTCTGAAAATTTGGATATCAGCTTAATTTTTGTTTCTCTACAACTTTTCTATTGACACCAATAGGGGTTTCTTTTGAAGAAAGTGCTCAAACTGTGACATATGCCAATAGCCCGCAGTTTTCAATTCACCAATCCAATATTTTGTTCAGACAAATAGTCAACCTATGCAAGAAACAATCAATTTCATTGGTCATTGAACAATGTTTATTCCAAGTGTATCGACAGAACAATGGATTTCAACAATATTTAATTGCACTTGGTTTCTCGCAACTTTTCTTGTACTTGTTACATTATATTTTCTCATAAAGCAAAAGACTTTTGCTACGCGTGCTCATCGGATTTTGCAGATCAACTTGCTAGTGAGTGGCTTACAATAGTAACAGGGTTGATTTATGTAAAGCTGCGTCTCCTCTTCAAGACAGGCTAATAAGTTTTCGGGCTTCTCTAAAATTTTAGATCAATTAAAACCTCATTCTAATTGGTAAACTCAATAAAATGAATAGCATCAATCAATTCCCCGATTCTGTAAACTCCTAGGCACAAGTTTACAGCTGAATATCTTCTTTTTGTAGCATCTACAAAGCAAAAGAGGAATCTCTGTGTAAATGACTGGCGAGGTGTTCTTTATGCGCGCGCACAATCGCTCTTCATCAGGCAAAACGTCCTGGTATAGGACACTTCCGACGCCCTCTTGGAATCCTTGAGGGGAAGGAGAGGTGAGCAAACTGCTCAGTCTCTTCAGTTTGGTTGTTGCTATGCCCGAATCTGCCGATCAATTCCCGCCCCAATTCTGATTGCATTTTTGCGACCATTCCACATCCTCCCAAGCCAAAACTAGTTGCAATACTCAAGGTTAAAATTACCTAGACTGTTAAATTACCTTTGATACCTCATAAATTATTGATAAACCGATTTATTTGAGTCATTTCTACATAAAACTTCATTAAGAAATTATAACTTACTTAGAATTCAGTTGAAGCATCTCAGTTCAAAGTGAACTACTACAATCTGGAAGAGATTTCTTTGGCAGATTGCCCCAAAGTATCAAAAGAGCTTTAGCTAGCTGCTCAAATCACTGACACCAGCACTTTCCTATGGAAACCATTGTACATAGCAGACCAATGGGCTATGATTTTATTGGATGGCACTGACTCAGCGAATCCGTTGACTATCTCGGCCCTAGTGGTTGGTGTTTTTATGCGAAATCTGATCAGTCCTAGTTCTCTATAAAAAAAGTCCCTTCTTGGGTTAAATTGCACAAGTATCATTCCAGCTCATGAATTTCCTTGGCAATCTTTATTTCGTTGGAACTTTCTGTTTCAATGGAATCTATCGAACCGAACAAATTCACACAGAATGGAAAAAGATTATGAGATTTTTCTTCTACTTGACTATCATTACGCTAACTTATGGTGGTGTTTGTATCATTGTCGTATGCTTCAGTTTCTATTTGGACGATTATGTGATTTTTGATCCGATTACGGTAGATAGTTCACGAATTAGCTCATCAACTTTTTCAGATTTGCAAACTAAAACCTCCGATCTGCAATGTGAAGGATGTGGTGGTCGTGAATCTATCACCAGCTGGGGTGATGATGTTTGAAATTCAACTACCGTGTCATGCCCTATTCTTCGTTCTTGTCTCGGTACTCTCAACCTCAGCTATAGTTGATTTTGCGCAAAAATCAAAGATGGCTTTGAGTCAAAAGACAAGAGAAATGCATTTATATTTTACGGTTATCTTTTTGTGTCAGGTATGCCTTCGCCGATAGCTTTCATGCCACTTTTTAGCTTTCTCTAACTTCTATATTCACTGTTTTTCCTTATTGTTTAGCCTCACTAGTTTTATTGGATTTTGTTGATGGAGAGATCTGGTTAATAAGTGAGTTGAACTACTTAACGAAAGCAGAGAGATCGTCAAAGAATAAAGATCAATCTTTTAGTCTCTTCAATGGCAACTCTCTACTCAAGCCTTCATTCAATCTCCAATTCACTCACCATCCTTTTCGCCACAAAATCTTATCGATCGATCATCTTTGGATGGATTCGGATGCCATTGTTCTTAATGTCAGGAACAAAAACCACTCTTGAAACCGTTAGAGACTCGACCATTGTTGTTCAACGACGACCGAATAAATAGTACTTGTTGTTAGTACTTTTTGTACTTTTTGAGTCCAGTCGACTCTCTCTATAAAAATTTTTCTGTTATATAGAGCTTTCCGTTAAATGGGACTTCCGTTATGTAGAGAGAGGATTTCAAGTCCAAAAATTTTCTCCGTCATACAGAGTTTTTCACTGCATTTTCATTTACTTAAGTGTTTTATTCATTTCTAAAAATAAATTCATAAGAAAAACAATGCAATCGTACCAATTTTGTTAAACTCAACTTTTAAAGACTTATAAAAAAATTCGTTATCTTGTTGAGAACCGTGAAGGCGAATAGCTTTAAAACATTCTTTTATTTTTTTCCACAAGCTCTTTTGATTGTTGGCGATGAAATCGAGGCTTCTTCAAATATTGATTCGCTTTGTGCTAAAATCGCATAAAAAGCGGCCTTCTTCAATCCATACTTTCCATAAGTTGAGCCTTCTGAGAATTATTCGTTTGTTCATCACCTTTATTGCATTTGTGCAAATGGATTTCTCACCCAGAGCAGCTTTGTAAATAGTCAAATTTGCAAAAATCCAAAAAAAATAAGCCGAGGAATGCGAGCTCCAGACTCCATAAAAACTTTAAATTCACGAACGCTTTTTTCAGGTTTTTTAGAAAACATGAAACGATTTAAAGTCTTGGCTTTAAGCACTTCGCTTTTCTTTTTGTTAGCACACTTTTCAGACTCTTATATAACAAGTTTCTCATTTAATATTGTTAAAAAAAAAGTAAACGAATGAAACTTTAAACTTTTGAACATTGAATATTCACAGTTAAAACGCAGCTGAAACGATTTTTTGTTCGTTTGGCATGATAAAAGCCAAGGTTGTGATTTATTTATCTTGTCACTGAATTAAATGGCAGCGGGGATAAAAATCTTTTACATAATTACGTTTACATAATTCCTTTACGTTCTTCTGGGTTGTGCAAATTGATTGATTGTTTTTGCAGAAATTTTTAAATTACAGTCTATTAATGGGACAAATTTGAGTAAAACTTGGCTTTTTTAACAGACTCTTTCTATAACAAAAGAAAAATGATCGTATTTGTGCGCTCTGTAATCATTTTACTGTAATAATTGTTATTTTGGTGTTTTCCTTTCCATTTGAACTCGAAAACCAGTTCAAAAACAGGTTTTTAACATAACCAAGCAGGTACTTTGGTTTCGGTTTTCAAATAACGAGAGATTTTCTTTTTCATTTGCATTTAACAAGTTGTAATTTAGAATTCTTCACTGTTTAGAATGCAACCACGAAGATATATCAATGCTTGGATTCTTGTGGTAGGAGTTCTCATTGTTCTTGCCGTTATGGAGTTGAACAATCGACGGGTTTTCGTTGATCTCCTCACTACAACAATTAGACTAATCTCACCAACAACCACCACAACTTCAATGTCAATTGAAACAAGTTCAACCACGAAAAGTTTAGAGCCCAGTAAAGTCAGTTTTTCAATCAATATTTTATCTTTTACTTGAAAACAGCTTTAGCAATTTGACGAGTTTGACACATTCTTGATGATCAAAATATCTTGAATGACCGATCTTTAGCCATAACCAGTCTTAGAACTATAGTTTTACAAAATAAGTCTCATTTGCCCATCTTATGTTTCATTTTTCAGACTATGACACCAGTTCTTCAATCTAAACCTCCGCCTACGAGCGCTTCACCGGTTAACACGAAGTCAACATAGTCATATTGATACTCAAGGAATTGTTTTAGGCGTTACAAACATGGTATTCTGGCATTGGCTATTGTTTGCACAATAGCCAATGGTTTCGAACACTCAAATTAGAACCGTTATTTAAAATAACACTTTTTAAGAAAAGGTGGAGGATTTTGATGCACTCACTTAATTTTTTACCAAAATTCTTTTACTAATTCGCTTGTACCTAAAAGCACAAGACAAAGAACAGGAGTCCAAACATAGAAAAGAGGTAGCGACATAGAAGTAAAATGGACAGATTTCATTTTGGAGAAAAAATTGTACGGAAAACACTGAACATGGATAATCTCTAATCAGCTTAACTCTCGTAAGATGAAAAAATAGCGGTGATTTGGTTGGTTTTAAGGGAAAATCGTCATTCTCCAGCTCATTGAGCTGAATATGTTCCTCTAAATTTGATTCTGATTATCGAGGCCTTGGGTAAATCTGTATCTCTATAAAATAAGCTCAACTTATCAACACTTCTCATTGAAATGGTAGATCCAGTGAAATATTTCCAGCTATTTGAAAAAGTCATCATCTATATTAACAGCATCGTGGCCTATTTGATGAATGGAATCCTCATCTATTTCATTCTCTTTCACAGTCGGAAAGAAATGGGCAACTATCGATATTTGATGTTATCATTTGCAGTTTTTAATCGATTCTATCCGACAGTTCATTTGGCGGTGATGCCGGTGAGTTGTTTTCTACTGATCTGGTGTAGCCAACGTACAGAGTAGTGCACAATTATGGACACTCGATTTTTCGACTGTAACTCGACGCCCAATTCTTCAATTCCCCTAATTTCATATTTATATGAAATTTTCAATAAATAAATTTCAATTTCAATTTTTAGCTTAGAAATATAGTGTTACGCTTTTACTTCGAAGTTCAGAGGTGTCAATCTTTCGACAGAATCAGCGTTTTCGATAGTTTCCAACTCTCAAGAATTGCCCACAAATCAACCAATTTTTTTTTATTCTTTTAGTTTTTAGTTAAATTTAAACGACTATCCCAAAATAAATGCATTAACTTTGCAAGACAGCAAATCAGGAATGATTTGGGAGTTAGCATGCAGCTCTGCTCAGTTCTCAAGAAATCAACTATTGGCTCTCAAAATTCTGAAATTATTGAAAATCTTCTGATGTGAAATGCTCCAGATGATTCTATTTCTTAATAAAAAGCAAAAGTGAGTAAATATGAAGCGGGAAATTCTTCAAAATATGTGCAAATCCTGCCAAAGAACGTTTCTGCCGAGAGGTTGGCGTCTCTGAACTTCAAAGCACTATAAAAAGCGTAAAACTGTGCTTCTGAACTAACAATTGAAATTGACCACAGAAATTAACTTGAAATTTCATATAAATATTCCCTTAATTTCATATTTATATGAAATATTTATATTCCGAAATTCATATAAATCTGAAATGAAGGAGAATTGCAAGATTGGGCGTCGAGTTACAGTCGAAAAACCGAGTTTCCATAATGGTGCGCCACCCTGTAGGCTGGTCTCTACTAGACATGGGAAACTTCCAACCGCGAACCTAATTCCACCTTGGCCGATTGCTCTGAAATTCTGTCTACAAATAGAAATCGATATTTTCAGCTTGTAGACAAAATTTCAGAGCAATCGGTCAAGAAACGGCAAAACGAAGGTGGAATTCGGTTCGGGTTGAAATTTGCCCATGTCTAGTCTCTACCGAACCAGTTTTACCTTCAAAACAAAGTTTTGTTGACAATAACGGAATTTAAAGATAGAAAGGGGCTATAAGAAAGTTTCTACTTAATTCTTAGTAGTTTGAATTCATTCTTGTGTCATTGAGTTTACCAAAGCTGAAAGTGACGTCATGTTTATCTTTAAGAACAACAATTAATCATAAAATCTACGCGTAATTTTACATGGAGTAGAAGAAACGTAACATTTTTAATGACTTTAACAACCCTAGCCGAGCAATACAAAAAATGTTATGCGGCATGATGCTGAAAAACAGTTAAACTCGAGTTTGGGACCTCTAAAGACCGTCTTTTTCCATCTGTTTCTGCATTAATATGTTTTAGAGTTAATGGGAGTGGGACAAATGCGACCTTTTTTTTTGCGCACCCGGACATTTGCGCACCTTTTTTTCCGCACCTTGCCCATTAGCGCACCTTTTTCGCGTTTTAAAAAGCTCTAAAAAGCTAATATTAACCAATTTCTATTCCAAAAGTTATTTTTCTAGGTAATTTTAGGGCGTAGAATCGAAATTTTGACATATCAGAGCCTGTGGAAGCGAACGGACGGAGTTATACAAAGAGAAAAATCAACAATTTTCTGTAATTTGACCTACCCGTTTTGTTTTTCAAATTGGTTCCACAGGCTCTGATATGTCAAAATTTCGATTCTACACCCTAAAATTACCTAGAAAAACAACATTTGGAATAGAAATTGGTTAATATTAGCTTTTTAGAGCTTTTTTAAAACGCGAAAAAAGGTGCGCTAATGGGCAAGGTGCGGAAAAAAAGGTGCGCAAATGTCCGGGTGCGCAAAAAAAAGGTCGCATTTGTCCCACTCCCGAGTTAATTACTATAAAAGTAGTGCTTTTGAGTGTTTTTGTAGTAGTGTTTTTGAGCTCCATTATTACAAATTCAAGGTTATCTTGGCTAACAAAAATGGGCACATTTTTTCAATCAAAATCACGTTTAAAGTCTTATATGAAACAAATTAAGTTTTAAATTTTTACCCAAACTCATGAATCTAGTGAAAAAATTTCCGTAGATTTTAAATATCTAGAGGAAAAACTATCAACTTTTTTGGTTTTTGAGAAAATCATCTTTTTGTAGAGTGCAATATATGCCGCACCCTGTACATGTCTTTTCCATAAGAAAGCTTCAGAGCTGGACCAAAACAAGACCAAATTCGCCAGGCCAGGATACAAATTTACTAGCCAAGCCAAGCATTGGTTTAGGCCTAACTGGCTAGCCTTGTCCTTTCTGTATAGCCTTATTTTCCGCTCAGTTGTTCTAACGTGTGAAAAATTCTTTCCCAGACTATGTATGTGTACGAATACGGTTCTGTAATGATGCCGAAATCGTTTTTAATGAACACAATCATGTCAGCTCATTTGGGATTGTGTTTGTTTATAACTCTTTATGCACAGGTCAGTTAGGCCAGTTAGGCCAAAACTACACCATTAGTCAAAAAACCAACTAGTTTTAGAGCTTGGCCCTTCTCGAGTATCACTTTTTCTATCGATATCTCGCGATATGCAAGTAAGAACTTTGGTGAAAGCTCTATTTAAGATGCAATCCTAATTCTAGGACTCTGATTCTTTGTATATCTTTCAATCATGCAAGTACATCACAGTCCTTGTCACTATTTGGCTAATGGAGAGCCTTATTTGGGCACTAATTGTACACTTCTTATTAAGCTCACAGGCTTTGGTGGTAGAACAAGTCTTATTGCAAATTAAGTCTATCATTTAGGATCACTTCCGGGAACCACTGAGGCAAATTTATGGCTTTGATGTAAACAAAACAGCCATTGCTGGCCCGTTATAAGTGGTGAATTGACTAAAGAGACTTTATCAAAAATGTTTCAGCGCCAAGATGAATCGGGGCAGACAGTTTGGGATCTGTCAAACCTCTTTGTTCTGGTTCTTATTCAATTAACCCTCGCAGCTTCATTTGGGATAATTTCTTTCTGCACTTGGCAAATTCGAAAGACGTAAATGATTTGAAATTTGATCAAAGAAAGTTATTTTAGACCACAGCGATGAGCGAAAAGTCGATTAAGCTGCAATACGAGCTTCTCAGAGCGCTGCTAGTTCAGGTAACATGTCATATGGATATTTAAGGGTTTCATCATCAACGCCAATCTAGAAAGTAAAACACAAAAAAAAAAAAAAAAACCTAAACCTTCAATCTTCAGACTCTTATCCCCGGGATTTTTGAGTACATCCCTGGAGCCATTGCCTGGGCCTGTCGTCTACTCGATGTCTCACTCGATGAATCTTTTATCACAATTCTCATTTCATTCTATTTTCATTTTGTTGACCCAATCTGCATGTTATTTTTTATTAAAGACTATCGGAATGCCTTGCTTATGAAGCTTGGATGCAGGCGAGGTTTTCGAATAAAGGCTAAGAGCTTGTGCTTTTGTGAGCAGTTGCTTACCGTATTCTCTCTAATAGTAGTGCACCCCGCCGAGCCGAGTTGATGACTATTTTACGGTTTCCAAGTCTTTGCAGAAGCTCAACACTCTAATCCCCCACTAGATCTCATCGTCAGCTACATTTTCTGGCCCTACATCGATAGGTTCTGATAAGCGGTTCTCGAGATTTCGAGCAATTTAGGCGACACGCAAGGGTGCGCTACTATTAGAGAAAATACGGTATCTGATTGGTTAGTTGAAAAAGTTGTGAAAAACAAATTTATCCCTAGTTACCTTGAATGAAAAATATTTTAGAACGAGAGTTTCAAAATATCCAATTTGCCAATTACACTGGGTTGGTTGTTGACTGTTTTGGATAATTATTCAAACCAGTTACGTTCTGTAATTTGATGAGCTTAATAAACTTTTGTTTTAGATTAGATTTTTCAAAGAACGCACAAGATGAACACACAGAAGTAAAGTTCAAAACTAGAAACGGCGGTGATAAAAATTAAGACCAAAATTGCGCATTTGTAATTCAATTGGATAAAATGACGCAAAAAGGAAAGAATTTGGTTGTTCTTTGGAGGAAATGATCGCTCTTTTAGGCTGAAAATTCAAGAGGTAATGAGTTTTTGCGGGAACATTGTAAACTTCGGTGACGATTCAACTTCCCAAAAGGGAGAAAAGCTCATTTTGACAAATTTCAAAATGACAGATCTGACCATCGTTGGGCAATCGATCATCTATTTCAATAGTACATTAGCATATTTAATGAATGGAATCCTCATCTATTTCATCCTCTTTCATAGCAGGAAAGATATGGGCATATCGATACTTGATGTTATCGTTTGCCGTTTTCAATCTTTTCGATCCAACAGTTCATTTAGCAGTGATGCCGGTGAGTTATCTTCTACTGGTATAGCCGGTATTTTTAACGCAAATTACATTTCCACAAGAAAGCTTTAGAGCTGGACCAAGACCCAATTTTCCAGGTCAAAACAAAGCCAAGGCAAACCAAAGCTGTAAAACAATGCATAAAACATAAATATTTAATGCAAATGCATCAAGAAAGCAAGGAAGTTGGTTAGGGGAAGTTTCGAACCCAAGCCGAAAACACTTCATACGTTCCATAAACTAGCAAACTATCCGTTAGACCACAGAAACCGCTGGAACTCCTTGTGGGAATGTTCACGAGATTCAGCGTAGATTGACTCACTTTTGAGCCTATTCACTAAAGTGCACTACAATCAGCACTAATATATCGTTGCAAAATCCTCACTACCCATTTCCTAGACAATGCACGCCTACGGATACGGCTATGCTCTGATGCCTACATCATTCTTGATGAACACCATCATACCAGCGCATTTGGGATTGTGCATATATGGAGCACTCTTCTCACAGGTTTTCGACTCTAATTTGCTTCTATAAAAACTCTTCAGAGCCTAGTGCAGTATTTCAGGACCACTTCCGGGAACCACTTTGGGAAATCTATGGCTTTGATGTGAACAAGACGGCAATTGTCGGGCCATTGTACAAGGTTTCTATTTTATTTTTCGATGTAATAGATATTTTAGCGTCAAAACGAACTTGGCGAAGTGGTTTGGGATTGGACGAATCTTTTTGCACTGGGAGTTGTTGAGCTAATACTTGGAGCATCGTTTGCTGTAACCATCTTTTGTACTTGGCAAATTCAAAAGACTTTGAAAGTGAGATTTCACCGAGTGAATCTCTTTAAAACAATCTTAAACCACGGCAATGAGCGAAAAGTCGATCAGGTTGCAACACGAGCCCTTCAGAGCACTATTGGTTCAGGTAAAGCAACAGTAAAAGAGCAATCTTTAGCAATTTTGACCTTACAAAAACTTCAAGAAGCTTTAGACTATTGTTCCGGGGATTTTTGAGTACACTCCTGGAGTTATTGCTTCATTCTGTCCGCTCTTTGGTGTCCCTCTTGGCCAATGGTGTACTCTGATTCCAATTCTCATTTCATTCTATCCATTTGTTGACCCAATCTGCATGCTATATTTTATTAAGGATTATCGAAATGCGTTGATTACCAAGTTTGGTACAAGGTAGGTACTGGAAGTTTATCTGAAAAAGCTTGATTTTAGAATCAGAGTCTTGGGTGCAAATGAACGTAAGAGATCACCATCTCCAAAGCTTTCAGTCCTCGAAATCTCAACTCCACAGAAGAAATGATGAATTTGTAATTAAAAGACTGAAATTAAAAGACGAAAAGACATTCTTGACCTTTCTTGAATAGAGTATTGTATTTGTTAAAATCTGGTTTGTGAGCAACTAACTTTTTCTTTTTTTCTCTCTCTTTTGCCCTATTCATATTCTTTTTCCTTTTTTTACACAGGTGGATTTGCCAAGTTTTATAAAACTAATACTTGTTACTAAAAAGTACAAACCTTAATGAAAAATTAATACATTTGCTAAACCCCGAGAACTACACGAAAGCTGAATTTAAAGAAAATGTGACACCAAAGCACCTGTTTACATCAGTAATACTTTTTTCAGACAAATACTCAATCTATGCAAGAAAAAAATTAATTTTATTTGTCATAAAACAATGTTTATTCCAAGTTTATCGACACAACAATCGATTTCAACAATATTTGATTGCACTTGGTTTCTCTCAACTTTTCTTTTACTTGTTACATTATATTTTCTCATAAGGCAAAAGACTTTTGCTACTCGTGCTCATCGCATTTTGCAGATCAACTTGCTGGTGAGTGGCTTACAATAGTAACAAGATTGGTTTTTCTAAAGTTGCGTCTCCTCTCCAAAAAAGGCTAATGAGTTTCCGGGTTTCTCTAAAATTTTAGACCAATTAAAACCTCGTTCCAATTGGTAAACTCAATAAAATGAATAGCTTCAATTAATAGCTGAAAACTGGCGTAAATGAATGTAAATGACTGGCAAGGTGTTCTTTATGCGCGCGCACAATTGCTCTCCATCTGGAAAACCGTCCGGGTATAAGATCCTTTTCTTTTGGAAGCGTCGAAGGAGAAAGGGTGGTAAGTGACCGGGCTCACTTTAGTCAGTCACTATGCCCAAATCCCCCGGATCAATTCCTGCTCCAATTCTGGCTGCATTGTTGCTACACATTGTTGTGCATTGTTGTGCATTGTTGCCACATCCTCCCAAGCCAAAACCAGCTGAAAAACTCAAGGTTGAAACTGACCTGAAAAACGGATTTTATCTTCTAATCCCTGATAAATTATTGATAAATCGATTTACTTTAGTCATTTTTACATAAAACTTGATCGAAATTTGTACAATAGTAATGAGAATCGGTCCTTTTTTAATAAAAAACAAATTATCGAACCTGGTTGAACCATCTCAGTTCAAAATGAACCAGTGCAATCTGGAAGACATTCCTCTGGCAGATTGCCTCAAAATATCAAAAGAGCTTTAGGTAGCTGCTCAAATCACTGACACAAGCACTTTCCTATGGAAACCATTGTACATAGCAGACCAATCGGCTATGATTTTGTTGGATGGCATTGACTCAGCGAATCCGTTGAGTATCTCGGCCCTAGTAGTTGGTGTTTTTATGCGAAATCTCAGCCCTAATCCTCCATAAAAAAGCCTCTTCTTGGGCTAAATTGTACAAGTGTCATTCTAGCTTATGAATCTCCTTGGCAACCTTTATTTCGTTGGTACTTTCTGCTTTAATGGAATCTATCGAACTGAACAAATTCACACAGAATGGAAAAAGATTATGAGATTTTTCTTCTACTTGACTATCATTACGCTAACTTATGGTGGTGTTTGTATCGTTGTCGCATGCTTCAATTTCTATTTGGACGATTGTGTGATTTTCGATCCGATTACGGTAGATAGTTCACGAATTAGCTCATCAACTTTTTAAGATTTGTAAATTAAAACCTCCGATCTGCAATGTGAAGGATGTGGTAATCGTGAATCTATCACCAGCTGGGGTGATGATGTTTGAAATTCAACTACCATGTCATGCCTTATTCTTTGTCCTTGTTACCGTACTCTCAACCTCGGCGATAGTTGACTTTGCGCAAAAATCGAAGATGGCTTTGAGTCGAAAGACAAGAGAAATGCATTTATATTTTACTGTTATCTTTTTGTGTCAGGTATGCCTTCGACGATGGCTTTCACGATAGCTTTCATACTATTATTTAGCTTTCTCTGACTTCTATATTCACTGTTTTTCCTTATTTTCTCACCACACTGGTTTTATTGCATTTTGCTGATAGACAGATCTGGTTGATAAGTGAGTTGAACTACTTAACGAAAGCAGAGAGATCGTCAAAGAATAAAGATCAATCTTTTAGTCTCTTCAATGGCAACTCTCTACTCGAGCCTTCATTCAATCTCCAATTCACTCACCATCCTTTTCGCCACAAAATCTTATCGATCGATCATCTTTGGATGGATTCGCATGGCATTTTTCTTAATACCAGGAACAAAGCCCCCTCTTGAAACCGTTAGAGAGTCGACCATTGTTGTTCAACGACGACCGAATAAATAGTACTTGTTGTTAGTACTTTTTGTACTTTTTGAGTAATTTTTGTTAAACAAGAATTGTAGAAGTCTTTCTTGAAATTTTTAACAAATACACCAAGCACTAGAAAAGTTGAACAGCTTACACAAAAGCCTACAACAACTGCATGCAAGTCTTCTTGCAAGATTTCAATTTGCATTCTAAATGATGATTTAGTTTGATTCAAAGGTAATTTTTGAGCATTCTACCCAGCAGTTTTAACTCGAAAAGTTTTTTGATTCATTAAACCGGTAAAGGACAATAAATTCCCTGATCAAAGAAATCAACAATCCGCAACAAATCAAAAGAAACAATTGCACAAATGCGGGGTTTTGACATTTCTTGCATTTATGCAAATGCATTTCTCACCCAGAGCAGCTTTGTAAATAGTCAAACTCGCAAAAGTTCAAAAAAATGAGCCGAGGAATGCGAACTCCAGACTCCATAAAAACTTTAAATTCACGAACGCTTTTTTCAGGTTTTTTAGAAAAGATAAAACGATTTAAAGTCTTGGTGTCGTGACGATCTCGTGATCGAGATCGCCACGTATGGAAATGGCCAGCTAGACACCTATGTGGACGAACGCCTATTGTGCGAGATTTGATATGCGTCGCTATCCGTTCAACTCCATTGTGTGTAAGACGAGACCAACGCCTGAGTTCCGTATAAAAGCGATGTGAACGAGCTGCCGACGTGTGCCGTGGAGTGTCTCTACTCTCCCAATCTCAAACCACTGAACCAACCATTATCGCTGTAATAAAGATTATATCTAAACCAACAATAATCACCACACTTGGCTTTAAACTCTTCGCTTTTCTTTCTGTTAGCACACTTTTCAGACTCTTATATAACAAGTTTCTCATCTAACATTGTTAAAACAAAAAGTAAACCAATGACACTTTAAACTTTTGAATTTTGAATATACACAGTTAAAAAGCAGCTGAAACGATTTTTTGCTTGTTTGGCATCATAAAAGCCAAGGTTATGATTTAGCTCTCTTGTCACTGAATTAATTGGCGGCGCGGATACAAATTTTTTACATAATTATAGAGTTCTTCTAGGTTGTCCAAATTGATTGGCTGTTTTTGCAGAAATTTTTGAATTGAGAGTCTATTAATGAGACAAATTTGAGTAAAACTTGGCTTTTTAGCAGAATCGAAACATTTTATCTTTCTATAACAAAAAAATGATCGTATTTGTGACCTCTGTAATCAGTCTGCTGTAATAATTGTTATTTTGGTGTATTCCTTTCCATTTGAACTCGAAAACCAGTTCAAAAACAGGTTTTTAACATAACCAAGCAGGTACTTTGGTTTCGGTTTTCAAATAACAAGGGATTTTCTTTTTCATTTGCATTTAACAAGTTGTCATTTAGAATTCTTCACTGTTTAGAATGCAACCACGAAGATATATCAATGCTTGGATTCTTGTTGTAGGAATTCTCATTGTTCTTGCCGTTATGGAGTTGAACAATCGACGAGTCTTCGTTGATCTCCTCACTACAACAATTAGACTAATCTCACCAACAACCACCACAACTTCAATGCCAATTGAAACAAGTTCAACCACGAAAAGTCTAGAGCCCAGTAAAGTCAGTTTTTCAATCAATATTTTATCTTTTACTTGAAAACAGCTTTAGCAATTTGACGAGTTTGACAGATTCTTGATGATCAAAATATCTTGAATGACCGATCTTTAGCCATAACCAGTCTTAGAACTATAGTTTTACAAAATAAGTCTCATTTGCCCATCTTATGTTTCATTTTTCAGACTATGACACCAGTTCTACAATCTAAACCTACTAGCCAAGCGAAAATTCCCTCGAAAAACACCCCCATTGTCAGCTTTAGAGATTTTAGAAGGAGCCCGATCAAATGGAACACATCCGGTAACATTATTTTAAAGTTATTAGCCAATAAAGTGGAAAATTTTACTTCACTTTTCTGATTTAATCTCACAGTTTTAGTTCTTTCAACCTTTCCCATTCACGAGGGATTTTTGTCCGCCCGAAGTCAAGGTAGAGTGCGTTTCTTCAATACTAGCTAGCAAAGGAAAGCTAAGGAAAGCTAATTTCCAATTAAAATTTGATGGGTTTTGATTCAAATCCGAGTTTAGACTCTATTTGTGGTTCAATCTTGGGTCATGAATCGTGGCCGGAGAGACGCAATCCGAGCTACTTATGCTAACGGTGTCTGGGAAAAGCATGTAAGTTCTGAATTGATTTCAAGTAAAAAAATTCAGTTAGCCATTGATAAGATAAATGTTTAAGTTCTCCTATCAAACACTTTTCGTTGTTGGTCGAACAACAGATGAAACTGTGGAGAGGAGTACTATAGAAGAAGCCAATCTGAATGGAGATTTGCTGCAGATTGACTATGCGGATACATATCGGAATATGACGATAAAGGTCTGATAATTTGTTTTCTAATAAAGGAGGATCGATTCTCATTATCATTGTACAAATTTTGATAAAGTTTTATATAGAAATTAGTCAAGTAAATGGGTTTATCAATAATTTATCAAGTATTAGAAGATAAAATTGGCTTTGCAGACCATTTGAGTATTTCAGCTGGCTTTGCTTTAACACGATCCAGAATTTCTAACAAAAATACAATCAAATTTAAGTCAAAAATTGATTTGGGTGATTTGAGCATAGTGACGCTGCAGAATTTGAGCATAGTGAAAGAAGATATTCGGCTGTAAATTTCTTTCCCGGGTTTTCGGGGTCAGGGGGAGTCGATTGGAGCTATTCATTTTGTTGAGTCTACTAATTGAAACTCAGGTTTTATAGATTTATGGTTTTGTAGATATATAGATTTATGCATTTTATAAAAGTATATGAGAATCAGTGCCAATTCGAAGCCTTTCTTTAAATGGTAATTTCAGTATCTCAATTGGATGCGATTTGTTCGAGACAATTGTCCGAACGTGACGCTTGTCATCAAAATTGATGGTAGGTTAACGGAAAACTACAGATGTTCACTGAAAACTGGCTCTTGCAGCATTTTAAGCCTTGGATTTGAAATGTTTCCAACTTACACTGCTAAAGTGACTCTTTCAACAATTGCAGGAGCACTCAACAATTGCTAGTAACTCTATCACTAAGGTTTATCATTAAAGTTGACTTGCTAAAGATTGGTGCGACAAGTGAAAGTAAAGTAAAGCCTTGAACTGTGAAGTAAAGCCTTGAATTTCAAAGATTGAATCCATTCTTAGACGACATCCTTCCACATATCTTTTGGCTCTTCGAAGATCTCAATAGCGGAAAAATCGGCAAAGAAAACACGATCACTTGTATGCAATATCGGGATCGAGTGAGCCGAGATCGAAATTCACCATAGTTTGTCAAAGTTTGTCAAACAACCATTCAAATGACGGTAATTTCAGCTATGTCTCAGTCGATCACACCCTGATTCCCAATTGGGGAACATACTGCCTGGGATTGGCTCAAATTTTAGTCAGCTTCTTTTTTCCAAAAGCTAAACAGATATTTTAGTCGATCGACTTGCTTCCCGAAATGATTGCAAGTGTTGAGAAACGTCGATATTATAATTCTGTGAGTTAAACCCGTTAAATCGTTTTTTAAAACCCGTTGCTCAATTGATTGTCGATTTCAGGTAGATGATGCTTTTTTGACTGGGGAAATTGCTTGAAATTGGTGCTAAACATGATTTCACTCAATATGCAAATAAGTGAGTCTCAGAGTCAATAATGGCTTTGATTTGAGCTGCAAGTCTGGCTAGATCTATCAATTGGGAAATTCCGATTGTTGATCGATAATTCAAAGTCTTTAGATGGACTTTAACGGCTGATATCACACGGCTAATGCTCAATAGAGAGGTCTTATTTGGTAAGCTTTCTTACGAAAAACTTTTTCTAGATATTATCAAACCTTCTGATTCTGATTTTTTTATCAAACCTTCCTATTCAGGAGCTTATGGGCCAACCGCTAGAATGAAACGGGTATTTCACGATTTGGAGCTTTTGAGCGGTCTTGTCACTGATCCACCAGATAACTTTGCTCCAGTGCGTAAAGCTGGCCCGGGTATTGGGAAATGAATCATTTCGTTATGTGAATTACACAAAAATCTCTGTATTTACCAATGATAAATGCTTGGTCTTGCTCAAAGTGTTCGTTGCATTGCAAACAGTTAAATTGAGTAAAAAGGTGCACAAATACTTTCACTCTAACTCTCCATTTGTTGATTTAAGTCCCAGCTTTGATTGATGATAAAAGACAATGGAGGCGGTATTTAAACGCTAGAAAATGATCAGCCAAAACGTAAGCAAAATACATGATCAAGCTCTAGAATTGCTATCTTATCCTGTTCCGCACAACGAACATACAGATCATTGGAATCATTTGAAAAGGTAACACAAAGTGTGAATTGGCTACAAAAACAAAAATGTCTAATTACCGAGATTGCCTAGATTGGAGTTTCTTACTTTTGAGCCGTTCCTGAGCCATGTCACAGACTGTCCATCAAGAAAAACCTTGAAAAAGTTATCGTCATATGCTGATTGTTTGTGAAATCATCATTGAATTGGTAGATATTCAATTGTAGTTGATAATAAGAAACCTTTTGTTAACTAATTAGAACTAATTCTCGATTTTATGCATTTCTCTTTGACACTTCTCTATCGATTTCGTTATTGCTTTTTCGAAATTCCACCGGACATTGATGATGAGACAGGGGCTCAAATCATGTCTTCTAAGAGTTGATGATTGGGTGAGAGTTCTTGCTTTATATTCATTTTTGGCCTAACAGCACAAAAGAAGCAAATCAGATTATAAAAGTCTATAAAAACAATGACTTAGGTTGTCCAGAAAATCTTTTCGTTCTTTTTCATACTCCGTTTAAAACCAACAAATACACTAATTGAACTAGGATTTGTTTTGGGTGAGAGTTCTTGGTTTATAGTCATTTTTGGCCTAACAGCACAAAAAAAGCAAATCATATTATAAAAGTCTATAAAAACAATGATTTATTAGGTTGTCCAGAAAGTCTTTTTGTTCCTTTTCATACTTCTGTTGAAAAATAAGAAATTCACCAATTAATCCATGGTTTGCTCTAAATAATAAGTGTTTCTTCTTCAATTTCCAATCTTTTTAAGTCAATTTTGGCTCTCTTTCAAGAAAATTCGAGAGTGAAAAACGTGTTTTTCGTAAAAATCCAGAAGAACCTCTACGAAGAAATTGACTGAATGAATTTCTCTGAAAACTTGGCTATATACCAAACTTTTTGTGCTCTATCTTTTGTCTATTGACAACAAGCTAGGTTTCCTTAGTTAAAGTGTCTAAACCGTCATCGAGCCCGCATCATCGAGCCGTCGCTCTTTTTGACTACCCGACTTCACGTTCCCAAAAAATGCAGCCATAAGACATTTTAAACCCGTTTTAATGTTATTTTGTAGAAAAATGAGTTGCCAAACCGTCGTTCAATCTGTGCATTTGTTGGCTTTAAAAAGAATTTCAAGCATTTAAAAGAATTTCAAATTTGAAAATGAAAAATAATTGGCCTTTTTAATGAAACAAATCCTAGTTCAATTAGTGTATTTGTTGGTTTTAAACGGAGTACGAAGAGGAAAGAAAAGACTTTCTGAACAGCCTAATAGCCAGAGTCAAACTTTTAATCCGGTCATTTCTATAGGCAATTTTACGCGATTTCAATTTTTAAAGAGCAGAATTTCACTGTGCAAATAACCACACAGTTGACTTTTCATAATTTCCCAAAATAAGCTTTTCTGATCATAGCTGAGCAAATGACTTTGACTTTTCGTTCAAAAAAGTGTGACGGGTTCTAGATTGGTCAGACTTCTATTAAAGTCATGAATTAGACGGAAAAATATCGAAAGCACCATGCTCTTGACTTTACTTTTCTTCTCGATATTCCTGTTTGGAAAAGCTTTTTGTGACACTTGTCTTGATGTTCATTGTCCGGCGAAATGGGCTTACTTGGCAAAGACGAAGAGTTGCTATTTTGTGCAGGTAATCACGAAAGATACCAGGATTAAGAATTCTTTTTTCCAGGATTTCACCTATCCGGATGCAGAAAATTGGCAGCTATACAACTGGACAACGGCTGAATTGAATTGTAAAAGAATGGGCGCACACTTGGTGTCGATTCACTCGGTCGAGGAAGACAACTTTGTTTATGGTTGGTTATTGGGATAAAACCATTTGATCGTAAGATGCTTAGAGTTGATTCTTTCTCGTGTTGGTCGCTACTTGAATGACCAGCCATGTTACAATGACCTAGCTGCCTGGATTGGGTATTTCGGATCTGGAATTGTGGGAACTGGCAATTGGACTGATGGAACACCAGTGGATTATATCGGCAGAACGCCATGGACTCCATGGGTTGTTGGTGCTAAGGCAAGCCCTAATATTGTTGAAAAGCTCACAAAATTTGTAGATGCTCAACGATCCAACTTGTCACTTCCATCAATGGGCTTGGAGTCAAGTGGAAGAAAAGCTCTCGCGATATGTCTGCAAGAAAGCAGCAACTGGATGACCTGTTGAGCCAATGCAAATAAAACTATCAAACGTTCCCTCAAAGTATACATCAAAAACTTTCCTTACTTTGAGTAAAAAGCTTATTCTTCTCAAAACTTCTCAGCAACTCGTTTGCTAAATAACACAGCAACTTGAATATTGTGTTTCTTTTTGAATAAAGAACAAATTATTTGCCAATTTGGAAAATACCTCTGTTCTCTTCATCTATTGTCATAGATGAAGCTGATGAAGTTTTATCGGAAACCTAATTATTGAGTCAAAAAAATTTGTGAAAAGGAGTTGGAATTTTTTTCTTGGTTTTTTTGTTCTTATCTCTTTTAATAGGATTGCAAGAAGAGTGATTTCAAAGAATGGTTTCAAATTGAGAGTAGCTGAGTTTAGTACAAAAAAATGTCGACAAAATAATGGAGATACCCGTTGATCTATCTGGAGTCAACTTAGAGTGGATTGGGCATGGCGCTTCGGGATCAATATTTCTTATTGACTCTTTCGAACCGTGAGTTTTGTTGTCTAAAGGTATTTTTGATTGTTTATTAGAATTCTGACTTTGAAATTTTAGAGATTTGAAGCAATTAAAACTTTAGAGCAATTTCATTAAAACACATCATCACCAGAGCCGATACTCGCCGAAATGAGTTCCTTATTGAAGTGGAAACTCTCAAACGATTAAATCACCCTAATATTGTGAAATATCTCGGAATCGGAAAATTCAAACAAAAACGGACAAACATTTGGGCTGAAGGGATCTTGATGGAATATTGTGGGCGAGGCGCTCTGTGCCACTGTAAGCATTTAATTTTAGCAAAAGGAAACAAATTAATATTTAGTAATTGACAATCCGGCCATAATTTACACAATTTACAACGTAGTTTCATGGACGCGTCAACTGATTAAGGCTTTGGGATATTTAGCCGAGAATAGAGCGGTTCACCGAGACATCAAGCCAGCCAAGTATTATGTTTAGAACGCCAAAGTTCATATAAATTTTTTTAGTGTTTTTGTTAGCACATACTTTGAGCTAAAGTTAGGAGATTTTGGATCAATTAAAGAAATCACTCGGTCATGCTCATCATTCACGCCAGCGGTGGGCACGAGGCGATACATGAGCCCAGAACAGTCAAAAAGCATCTCTGGAAAGAGGGTTGGACATGAAACTTATGCTTATTATTATATTGGGTTGGTGGGTATGACGTGGCACGTTTTTTCCAATGAAACCCTAAAGATGTAAACAAATACGAGAGAGAGGGACCTGTGAAAAATAGATAAGGGAACATTAACTCTCGCGAAAACTAGGGACTTTCACTTTCGACATTCAGTCGACTCTCTTTAAAACGAAATGGATGGACCAAGAAATTCTTTCGTTATATATGTAGAGTGCCGTTGTATACAGCTTAGCGTCGGTTGGGACCAAAATCCCATTCTGTTATATAGAGTTTTCCACTATATAGAGGTCCGTTTTAAAGAAAGTCGACTGTATTTGGTTTTTGGGATTTTACTTTACTTTGTTCTAACTATTGAAAATCTACCACCTGAAGCTCTGCGACAAGTTATACTGTGCGAATTCCTGCAAGGACATAAGGGCCTCTAGTGCTCAGCTAATATTGAGAATGTTTATGTGGAAGGATCAGCTCCACTACGGACATGTGCAAACTGATTTGTTAAATTCCGTTCTGGGGATGAATCTTCGAAAACAAAGTGAGGGGTCTAGCTGGATAATGCGAAGTTGATCAAAATTTTCCAAACCAATAAAAGGCTTTTTTTTTGCGAAATAGCAGCAGAATTATCATTTGATCATACCATAATACTCGAACATTGCAGACACCTGGGTTTAAACCGCTACCAATAAAATGAGCACAAATTTTACAAAATAATGGCAAAGATCTCGCATGATTTGAAGTTGTTGAAGAAATTTCATTTCAAAACATGTTCCAAGTCATCAACACCAACACAATATAATTGAGCAATAAGTTGAGCTCAGCATTTAAAAATGATTCTTAGAATGCATTTAAATATAAATGAAATATTTGAAATAAACATTTGACATCTACCAATAAAATGGGCACAAATTTTACAAAATAATGGTAAAGTCGGCATTTTAAGTTGTCGCATCGAAGTGACGTCTACAGCATGGGCTTAGTCATTTGGGAAATGATCGAACGGAGGTTGTGTTTCATTTTATTTTGAGTCAAATAAAAGTAACGCTTTAGGAAAGTCTTTGCTCGATTTGGCAGCCACTATGACTACGGGCTATTCGCTACCGAAGACAGGCAACTCATCGACGTTGAGGTGCTTGAATGTGAACCTGAAATTCGTTTCACTGTTGAAAAGTGAGAAAAGTGAGAAAACTCTATATAACAGAATGGGATTTTGGTCCCAACCGACGCTAAGCTGTATACAACGGCACTCTACATATATAACGAAAGAATTTCTTGGTCCATCCATTTCGTTTTAAAGAGAGTCGACTGAATGTCGAAAGTGAAAGTCCCTAGTTTTCGCGAGAGTTAATGTTCCCTTATCTATTTTTCACAGGTCCCTCTCTCTCGTATTTGTTTACATCTTTAGGGTTTCATTGGAAAAAACGTGCCACGTCATACCCACCAACCCAATATAATAATAAGCATAAGTTTCATGTCCAACCCTCTTTCCAGAGATGCTTTTTGACTGTTCTGGGCTCATGTATCGCCTCGTGCCCACCGCTGGCGTGAATGATGAGCATGACCGAGTGATTTCTTTAAGGCCAAAACTAATTAAATATGGTTTGAGGAATTGAAAGGAAACAACGGAAGCAAAGTTCATTTCCGGATCGTTACAAAACTGGGGGGTGTGTTTGAGTTTTTTTTAAGAAATAGTTTTGATCAAAAATCAATCAATTATTTTATTTACACCCTGATATGTCCATGAATAGAAAATTCAAAGAAACTTCTTTGACGAAAGTTTGAAAAAATTTTTTTTTTTTTTTTTTTTTTTTTTTTTGGGTTGTTTAAAAATTTTTTTTTAAATAATATTTTTTAAAATTTTTTTTTTTTTTATTTTTAGAGGGGTTTGGTTTTTTTTTTTATAAGGGGGGGGGTTTTAAATTTTTTTTTTTTTTTTTTTTAAGGGGGGGGTTTTTTTTTTATTTTAAAAGGATTAATTTTTGTTTTTTTTTTTTTTTTTTTTTTTTTTTTTTAATGTTTTTTTTTTTTTACTGGGGGGGGGGGTTGGTTTTAAACGGAAGTACGAAAAAGAACGAAAAGACTTTGACAGCCTAATAAATTTTCATTTGAACACAAAAGATACACAAAACTTTAATTACAGCATTGTACAAGATACATTGTACGGTACAAGACTACAACATTGAACCTACATATTAACTTGACAAAAGAATTCGAGATCCAAAAAGGTAACTTCACCGTTCTTGCATCATTTAGAGTTTTTCAAGTAGTGTCTCTGCAAGCCGCGTTGAATCCATTGTTGATGCATCGTTTGTACGCCCAAAGTGCTCCCTAAAGATTGAACTCAATTAAGCCAGTAGTTAATTTTATTGTATTGCTTACCGATGTTTTATAGTAATTCACATTATCTCTAGTAGCTGGCATTGTATCACAGCTGATTGGAAGCTCGTTTGCATTCTTATCCCGACTGCAATATGATGAGTTTGCAATGAGGTTTCCATTCTGAAAACAATGGTCAAAACCTATGAGAAAGATTAGATATCAGAATTTCTCTGCACTTAATGTATGAATAAATTTTGATAGCAAACCTCATTCCAAGCCAAAAGAGTCATCCAATCGGTGAGTGTTGTACTCGAACAAGTGTATGTCGTGAAAAGCGGTCGACAACCACTGAAAAGTATTTAAATTTTAAAGAAAATAAAGCTCACCCGGTTCCTGGTGGCAAGTTTAAATACGGCGGACTTGGAGCAGGATTAACATTAATGGCAACTGTAGGACAATTACACGCAGGAACTAAAAACTTACCTGGTACTTGTAATAGTTTACCGTGCTACTAGAAACAGCAATCGTGTTACGAGTGATCAACAGTGCCTTTCTAGCATAATATTTGCTGCAGTACGAGATTTCTATTAGCAAGCAGCTCACCGCATTTAATAGTATGACATGCCCAGAGGAGCATCGCTTAGTCATCGTTTTTCCGCATCATTTTTTCTCGCGAATCTCTGGGCAGTTTTGTTCAGGTTTTTTCTAGAAAATGGCTACCCCATTTCTCTATTTTTTGGAAAAACCCCGTAGAAAATCGGTCCAGTGGTTCGCGAGAAAAAATGATTTAGTGCGAAAAAAACAACGACTACGCGACGCTCCTCTGGGCAAGTCATAATATTAGATATACGGTTTGTTATTGGAATAGTTGCACTAACGAGTTTTTGTTGAATTTGGAGAACAATTGACATTGTATCCATTGTTGAAGCACTTCTTATATGCCCACAATGCACCCTAAAAGCAGACTATGGCCAATCTAAGAATCAGAAACCTACCTGGTACTTGTAATAGTTCACCGTGCTACTAGAAACAGCAATCGTGTTACAAGTGATCAGCAGTGCGTTTCTCGCATAATCTTTGCTGCAGTACGAAATATTCTTGAGAAGGTTTCCTTGCTGAAATACCGGATTTCTACACACTTCTTTATCTCACATCATCCCAAGAAATTTGTGTAATCCAATCATATGGGCTGGTGCTGTTACAGGTGTAAACTGTTGAGAAAGAGTTGCAAGTGCTGAAATTGTCGTTTAAAAGAAAAACTGGTTAGTCAACTCTGCTTCTGTTAGTTGAACAGGATACGGTGGGCTTGGCGCTTGAGAAACATCAACCGCTACGGTAGGACAGACACATTGTGGAACTAAATCAAGAAACTGCTAATACACTTCAGTATTCATTATTTAAGGTCTAAAACTCACGGGTTGCCGTTGTTGTTGTGATTATTGATGTCGTTGTTGGATTTGAATCACAAGTTACATCATAGCCAAGACTTAGACATCTTCTATAGACCCATAGTCTTCCCTGAACGTTTTTAGAACTCGAAAAAGATATTCACCTACTTGATATTTATAGTAGTTCACTTTATCATAAGGGTTAGCATTAGTGTCACAAGTAAGAGTGCTGCCATGACCCTCATAATCCTTGCTACAGAATGTTTTGTTCCATAAAACGATCCCTTTCTGAAATTTTGATCAAATTACTTATCTTTCTAGTCAACTTCATCCCAAGCTAAGAAGCTCATCATATCCGTGGAAGTTGTACTATGGCAAGTGGTGGGGATATCAAAGGGTTGACAGTTACTTGAAAAAAAGCTTTGACTACAAGTCATAGAAGTTATTACCTGACTCCAGTTGGCTGAACAGAATACGGTGGACCTGGAGCAGAACTGACGTTCGAAGCTACTGTTGAGCAAACGCATTGAGCTACTTAACTTTTGAGTTCAATTTTGTCATTTTTCACTTTAAATAAAGTACAATACCGTAATTATTCTAATAGAAGCTCGGGGCTTTTATTTTTCAACCTTCATCCAACGGGGGCTTCTAATAGAGAGGGGACTTCTATTTTTCAATGCAAAAATTAGAAATTGAACAAATTTTTGTGATAGACTCCTTGTTCTCCAGCTCAATCGACGTCAAGTGTTGCCCGCCTCCTTTTAAACATTTTGCTTGGCTTTCCTGCTGTATAAGCTTTTTTTTCTTGTCCGATCTATCGTCAAAGCATTGCACAATCAACTCGATACTTCTTTGCGATCGCATGCATAGAAAAATCATTAGAGTATTTGACAGCTTCCAATTTGAGCTTTTTTTGAATAGGCCTTGCGCTTTCGGGAAGAGCTGAGTGGTTCTCCTTTCCTTGAACAATCGTTCTCCGAACATTGAGCAATCGTTTTCTCTTTAGTTCCTTCATCCACCTTGTTCTATGGACAGACCTAATCGTAGAGGCCTCGCATGTGCTGATGTTCCTCTCCTAATAAAAGTATAAAAACCTATTTTTGGTTGTGGTAATTTTTGGGTTACGATATAAAAAACCCAAAAAAAAAGGAACTTCTATTAGAGTTTTTACGGTAGATTGATTAAAGTTTTACTTTGCTTCAGTAGAGTTTCTTATATTAAAGTTTTCTTATATCAAAAGGCTTTACAAACTTTTCGTGGTGGTTGTGGGCGATGTCGCTGTGGTTGTGGTTGAATTTGGATCACACTTCACATCATATCCATAGGTGACGCACAATTCAAACGCCCACAGGCTACCCTATATTCAAAAAGTTCTTTAAACGATTTTAGAGAGATTTACCTGGTATTTGTAAAAATTGTCTGTATCCCCTGGGGCAGGAATTGTATCGCATGTAAGAATGATCTCATAGGCTACGTAGTTACTGCTACAGAACGTATTGTTCCAAAGAAGCATCCCACTCTAAACTTTGTTCTATGTTGAAAAAGTTGTCAGTTTACCTCATCCCATCCCAAACTACCCAAACGATTTGTGCTGTTTAGACTTTTGCAGACATAGCTAGCTGTGTAAGGCTGACAGTTGCTAAAATTTGAATAAAAGGATGGAAAAATTCATTTCCTAGAAGTTGAAATGAGACAAATTATTAATTTTAGAAGAGACAAACTATTGATTTTAGAAAAAAAACCTACCTAACACCGATTGATTCAATTGAATAAGGAGGACTTGGAGCTGGATTCACAGCAGTGGCTATCGTTGGACAAGAACAGTTAACGGCTGGGAACTAGTTTTTCAAATAGCAACGGTAACCACTCACGAGCAGTTGATGTAGCTGTAGTAGCAAGAATTCGAGTATTTTTAGTTGTAATCGAAGTCAAAGATGTACCCGTAGTTTCGCCTGTTTTTACTTGTCCGATAATCTCTAAACCTAAAACAGTAGAAGCTATTAAAAGAAACTAATGGTAAAAGCCGGATTACTTTAAACTTTCCCAACAACAGTGCATCATTTAGAAAATGCTACAAATTAATAACTAACCAGCCAAAATGAAAAAAGCATATTGAATCATTTTAAAGTAAAAATGAAGTGCTTCTCTAGTCCAAACTCTCAGCTTGGCTTGCCCATATATTTGTTAGAATTTACTAATTGAAATTCTTTTATCTAGCACAGACTAGACTGGGTTTCAAACCAAATATTAAATTTACACAATAGCTTTTCGCGGTTCAACTTTTCCACGCATATTTGTGGACATTTTGCTTCCGAAATTTTAATAACGACTCTTTTCAATTTCATCAAAATCAAGCTAAATTTGTTTTTCAAACTTTGGAGCTATTTTTGAAATGTTTTTTTATGCAATGTGCAATTTTGGACATGTATTTGAGAATTTGACCAAAGTTTTATTTTGTTCTTCCGCTGCAATGTTCTTCCGCGCTCCAATAACAAAATATTATTTTGTACACATTTTATTGCGAGTTAAATTGGCAAGGTTTATCGGTTAGAAGAGGAAAAGAGAACAACATCGAATCACAGCGGGGCTAAAATCTTAGCCAATCAAAAACAACCATGTTAGTGAATCATATACCGAGAATAAATATAAAACTACATGAAATTCGCCTTCAGGTTTATATCATTGTCATTCCTCCTTGAGCTCTTTGAGTCGTGCACATAGGGTTCGAGCGATCGAATCCATTCGGGTCATCGAATTCGAGCGACCTCTTCGACGCAGTGCTTCCAGCGGGACTCCTTTTCCGGCTTCTGCAGTGATTCTTTCAGCCCTTCGCGAATGTGATGTGTAACCCTGAAGTCCAATCTTTTCGAAGAGCTCTTTGATATGTTTGGCGGCGATCCTCGAGTTGATTGGGTTCTTCTTGTCGTTGCTTAGGAAGACGAATCGTTCTTATTGTTTCTTCAACATGATCCATCGACCCCAGAGTTCCTTTGCCTTGTCGTTTTTGTTGAACAAGACGAAAGTGGCGTGTCCTTTCTTCAGTTGATCATTCTTGGTTAAACAGGATGAACAGGCTGTGGAGGCGATGGCTGTCGTGCCAAACCATGTTTTAAAACCATGATTATTCAATAGCTTAATGAAGAGAAAACAGAGAAAAGGCAAAAAAAATTCAAAAGATTAAAGATTTCTTATAGCCAAAAGACCATGAAACTTTCATAAGACCAGGTTTCAGGAGAAGAGTTAAGAACAAGGCTGAGGCTTAGGACTACGTATACGCTCAACCTGTCTACACCCAACCCGTATACTATCAGTACTAGGCTCCCTGTTTACTTCCCTAATAAATAAATTTTTATAAAGCATCTATTCAGTCTGTACATAATGGTAAAGGTTGATTTTTATTGAACATATTGTTGCACAGTAAACAAATAATTTTCGGGGGAAGATTTCTTCTAGAATATTTGAGTGAAGACATATTGAAAGTGATTTCGAGGCAAAATTTATCCAAATTTTTCTCTTTAAACGTCCAAAGAGCTTTTTGAAGTTTTCAAAAGAGTCCAAAAAAGCCAAGCGAAGGGAAAAGAAGCAATAGATTTTGAATTAGGCCAAAATTCAGTTCATAACTATTTGTGGACGATATTGGATGTTGTGGATATTTTCGAGTTACATGAATTCGAACAAAGCACCCATCCATATATTCACGAAAGAGGTCGATGTTTCGGACGACCTAAATAGCATGAAGTTTTACATTTTCGGTGATCTTTTGTATAGAAAATTTGACGAACATTTACTCCGCGATAGTTGAATCGCTGCTCAATATGCGGCAGTGTTGTTGAGCGAGCCAAAAAGACTCTAAAAATTTTGGTGACCTTTACACTCATTATATACAAGCAATCATTAATTACAATCATTACAGTTCGGTGGTTCCATTCTCTTTCTGAAAATTTAGAATCAAATTCTCGTTTCCCAAACTGATAACCTCAACAACAATATCGATCAGAAATAAATCTAGAAATCATGAATTGAAAATTGATCTTTTTCCCAACCACACGTGACGTTTTGCCAATGAAATTGCTTTTCATCATAGATATCATGATACTCAAATGGGTTCTGATAACCAGCTGTGTCGAAAATGACTGTTCCATTGCAAAGATGTTGGACCACTTGCAGTTGGAAATCTGAAGGGCTTTGGATCCAATTCAAGTGCCGGGGATCGAACCTAGCAACTGTAGCCTGTTCGCCTTGTAGCATAGCAACTTACCAGTCGGCCACCAAGCAACTTTTGGTAGCAGCCTAACTTTGCCTTATTCGGCTTTCGCCTTTACCCCTTCCGCAAAAATTTCCGCTCGATTTTCCTTGTGATTGCAAAGGATTAGCAAAAACTAATTACAGATTTAGGTTCAGCAGCCCAAATTGGGTACGATGAAGCAGTCCAGGTTCAAAAAAACCCATAATGACTCTATGCCTTCTCCTTGTAAGTGTAAACTATTGCGAAATTGACTTACCCATTCAAAAACTTTACCGTATTCTCTGTAAATGTTGATGCTCGGAGCGCATCCTGGTGGAACCAGGATTGAATAAAGATTGCTTTCCAAAAATTGAGTCACAAATGCTTCGTCATCACTAAAATTTGACTTGAAATTACAGCTCTAAATCGAGGCACCGAAATGTGATCAGTGTCTTGTTTTCATCGATCATCTCTGTCCATTCCGGAGGGCCACTATTCAAATCATACGCACATTTCTCTCCCATATGAGCCTAAAGATTTTGTTTTTCGTTTTAACTACTGATTTACCCATCTAAACTTTATAAGAGTGACTCCAGGACGATTTAAAGAAAGCGAGATCCAGGTTGGATTGATTTGTTGCTCAAAATGATAGGTCGCTATTAGTTGATCTCCGTATGGAATCAATTCAAAGCCGCGAGGACCTAAAGCAATTCAAAAAGCTTTCTATAAACCATTCAAAAAAAGCTTTTTTTCTAAGGCTTTCTATAAACCCAAACTCTTCGTCCATTCCTCAGATCGAAAAGAAATTGCGCTCTGTGAAGCCGTTTCCAGGTCTCGTTGATCATAGACTCTCACATAGACAAAGCCCTCGAAATGGAATCGACAGGTAAGCAAAAGTGTTTCCCTTTGAGTTGTGAATCTATATCATTGATAAAAACGTAGGCATTCATCAGTTTTCACTGATGAACGCCTACGTTTTGCTGCAATAATCGAGATTTACCACTTCACCATTGATTTCAATTGGAGATTTGCTCGGACAAGCACTGCCCTGAAGTGAACTTTGATGTCAGTATTCCGCTTAAGTCAGAAGCTACCAAAGTAAGCAAAGAGCATTGAACAGACAAATCAATTATTATTCTCTTTTCTCCCGAAGCATGGCCGTTGGTGACACATATTGGTAAAAAGAGTTCTAGATAATGTTGGTCAAATCAAGTAAAGCAGCAGACTTGTTTTGATAGTATTTTGATAAATCAGTAGTCCGTTGAGAATGAGATGTGGTTGAACCTTGGTGAGTTCTATAGTACGGCTGCAGTTGAGTTCAAAAGGGCTACGAGCGAGGTTTGATCGAAGTTTCAGCAAAACTCCCGTAGCAAGAGAGTCAGTCTGATTGTTTGGGCACCACTTTATCTAAAAAACTGTTCGACTCCGTACGATTCTTGTTCTTAATTATTCTCCTTGACTAACTGCCAGGACGTTAGATTTGCGATTGTAAACGGTTTAGTACGTAAACGTAGACCGTATCCTCTCTAATAGTAGTGCACCCTGAGCGTTGCCTAAATTGCTCGAAATCTCGAAAAGCGCTTATCAGAACCTATCGATTTGGGGTCGGAAAATGTATCTGACGATGAGATCTTGTGGGGGATTAGAGGGTTGAGCTTCTGCAAAAACTTGGAAACCGTAAAATAGTCATCAACTCGGCTCGGCGAGGGTACTACTACTATTAGAGAGAATACGGTATCACATTTAATTCTGCATTTTCTGCATTTTCTGCTTCTGCTTTTCTGGCTGTGTTTTATAAAACGTTTTTATGTTTAAAAACCCTTCTTCTTCATTCTTATCATTTTAGGATTAAAGTTTTTTCGAGAAATTTCGCTTGAAACCACATCCCAAGTAAAAGTATTGTTCTGGATTAGAATTGAAAATTACTTGTTAGAAGCTACACTAACAAGAGAAGGTCAACTGGATAGGCTGATAACATGCCAAATGATATGAAGGAGGTCTTGCATTGTAGTCTAACCTACTAACACTCGACCACCCGTGCGCTCATCTGGATCTCTGAAAAGTCCGGTGTTAAGGGCTATGTTTGATTTTTAAAGCTCCTTACGAAACTTTAAACGCCTATAACTTTTGACAGAGTACCGTTTAGCAAAAACGGAAAGCCGCATCGTGCTCAGCGTGAAATTCTGCGTTAAATCGCCTATGACTCATGTCATTTGACCAGCCTATCCAGTTGATCTTCCCTTTTAAATTTCTTTACCTTCAGACAGCTAACATCCAGCACTTGAGTTTCATTGTCCATAGGTTTCGAGAAACTGAACTCAATTCTTTCATTTTACCACTTGAGTCTTCTACCTCTGATTGTAGTAAACATCGGCTTCACAGTCAGAATCTTGATAACCGGTCAAGTGCAGTATACCATTTTCAAGCGTTTCAATTTTTGTCATAACCTGAATACGGGCTTTGGTCGATTAGAGGGCTTTGGCCTACAATAGAAAAATCTGTGGCGGTAGCAGTTTCGCAATCATCGCTCAACTTTGAATCAATCAATGACCAGGGATAATTGTATGAAGTAAAAACCGTACCAGTGTCGTAAAAGGCACTCAACTTTGGTTTTCCTAAAAAGAAATAAAAAGAGTTTTAGGCTTTCTGGATGGAAAATGTACATAATACAATGTGGAAAACTCTTTTGGACACTCTTCTTTTGGAAAATGTACATAATACAGTACTTTTTTCTTTCTTTGGCGCCTTTTTTTCTTTCTATTCTATGGCTTTCTTTTTTTTTTCCTTTTTTTTCTATTCTTTCTACTCTTTCGATTCTATGGCCTTCTTTTTTTCCATCTTTTTTCTTTCTATATTTAATCAAGATTAACTCTACCTTTCTTGAGTGTTGCAGAAAGACAGAAGGAGCAATTCGATTTGGTAAAAACAGTCAATGCCGTGGTTTTGGAGATAAAACTCTGTTTAGCTCTAGAAATGATTGTGATTGTGAACTGATTGTCATAGTAAACTGAAAAAAAAAAATGATTGTAGTCATAGGAAACTTTACTGCAAATCGATCAGATGGAGCTCATCAGCTTTTGACAAACTTGGCACCGGACCAGAGTAGATTGAATAGAGAGCCCTTGCATTGCAAGTTATATCTGACTGAAGTTAGTTTTGTGAAAATGTGAAAAAAATTGTATGATCATTGTATGATCATGTATCATAATACCTGGTATTCTAGACAGTAATAGTTTGTTTCCTCAATTCCAGCTGCCATAGTTTGTTGATAGAATTTTCTGGAAAGAATTTTCTAATTTTCAATTGGTGAAAATTTGGAAACTATTGTATTTTCTCTAATAGTAGTGCACCCTGTGCGTCGCCTAAATTGCTCGAAATCTCGAGAACCACTTATCAGAACCTATCGATGTGAGATCGGAAAATGTAGCTGAGGATGAGATCTAGTGGGGGATTAGAGTGTTGAGCTTCTACGAAAACTTCGAACCAGTAAAATAGTCATCAACTCGGCTCGCCGGGGTGCACTACTATTAGAGAAAATACGGTACTCTTCCAAGGCCGGAACAACAATTGTTGTGATGACATTTGTTTTCACCAAAATGTATTCATTTTCCGATGGATCTACTGGAACAACTAGCAATCGTTGTGATTCTGAAAAGCTTTCTGTGATAGAGCTTTCTAAGCCAAACTGCCATCAATCCATTGTCGAACTCGAATCGAAATTCCAAATATTGTGTTGAATTTGGTGGATGCAACGATGTTTAACCGATTCAGTGGCAAATTTTCGTAGATAAAAGTGTAGCTGTAAAGCATTTGAGTCATATTCCATTGATGTGGTCTGAAATTGACAGAAAATTACAGAGTACAGCAAATTTAGTGTTGTGTTTAATGCATCTTTTTGTCTTTCTAAGAAAATACATTAACCTAAGCTGAAAAGAACAATTAATCATAAAATCTACGTGTAATTTTACATAGAATAGAAAAACTGCAACATTTTTAATGACTTTGGCAACCCTAGCCGAGTAGCACAAGAAATGCTATGCTGAAAAACAGTTAAATTCGAGTTAGGGGTTAGCTTACAATGGTTGGTGACATTTTGCCGGCACTGGCACTTGATGATTAACGAAGAAAGGAAATGGATCCAAGCAAAGGCGTACACAACCAGATTCCTTGTCAACTAGCCTCTAAAACCAATCATTTTTTGCCTGAAAGAAAAAGCACTGGATCATGAATGTTTTGACAGCCATGATGAGAAAAATCAAGGAAAAAGTCGGTGCCGTTCTTGGTTGAAATAATGAAGTTCTGAAAATCACAACTTTCTCAGCTCAGCATAAAAAGCCGAACTTTCAAATCTCGCAAATCATTTCCGTGAATTGTTGTTGATGGTGACTCTTCTGTTAATGTGATTTCAAGATTCTTACAGATTCCAAATCGTAAGATCCAAAACAGTATGAATAAAAAGAATGTCTTCATTACCATCTTTACCTGGCTTCTCGCCAGAAAGCAATCGTTTGACCAAATGTCATGAATCTTCCCCATTGTTTGTTGAAAGAGCTAATACTTGACTGATAAAACATAATACTTTTTTTTTCTGCTGCATCTGATCGATTTGCAGTAAAGTTTACTATGACTACAATCATTTTGAGTTATGAAAAAACTATGTACAGCTTTTCTAAAGAAAATGATCAAAGAAAATGATTGGCAAAAAAGCTTTTCCTAATAAATGTATTAGGTTGTTTGGATATAAACGAGCGTTTGCACTGCTTAACTCGTGAGGAAGTCTGATCTGATCGCCTTTCCAATGGCGTGGAAATGCTCATCAATAGTAGAATTTGAACATAGAAACTGTTGAGCAAGTTCATGCGTCGTTTGACATGGATCCGATTCGATTGCAGCCCTCAAAATATTGTTGTCTGCCGCTTGAGGTCGACGAGAGTGTTCATGGACTTTCATCACCATTCCGAAAGCGTTAGAACCAGGCTTGGCATCGGCTTTTGGACAATACATCATTCCCAAATGCTTTGACCAAATCTCGATGGGATTACGCGACTGTTTTGCCCAGTTTGAAGTCGTAAAGTAGGCTTATTGATAAGTAAAATAGACCCGAACTTGATATATTTGAAGTCGGTCATCTAAAAGAAAAAAGAACTTAAAAATAAAAAATTATCGGTTTAAAAAGTTTTCAAATATACACAAGATAACGTACTTTTAAATACAGAAAAACATGTTTTAAAAACTTCCCACACAACAATAAGTTTAGTAACGCTTGTTTATATCCGAACAACCTAATAATAGGCTAGAGTTTATCAAAATATAAACATTCTAAGAAATCACAACAGAGTTCATTTCATAAAAATACTCTCTATTCGTGGTTTTTACGTTATTAGCCATAAGCCATATTAGCGATAAGCCAAAATTACACCTATAAAATGATAAAAACCAGTCTTTTATTGTCAAAGGGCACACAGAAAAAATGATATCACAAAATTTTTAGTCTAAATTTGAATTAGGAGAGAAAGTGATAAGGGGAACGAATAAAAGCATTCAATTTTACGAGAGAATTCAGAGTTTTTCAGAAATTATAAATATGGACTCGACTCTGAGCCTATGCGTTTTCTTAGCGCTATTTTGGGGATCAAAAGCAATTGTTTGCCCGACTGGCTCACAGCAGATGCTCAATGAGACGACTTGCGTCTATTCGCTGAACACTCGTGAGTTTTGTTGGAATTGTTCTTTGGAATGGAATGGTTTTGATGGCTAAATTTCGCTTTTGAATGAATTATAGAGCTTCAAAATATTCTTTGAGTCCAAAAAGTCTCAAAAATTTCAGCTCAAACCTTTTTCGAAGTCTCCAAACAGTGTGCGGCTCAAGCGTATTGGGCCTACCCGGTGAGAATCAGAAACGCCCTTGAGAACAAATTTCTGCAGAGTCTTGCTCAAACTCGTAAGAAAATATTTGTTATTTTAAAAGTAACATCTTTAGAATTCAACAATGTACCCCCATTCATCAGTATTTGGAAGAAAGCTGGTGACAATTGGACATATTATGATGGAACCTCACCGCTTCTCTATCAGAATTGGGCACCTGGTTCGTGGTTAAGCTGGTAGGGTAATACAAAAGTTCTCCTATAACTTTTTACTAAAACTTTATTTTAAAATAACTGAGATGAATCAAAAGTTTCTGTACAACTTTTTAGTAAAACTTGATTTTAAGCTATTCAACTAAACTTTTTAAAAATAGAAGCCTTAATAAAATTATACTTTAAACCATTAAAAGCTCAAAAAAGCTATGATAAGCTAGGAGCTCATAGCTCTTCATAGCTTTCTTATATGATTTGCCCTTTAAGCACAAATGGTTGACAGCACGCTGCCGAAATTAGCCAACTTCCAATGTTTATACAGATCCTTAGCACCGATGAAATTAAAGAATTTACACAAATTTTAAGCTTTAAATATTTTTTCTAATTAAACTAAACTAAACTTGGTATTGAACACTCTTTCTGGGGCTTTATGGAGAATCATTTTTCCATAAAAACACCGATCGAAATCGATAAAAACACTAAAATCTGCTGATTTTGATACGACGGAGTTTCTATTCAAATGAATGCTAGCCTAAACCCTTTAAAAATTATTTTCTAATGTTTTTAGGATAAAGATAAACGTTAAAAGTGCATAAATTTTCGTTTGGGATTAGTCTAAACTTCACGAAGGACTAAAAAAATTGAAAAGAAGGTCGATTTTGGCAGCGTACTGTCGATCACTTGTGGTCCAACCATATAAAAAAAGCTAAAGCTATGAGCTCCTTATTAGTGGTTTTAAATATAATTTTATTATGGTTTTAATTTTTAAAAGTTTAGTTGAATAGCTTAAAATCAAGTTTTAGTAGGAAGAAAGTTTGTACAGAAACTTTTGATTCATCCTGTAAATAGAGCCGTGTGATGGAACAGTTTAAACTCAAAATAAAGAGCTTATTGTTAGCGTTTGAATCAAAAACAAATTCAGCTGCTTTTAGGCGAGCCCAGCTCTACGACGAATCGGGACCTCTGTGCTGTCATGAGCCCAACAACTGGCTTGTGGAAGTCGAGTGAATGCACGTTGACTAAACCCTACTTTTGTACTGTTGAGATCAGTGAGTTTTGTTAGTTTAACTGTTATCATAAAATCATTTACAGGAGATTCTCAATGTGACCCTGGATGGATCTACAATGATAGCTTCGATTTTTGCTATTATTTACAGGTTTTTACTGAAAATAAACCCCTGTCTTGATTGCTATTGCTTGCTCTTTTTGTTCAAAAACAACTTTCAGAATTTCACAATGGAGGGTCAAGACTGGAAAACGTGGGGACCCTATGAGACGGAGCCAGCCTGTCAAGCAATGAGTCCATATTCCCATCTTGTATCGATTCACTCAAAAGCTGAAGATGACTTTGTTTACAGTTTGTGTGATCTGAGCTTTATAATTTACAAAAAACAAGTCCAGGCTTGGCTCGGACGTTTACTTTCATTAATACCCCACCACAATATTCTCCGGAGAGCAATCCCTGCCATTATCAAGGAGTGAGCATCGGATTGCTGGGAAGTGCTGTGTTGGGCGGTGCCTGGACTGATGGAACAAAGATTGACTATCTGGGGCAGATGGACTCACCGGGAGATTCTGCAAATTGGATGGTGAGAACCAGACGTGTGACGAAAACATCTGTCGGTCCTTTTTGCCATTGGAAATTTGAGGTTTTTTGTGTTTTTCTTAATAACAACCCTTCTCTTTTGTTTGTTTTGGCTATCATTCGATTCAGAATAAAATTGCACATCGAATGATACCAAAATTAACTGAAAATATAATATCCATGCAAGGTCATGAGGCAAAAAGTTAAATCTTACCCATAATGGGCGGGGTTTTGTTTTTCAGTCAACAACTTTGCATGGATCTTATATTTTCAGTTAGTTTTGGTATCATTCGATGCGCAATTTTGTTCTGAATCGAATGATAGTCAAAATAAACAAAATAGAAGGGTTGATACTAAGAAAAACACAAAAAAACCTTAAATTGCCAATGGCAAAACGGACCGACAGATGTTTTCATTACAAGTCTAGTAAGAACTAAGCAAAACAAAGAGATAATTGTACATTCCTTTTGGCGATTCTTTATCAGAGTTATTTTTGTATCTGAATTTGAAAGAGTTTCCAAGACAGCGAAAAGCTTCCAGCTCTTGATTGATTTGAGCAAAAATAAAAATCCAACGCAATTCACGAGTCAAATGAAAATTCAGATGCAAAATGATGATTCTTGTTCGGAGAAGCAATGGCACGCTCACGGTACAAGCCTCGTTTGGTGTCGATTTATCTGCAAAATGCCTTCTAACAAGCAATTAAGTCGCATTTTGGGAATTAATAAACAGTGATCTCTATATTAAATTGATAAACCTTTTGCATGGCTCTATGAAACTTTACAATTGTTGAAACATCTTTTTTTCTATCAAACTTTTCGTATTTCTCATCATTAGCTTAGCTAATCTTTTGACAGCTTGTGCCGCCGCGCTTCCAATAAAATTTAACGAGCTGGAAAAGAATAAGCGAGCAGACAAAATGAGAATAACAAATTGAGATAAAATGAGAAAAAGAGCAAAAAGTAGGCTCTGGAATTACTTTTGAAATCAAACATCTTTTATATTTCATTTTTTTCACTGCGCCAAATGTTGTCCAATCCATCGTTTCCAATTGTCTAGCCAATTACCAATATAATCCAGACTTGAGTGCTTGTCTTCTCTATTTGAATCAATCAGTTCAATCAATCAATCAGCTCAATCAAAGCAATGACATTAAATTACCGTCAATGCTTTTCCAGAAACATGGAACAATGCAAGGAGAGCTTGCATAGAATACGATGGTGATCTTATTTTGATTCATAACACTTTTAAAAATGCTAGAAAAGAATTGAGTGTCAGCTTTTCTTAAGAAGAGAAGTTGAAGGCCACGTTTCAAGAACGAATTTAAGCCGCTTTTTTGAAGTGCTTTTTTATCGGGTAAGAAAACTTTACCGACTATGATTCAAATGTCTAACTGAACTACTTTGTACGTGTTCAAAAGCTAGCCGCGTCACACTTCTTTATTGATCAATTTATAAGTATCATTATCCACAATTTAACAACGGTTTATGAAGTACCTAAGAAAGTTATGTTACAAAGCAAATTATTAGAATTTCCACAAATAGAAAATACCTCACTCAAAATTGCAAAATCTCTTGGGTTTTTTTGTCTAGCACAACTTTTCAACGGGTTCCTTTGTTTGAACCATCTCTACAGGCACCGATTGTCGCATTTGTTGATCGATCAGAAGTTGACGATCTCTGAAGCTTTGATTTGAGACAACAAGGTAATAATTTCAATAGCTTCAATAGCTTTTGAGATTTAAAACCTTGCAGTCTTTCTGCAAATAAAACCTGATATATCGATAAAAGTTATAAGTGACCCAGCACTTCCAAATGACAAGCGCAGCGCCGATAAGCAGACTGGCTATGTATTCTGAAAGTTGATTTTATTTTAATATGTTTATACTGTGGTCATTTAGTGCTCGCTAAACATTCACAGATCACAGAGCTTCGCTAACCTGCAATCACTGTTAATATGGTTGTCTTTGTGTTTTGTTGTTGGGTGGTGATTCCATGAGATTGTGAGATTCTAAATTTAAAGAATATTTAAAATGGAAATTTAGGAGTAAAAAGTAGAACCTTATTTAGGTAATTGGGGTAAAAAGTAGGGCCTTATTTGGGTCAGATTGAAAACTTACTCGAAACCCACAACACTCAAACCGATAATGGCAACCACAAAAGCGATTGCCAGCAACACGACTTCGATGAGCTGAAAAGGTTTATTTGCTTTTTTTTTGATTTTATAGAACTCACATAGAAAATCCCGTACACTTGCATGTACACGGGTTTAAGAGTGAGGATTGACATGATGGCAAAGATGACCATTATGGTGGCAACGGGGGATTGGAGTGACTGAATGAAAAGGCGAGTTTTTTGGTTTTCAAATGATTGAAAAATATCTTACCGCAACAACGAGCGTGGTTCGATCGGTAGTTGTGGAAACTAGTTGCATGAATGAGTAAAGAAGAGACAAAGCATCAAGAAAAATCCAGATCGTGAAGCCTGTCTAAAGTTGGAGCTTTGGATATGAAATTTACAGCTTTGCATCTGCAGAAGAGGGCTTCCTTCAAAAAATATTTGATACCTAGTCCAATCCAAGTACTTTAAATTGCAATCCTTTCCATCTTGAAGTATTTATTATTTATGTTTGATAATGCTCTCTTTGATGTCAATTTCTTAGTTCGATGTCATCCTTACCTTAGCCTTGCATCCATTGCAGCAACACCGGTAATCACCCTCATTGACAGCTTGTTTCACCTGAACAGTCTCCGGATACCAACACCAACCTCTGACCATTTAGTCAATGAAATGTTGAGCTCTGACATGAGCTATGAAAACGGGAAAATGGAGGGAGCTAGAGACTTTTCGGAACCGTTATTAATTTTCAAAAAGTCACCTAAGATCAGGAACTTCACCTGCAACTCTTTTAAATGGTTCGTTATTTAGTTTTACATAGTTCATTTGAAAATTGCGATACTTCCCAAAGTTTCTTGGCGCCAGGTGTTTTAATAATAAGTGGATTTTGAAAAGTTGATGTAATAAAAAGTGATAAAAATATCAGAAGTCAAAAAAAACTTGAAAATTGATCAAGGTAAGAAAAATTTTTGAATGAAAATCAAGGGAAATAAAAAAAACAAGGTTTTCGAAGATTTCCAATAGTTTTTCTATTGAACTTAGGCACATTATTGAACGGAATACTATTTTTGACAATTTTGATTGTTTTTGTTTGTTGGTTTTTTGCATAACCTCAGCTTTATTGGCCTTTGTGCTGAGATGCAAATTACCATAAGCAAACAAGGGTCAGCACGATTTCCTTTGCAAGCATTGCCAGATGCTCAAAGGGATTCACATCTAACATTGTTTTTGATTTGATTCCTATTCCATGGTCAACAGATTACCCAAGATCCCATATAAACTTTTATCGCAGCATGATGATTTAAAAAATGAAGCCCCAAAGAAAGCGATGGAGTTTGGTAAGTCAAATTTATTTTGAGTAGGCGAAAGGGATCGATCAGCACCCGAACATGTAAAAATTGCGCAATATTAAGCATCAAAAATTAGTTCAAAAGAAGATACCGTAAATACTGTAATAGTACCCCACCCCCCTCGTACAGTCGCGTAGTCGCAAAAGTTTGTTAGTATTTCATTTTTTTCAAAAAATGCGTCTTTGGTATCAAAAAATAGCTGAAATTCAGGGCTATTTTTTGCTACCTAAGCGCGCATTGTAGCATAAACCAGTGTCGAGAAAAACTCGTTCAAAGCTAGACTACGCAACACTCCGCACCGTCATTATGGGGGTGGGATACTATTACAGTATTTACGATATGTTTCGGGAAATAATTTCCAATTGCTCTGATACCTATTAGGCTGTAAACTAAGCCTTGACCCCCTCAGCAAAGTTTCGAAAGTTTGTTTACGTTTAGTGAGGGTACGCCCTGTTTTTCTTCAAAGTATTGGCTTATCAGTTCTTTATCCAAAGACACAATTCAGAAAGCCAAATGCTCTTTTCTTTATTGCAAATTATTTTTTACTTGATTATTTATTAATGCTACTCCAAATCTACCAACCAGACATTTCCGACATGTCATGTTGTATAAATTTAAAAAAGGGTCTTCTATCTCGCTCTGGCAAACATTAATAGTGTGTATGGGGATGACTCTTCTTCCAAAAGTACAATAAAACGCTGGTTCCACACATTCAGAAATGGGGAGATTTTTCTCAAGGATGAAGACCAACCGGGTAGACCCATAGAGCTTGAAAATGCAGACATTCTTCAAAAAATTTACGAAAACCCCGGATTTCTTTGCGTGAAATTGCGGCTGAGGTTGGATACTTTCTTGTAACAGTTGAAAAGCACCTCCTTACTATGGGTTTTAAATCGATTTACGGTGCCCCACAACCTCACCGACCCTATGAAAGGGCAGAGACAAGTTGCCGCTGCCCTTCTTTCCAGATACAAGAGGAAATCTTTCTTGACGCGCGTAGTGACGAGAGATGAGAAGTGGATTATGAATGCAAACTTTCAGAAAAAACGACAATGGGTGGGACCTAGAGCTACGCCAGCCATATGCTCCCCAGATCCTTACCAGAAGAAGTACATGCTATTAGTTGAGTGGGATTTTTTAGGCGTCACTTATTGGAAGCTTCTCGATAATAAGCAGACAATCAATCCTCTATTATACAGCGACCAGCTAAAGGCTTAGCTCAAGATTTAGTTTATAACCTAATATTGTTGTTAATTACGAGTCAATATTTATCCAGTAGTAAACTTTCAAACAAAAGACAAATTTTCAAAAGAGCAAAGACAAAAGACAATTTTGCCACGTCTCCATCATATTTATTTCTTTTTCCAGTGTCCAACACCAGGAATGATTTCCGTGAAGACATCGCCCTACTTCGTGCAATCGCCATATTGGCCGTTCTCGGCTATCATTTTTCGCCCACTGTTTTCCCAATGGGTTTCGTTGGAGTCGATATGTAAGTTCGAAAACAACATTCTCGTATTAAAATCTTTCAGTTTCTTTGTTATCTCTGGATACTTGATTATGAGTATTCTGGAGAAATCAAAGGACCGTCCACACCGAGTCTTCCTCTCATTCTATTATCGACGCTTAAAGCGAATTGTGCCACTCTATCATTTTGTGTTGTTCTTTATTGGTAAAGAACTTACTAGTCTTGCCAAGACCCAATTTTGCTTTTCAGGACTTGCCCTGGTTTTCTGCTATACTCCAATCTGGGCCAAACGCTACTTTTCTTCCTACTTTCAAGCCATCTTCTTCTACTTAAATTTTGATCTTCTATGGGCGGATGGGAATTATTTTGCAGAAGTAAGAAACAGCAAAAACAACTTTCGAACTTGTTCAGGCCACAGAAAAGTTACCTTTCCTGCACCTTTGGTCTCTTGGAGTCGAGATGCAGTTTTACTTGATTGCCCCGATAATATTTTATATCTCAAAGTTTGATGCAAGTAAGTGGATAAAATAAACTTTTCCAAACCTCAATAAGAGATTTGTAAGTCTATCTTTAAACCTTAAACTGAAGCTGAAGCTTAAGAAGCTGAAGCTGAAGGTCTCAATCTTATGTTGAAGTGAGACAAGAGACTTGCTCGGTACCACCAAATCTCTTTCAGAGATTCGCCTTGGCCAATTTATTTTGCTATCCTTTGCTTTTTACTCTTTATATTTCCAATACAATTCCAATAAATCAACCGCGTTCTATCATCCACTTGCAAGAATTTGGCAGTTTCTTTCTGGCATGCTGGCTTCTCAGCACACAGAGGAAGCGAAAATGTGTAAGTTTTCATTCAAAGATAAAAGATTAAAAATTTTAGATTTGGAATCAACTAGATCAAACACTTTCTCAATGGTTTTTATGGTTTTCGTATTTTCAATCTTTCTACCGCTTTTTCACGGAATCTCCACCCCGAGCGCTCAACAAATTTTCGTGACAATATCGGCAACGGGAGTCATGCTATTCTCGCCGGCTGGGTATATTTCAAATATCTAATAATTCCTTGACAGTTTCATTTTTTTTCTGTCTTTACTTTAGTTTTTACATTTACTTATTCAGATCTATTGATTGGGGTCTTTTCCGTCTTCAGTATATCGCTGAGATTTCCTATTCCCTATATTTGGTTCACTATCCCATTCTCAAAGTTTCCGAATATCTGGTCGACTATTATATCGTTGAATCCCAGGGTTTGATGTTGAATGCAACTTGCCAAAATGACTGATCTTCAGTTAAATGGATCACCTTTCTGCTTACCATTGTAATGAGTGCTCTCGTCAATCGTTTTCTGGAGAAACCGATTCTTTCAGATCACAAAACTCGCATATTTATCAAATCTTTGTTCTGCTTTGCTGGATGTCTACTATTGAGCTTAAAGTGGAGTTCAATTGTTGATCAAAGCTGGTGTAAGTTAAATCTAGAGAATACCAGAAAACTGAAGCTGAAACTACTGAAATACGTTATAAACTAGATTTTTTTCAAATCTTTCAACCCTAGACGGTATCATATTAGGCTGTTCAAAAAGTCTTTTCATTCCATTTTGTACTTTATTTAAAACCAACAAATGCACCAATCGAACTACGGTTTGTTTCATTAGAAAGGCCAATTATTTTCCTGCAAAATAACATTAAAACGGGTTTAAAATGTCTTATGCATTTCTTGGGAGCGTGAAGTCAGGTAGTCAAAAAGTACGTCTCGATAATGCGGTTTAGACACTTTAGCTAAGGAAACCTATTTTTAGGTCAAGAGATAAAAGATAGAGCACAAAAGGTTAGGTATATAGCCAAATTTTTAGAGAAATTCATTCAGCCAATTTCTTTGTAGAGGTTTTTATAGATTTCGAGGAAAAACACGTTTTCACTCTCGATTTTGCTTGAAAATGAATCCAAACTGACTTAAAAAGATGGAAAATTGAACAATAAGCACTTTTTCTTTAGAGCAAACATTGGATAATTGGAGAATTTGTTATTTTTAACGAAAGTATGAACAGAGAACAGAGAAAACCCATGTTTTTGTTAAAAACCAACAAAACATCATTAAGAGAAAACTACTGGACTGGTTGGTTTGAAAATTTGATTATAGACGTAATCAAACATTCTCTACGTTTTTTATTTGAACATCAAAGTAGGTTTGTTGTATGAAAATATTTAAATGATCAACTTTCCATCAGCCCATTTTTGACCATTTCGATCATTTGAAAAAAGTGTTTAAACAAAAGCTTTCCCGTCTGGCTCAAAAGGTGTTTTGTAGAAAAAAGATAGGGCTTTCTTATCTTTGAAGCCTCTAGGGTTTACTATTAAATTGGGTTGGAAAGCGCCTCTTGAAAGAATACTGACATTTCATGTGCATTGACTCGATAAAATCTAATTCTATTAGTTCTCTATTAGTCTCTATTAGTTCTAAATAGTTCAAACAAAAATTTATTTATGACCTTAAGATTAAAAAAAACATTATTTGAAGAAGAGCTTTGAGATATGAAGCATTTCAAGCACGATTTCATAAGAAAATATTCATTGTGTCAGTCGCTTTCATTTACGGAGCTTCTAGTGACCCTAATTTTTCTTATAGCTGACCGATCGGGCTAAAAATTGGAATATAAGTGTAAAAATGTTATAAAAATGAAAATATAATAAACTTTAGGTAATCTGCCACATGTTTGATTCAATCTGCCTTCATATAAGCCGTAACACATTAAATGTGTGTTACGTTGTGTTGTTTTACACATAACACTTTTAGGGTGGCACTTCCTTGTACAACCGACTAGTTTTATTATTTTCACCATCCAGATGCAGCAATGAAATTTCAGCTGAAGAATCGGTTATTGCTGCAAATGCACGTTACGCTGGTAAATCATATTACCCACTTTATGGCGGTAAATTTGTGTCCGATGCTTACATGAGCCCACCAGTTCCACCATTTGGCCATTACGTCTATTTAGTGAGTTTCCACCAATCCACCTTTTCATTCACCAACTCAAACTTTTAGAATAACACTGGAAAACTCAAAATAGCAATCTTCGGTAATTCTTGGGCAACACAACAGGCTCATGTTTGAATTTTCTTTGGTTAACTTCTGGAAAACAGTTTAGATGATCCGAAAGTTCTTCCCACCCAATCAAACCGCGTCTTTAAATCTTTTTTCAATGCCCAGTTTTGCTTACGGAATTCACAACTATTCTCCATTCATAAAACGTTTGATTTATCATTTTCCTTAGTTTTCCTTTTTCAGAAAGAACACCATTCATGTTGAAGTTTTTGAAAAGAACACGACCGGATCTTGTCTTCATACTTTTGCGGTAAGTTTGTAAGTTATTTTAAATAAGAGTTATAGATTAAATAATAGTTATAGATTAAAAGCTTAATGACATCGAAAGCCGGATGAAAATCCAACAAAAACACTTATTTTTGAGATCTTGAAAATGTAGGTACTGGGTTGATGCAAAAGAAATTTCGGTCGGTATAAAATATTCTATTTTTTAGAGCTGGGTTTTGATTTTCTTTTGTATATTTGTACTCTTAGGGATTTACTTTATTTTTACGCTTTTTTTTAAATCTAAATCAGAGCTGTTACTTTTTAATTGATGTTTTAATTGTCATGGGCACAAAGTGATGTTGTCTTGCTGGTGGAATATCAACGGGCTTGTTTATTTCGAATTATTAAAAAGCCCGGAAAAACAGTTGATTCACCTTGTTTTATTCAACAGCTCAAAAAAGGTTTGAGCAAATTTGGTTTGAACAAATTTGGTTTGGGCAAACCGCAAAAGGTTTAAATCCCTCGACTGTCAATTTTCTCCGTCACAACGCGCCAGCACACACAGCGAAAGCTTGTCGGATGATCTTAGAGGAATTAGGATGGAAGATCTGACCGCGTGCGCCATATAGTCCAGACTTATCACCATCTGATTTTCATCTCTTCAGATCGATGCAACATTCCCTTGAGAATTGCCAATTTAACAATGTGCAAGAGGTCGAGATTTGGGTCATTGAAAAATAGAAGAGCTTCTTCTATCAAAATGTTTACAGTAGTTTAGTCTATCCATTAAGAATTAGGAGTTCTATCACACAATGGTAAAAGCTCTCAAAAAAGTTCTAGAAATGGTTCAGAAATGGAGACTACGGTGCCGTAACAAAAGATGATGGCCTCGTGGAGATCTATTGGGAAGGAATTCGAAATATTAGGTGAAAACTGTAGAGTAATGAGCTTGAACTTGCTAAATTTATTTGAAAATTAAGTCTAAACCGCTTTTCAACGCTTTCAGCAAGTACGCGAAAGAGATCTTTATCGAGGGCCATCATCCATTTGATTGTGAGGGAAGTGAAAAAGATTTCCTTTATCATTATATCGACAATCTACAAAAAGAAGCCGATTTGACAAAGATGAATCCAACATTTAATGTAACTGATTGCTAAGGAAACAAGGTTTTGAAGTTTTCATTTAGGATAGTTTCTATGAGGCACCAATAAATCAAAGAGTGAAGATTATCATGGAAAGATGTGCGAAATGTCATCTGCTCGATGTGGCTGAAGCGTTTATTGGTGGGGAAAATAGAGGAGTATGGTTATAACAGAGTTTCAGATCATTTCAATCAACGGGTTCTCACATATGACCCAAAAACAAAGCTAGCTTTTCTTGACAATCAGTGTCATCTCACTCCGGCTGGACTTGAAAAAATTGAGAACCCAATCCGAGAAGCAATCAAGAAAGCTCTAGGAAAGAACTTTCAATAAAGCCAATTGTAGAAAAGCTAAATTGCGGTTAAAACAGTTCATTGAAATACAGGAAATTGGCTCTATTTAATGGCTTTTAAGGGCCAATAAGGCCAATTCCATAGCTGTGGATGGTTACGTGGCTACTTCAATGCATTCAATTCTCTTTCGTAGTGGGCTTCGCCCCTTTTTGGACCGATCATGATAGATTTTGCAGCCGCGTATCTAGAGAGTTGAATGCATTGAAGTACGTGCTAGAGAGTTGAATGCATACGTAACCATCCACAGCTAAAACCCAGGTCGAAATTGAACTTACTGTATAGTAATTTGAAGTTATTCTTTTTTCGTTTAACTGTACTGAACACAACCTTGGACTTGGGTATTGAAACCAATTCCATTATTACAGATCCCACTTTATGTTAAAATTTCTCTCATTTCGGGTTTGAATCTAAGATTTTTCAATTTATCTCGATTATGAATCTTGCAAACAACCCAATTAAAGCAACTACACAATTGCTGTACGTTTAACTGTACTGTACACAACCTTGGACTTGGGTATTGAAACAAGTTTAGGGCTAAAAATAGATAAAGCTTGATTCTATTTTAACAAAACACAAAGATTTTTACACTGATCACGTTCTAGGAAAGTTTTAATTCATTGAAATTCTCAATAAGTCGTAATATTGGCTTTGACGATCGGCCAAGCGTTTATTCCATATATATTTGTATGGCTATCAATTTCTTGAGAAATACAAGCTCGTTTTTTATTTTGTTTTTGATTTGTGGTGGTAATGTAAAGGCAGAAAAATTTGTGAATTTCAAAATGATGTACTGGTTTCAGAAGGATCAATATCATCTTGTATACAATGGTTTCGCCGCTCAAGAATACATCTTTATGGTTGCAATATTTGAAAAGGAAAATGACAAGCATCGAGTTTTAACTTTACGCACAAACATACTCAATTAACGCGGTTGCTTGCAAAAATTTGAAAAATCTACAGGGTGATCAAAAAGTTCCGCATTCAATGACACAATAACCAAGTTTTTGAGTGCTCTTGAACGTAAAAAGAAAAATTTGTGCCATTGTCTGAATACCTACCTACTGATGAATCAGTTTTTCCAAGAAAAGGCTTCATTTTCTCATAGGAGCTTGAATCAGTTTCTCTATAATTGCTATTTTTGCTATTTTTAAAACGAAGCCAATTGATTAAATTCTTTGAAAGTTGCAAAGTTTCACATAATTGATTTGAAGCGGCAATTCTCGGTGTTTCCAATGTTTTATAAAAACGTCATATTCTTATTTCAGTTGGCTACTGGTATTGCAGTGGTAAGAATTTGAGTTTTACGGCTTTGTGAATGATATTTTATGTGAAATAGGGAGCTCAAAACACTGTAAGTTACAGCATTCTGTTTAGCCGGAATGTGAAGGCAAAATTACTTTTTTTTCTAACAAGACTCACAAGGGAAGATCACAAGGCTGAGGTGGCCAAATGAAATGAGCCATTTATCATACGACGCAGAATTTTACGCTGATTCCAATGCTGCAGTACGTTTTTGCAAAATGATACGCAAACACTTTTTTCTTTTAATTGATAACAAACAAAATAACGAAAAAATTAACACACGTGGCAGCAATCTATAAAGTGAATGAATGAAGTGAAAGATATTGTTGTAATACTTATACTAATTGTGATCTCATAATACTAATTGTAGAGTAAAATAGAGCGAATTCGAGCGGTTAAACAGCAAAATAAAATGCAAACAAATGGAAGGGGTCGAACCCAAGCAAAAATTGTAGAGCTTGTTTCAGAAACTAGGCTCTTATCCACTACCCCACTAGCCCAAGGGATAAAAGAGGGTAAAAGAAGAAAAGAGGCCTTATTGATTGATTTTGACCTCTAATTTGACCTAAAACTGTTGGATTCCTCGTGTTTCCGAAACATTTTTCAAAAACGGATAGCAGCATTGGAATCAGCGTAAAATTCTGCGCCGTATGGTAAATAGCTCAGGTCATTTGGCCACCTCAGCCTTGTGATCTTCCCTTGTCAATAGTATTTGATTCATATTAGCTAGATCATTTGTTTTTCAAACGTACTTACTACTGTAACTATTGTACAACGAGACAAGATACTAAGGATTTATCCTATAAAACTTTCAGAGCAATCTCCATTTGCTTTTTATCGATGGCTACGAACCCGCCAAAGGAGCATATCCTTTTATGGCAGCAATTTACGACATGATGAGGTTAAAGAAGCTAAGTCGGTAATTAACCACTGTTTTGAAGTTTGCGTGTATTTTGTGGTGGTGCCATCATTGCACCCGGCTGGATCCTAACAGCTGCTCATTGCTTGTACAAAAAAGTGAATGGGAGTCAAGTGTAAGTTCTTGCTAGTAAATAGGCTTACAAAATTCAGTGCAAAAACAATTTTCACTTGATTTTAGCAAGATAGACTTAAAGCACACATTTGTTCGTCTCGGTGGACATCGTGTTATACCAAAAGTTGATTCAACACAAGTATGTTTGTTCAAGGACTGAAGTTCAAACTGATTTTCAAATGTTAGCAAGATCGCTATATTCTTGAAGCGTTTTTTTCAAATAACACGAAAGAAATACAAGTTCCAGGACTCAATTACACATTTCTTTCAAATGATATTGCTTTGCTCAAGGTGAGTTTTGTAATGATTTCTCTAATGGTTTAACGGTTTGAACCTATAAACCTTTAGCTCAAAGAATCAATTGTATATGGACCAGGTGTTGATAAAATTCTGTTGATTAAAGACGACAAAATGATCCGAGAAAGTGAGATGAAAGGAATTGCGGCTGGTTGGGGACATATCGACTCTGACCGTGAGACTTTTTGGTACTAATAGAGGACTCTAAATTATCTCAAAGAGTCAAGCCTCTAGAAGTGGGTCTACAACGCATTTTCCCAAACTTTCACTATGAAATTCGTGATCTACGCAAAAACTATTCCAGAAAAAGCGGTTTTGGAAAAAATATATTGCCCCCAACTTTATTAGTACCGACTTTTTATATGTTGTATTCGATTTGGATTGATCCAAATTGGATATCCGATTTGGATCAATAGAATTGACCAATTGATCAATTGAAACATTATTGCACATTATGGTATCATGTTTTTAATCATTTTCTAAAATTTCATAAAAGTTTAACTCTGGCAACCTAGGGCAGCCCGTTAGCACCACATTCTGCTAAAAAATGGCTTATTTAAGCTTTGAATATGTTTTGAATTCACTGTAAAATGCAAGAAAGCCTTTTTTCGGAAAAATGTGGTGCTAGCAGGCTGTTCTAGGTTGTCAGAGTTCAACTTTTATGAAATTTTTAGAAAATAATTAAAAACATGATACCATAATGTGTAATAAGGTTTAAATTCCTAGAAAATTATTCAAAACATTTAAAAATCATTGGATATCTGATTTGGATTTGATTCAAATCCGATAAATTGTACTATTCAGGCACGAGAGCACCAAAGTTGCAAGCCGTTGAGCTGAATCTGATATGGGATACCACGAAATGCAAAACAAAAGCGACAGATGAGACTCATTTTTGTGGTTTTGCACACTCCGGTGGAGTTTGTAAGGTAGATGTTTGAAGCAATTTACAAATTACAGCTAGGTTGACTTTTAACAGGGTGACTCGGGTGGTCCGCTTTTTGTGAACTATTATAATCAAAGAAGAACATCGATAAAAGTGCTTATTGGAGTGATTGCACGTGGGCAGGGAAACTGTGAATATGGACCTGAAAAACGAGGTAAGACAGTAGGAAAAAGACCAAAAATTCGGATAACATCGGATTGAATAAAACCAAACCAATAAAACCTAATCGAGATGTTTAATCGCCAAAGTTATAGGCCATTTCACCGATGTGTCAAAGAATTGTGATTGGATTCAGACAAAAACCGGAATCAATGATCTCTGCGTTGATCTTGCTTCTTTGGGAGATGGGAAAGCACCGCCAGTCAGCATGAATCCAGTTATCACACATAGAGCTATCTTTTGCAATCTTTGTCCGGTAAGGTCAATCATTTTCTAAGGTTCATAATAATAATCAGTTACTTTCAGTCACTTCTCGAATGGATACAAGACTTGTTTTCAAAGGAACCAGAGTCAAAAACTTGGGCAAATGTTAAAATCGTCTCGAAGTTGAACAAAGATTGCCAACCGTTAGATCAACTCTATCGACAAGGGGACCAGGTGAATTAACTTTGCATAACATCAGCCTTTTCTTGTGTCTGATTTGCAAAACTTTTATAGCTTTGTTATCAAAATTCAATTTAAATTTCAGGGACCTCACTGCATTGTGTCATTGGCTCAAATTGTTGATGAAAAACTCGAGGAAATCAAAAATTATCAAGGATCCAAAGAAAAAGCTTGTAAAGAATGGTTTCAAGAGCAGAAATGTTATTATTTGAGATAAAATTAAACAAAAAAATGATAGAAGCAGTTAACTTTACACTTAACTGATCAAATGTTCAAATGAAAGACTTTCTCTGAAATAATCTTGCAATTCAAATAACCTATCTTGAAATTTATTGTCTATCTACAATATTCTCCTGAATCATGGCTGAAATGAGCTGAATGAATTGAATACAAGTAATAAGAAGCAAGTGATATTTGTTAGCGTGCTCATATATTGGGTTGGTGAATTGAAAACTGCGGGCTATTGTCATATGTGACCGTTTGAGCACTTTCTTCAAAAGAAACTCATTTTGGTGTCAATGGAAAAGTTGTAGAGAATCAAAAATCAAGCTTATATCCAAATTTTCAGAACGATTCAAAAACTGGTTTTCAAGAAATGCCAAATTTACGAATTTTCACAAAACTTGCATTTTAAGCAAAACCACTAAGTGTATCTTTTTGAAAATTTGGCTATAAGCCTGATTTTTGAGTCTCTACAACTTTTCTATTGACACCAAAATGGGGTTCTTTTGAAGAAAGTGCTCAAACTGCGACATCTCCAGTTCTCCATTCTTGAGTCTCACTTGTCTCACACACAAACCAAAAACCTACTACGAAAGAGGAATCCGCAAATTGCCTGTAAAATGGGCAGAAGTTAGACATGGGCATCGGGTCGGGTCGGGTCGGGTCGGGTCGGGTCAAAGGTGACCCGCTGACCCGACCCGCGACCCGGCTTTTTTCCCGGATGACCCGCTGACCCGACCCGCGACCCGGCTTTTTTCCCGGGTGACCCGCTGACCCGACCCGCGACCCGGCTTTTTTTCCGGGTGACCCGCTGACCCGACCCGCGACCCGGCTTTTTTCCCGGGTGACCCGCTGACCCGAGCCGCGACCCGGCTTTTTTCCCGGTTGACCCGCTGACCCGACCCGCGACCCGGCTTTGTTGGACTAATGCCAACTATCTTTTCTAAACTGCGATGAACATGGACACTATAAACTACAAAAATGACGATCTGTCACACTACAAAAACTTCTAACTGGCTTCAAATCTGTCGCATCGATATGAACTATAACTCAAAAAAATAGAGAATCTCAAGTGCTTTTGGATAGACTAAAGTATATCCAAAAATATCATTGCTAAAGAAAGTTAAAGTTTTTGGTCCTGTCGAAACGGACCGTACTCGCACGAAGTTGAATCGAGTCAGAATACAAACCACTATAACTTTCTTTAGCATTGATATTTTTGGATGTACTTGAGTTCATTTGAAAGCACTTGAGATTCTCTATTTTTTTGAGGTGTAGTTCATATCGATACGACAGATTTGAAGCCAGTTAGAAGTTTTTGTAGTTTACGTTTGTAGTTTGTAGCGCCAAACTGCGACCTCCCATTTTCTTGACTGAATACTTTATGCTTAGTTTATAAAGGCTGCGATGCTCTCTCACATTCATTTATCATTTTTTTTTGCGTTCATGAAAATTATTTTTATTGTTAATTTGGCTTTTTTTATTTCACTAAACTTCATTTTTTTAGCAATGTCCTCAATTGCCCGATCGTTTTTCGCAAGAATTGGCGACGAAGATGTGTGTAACCTCTGCAACATCAAATACAAAAGAGGCAAAAAAGGCGGTACAAAAAACCTGAACGATCATCTCAACAACAAACACAAGGAAATATTTGAGGAGGCCAAAACAAAGTAAGTTTTAGTATTAAATGCTTCCAAACTTCTGTTTTTAGGCAGGCTAAAGAAATGCCAAGAATTTTGCCTATTACAACCTTCTGTGCTAAGGAAAAGCAAATTGAAACGATTGATGCGGTTAGCCTTAAAATAGCCGAGTTTTTTTGCAGCAATAACATACCCTTTAACGTTGTATGTTTTTATAGAATTACAATTTCAAAGAAAATTTTAGGTTGAAAGCAAAAGCTTTAATGAGATGTGCGCGATCCTTGCTCAGAAACGGCCATTCAAGCCAATATCAAGAGGAAAACTAACGCGTATTATTGAGAAGCGAGCTCAAGAAATAAAAGCCGAGGTCTAAAAATTCGATTCATTACATTAATTGTTTCTCATTTAGACGAAAAACTACTTGAAAAATGCTGATAATGTAGCATTAACAACGGACACAAGCTCCAGTCCTAATTGCGAATACGCATTGCAGGTTTTTTTGTTTTCACTTTTGTTCACTCAATTCATTTTTGTTTAGGTTGTGACCGCCCATATTGTAGACGGCAAAGACGGCCTCAAGAAAAGTTTACTAATCGATGCTTTTCCGCTGTTATCTAAGTAATAAATTTACTTATACCTAGCTTCTAAAAATTGGCTTAAGGAAAAGCATAGACATGGCTGCCGACTTAAAAAAACAATGGTCGATTTCGAGATTGAACAAAAGGTGAAAACGGCAACCACTGACGGAGGATCTGACGTAAAAAAGGCTATCAGAGATCATCTAAAATTGAACTGGTAAAATTTTCATTACTTTCTTTAATTTGTTTGATTTTTTGCTTTAGGGTAAATTGCTTCGGCCACAAGCTAAATCTCGTTCTAAGAAGACTTCTAAAGCAAAGCTTTTTGCTTAGTATTATTGATCGGATGAAATCAGCTGTTCGTCGCATACACAAATCGGGAATTTCCCGACGCAAGTTTATTGGGTTTGTATATGTAGTTTCAGTTAAAAATAAAATTTTTTCTTTAAGCTTATGTAAAGAGTATGCATGCCCACTTGTGGTGCCTCGATCGGAGTGTGAAACTCGCTGGAATTCACTCTATTATTTACTAATTGATTGTTTGAGAGCGGTACGTATTTTTAAATTTTCTTGAAAGCTTTGCATTTTAGACACGTCCGATAAATGCAATCCTACGAGAGATAAATAAAGATGTGCTAGACGAAGAAGAACTTAATGTGGTAAAAAAAATTGTCGGAATCCTTGGGCTTTTTGACGAATATTCGAGAAAGGTAAATGCCATTTTTATTTATTTTATTATTATTAATTTTTAGATGTCGTCTGATAGTTCTTCACCTTCGGATATCATTTATTTATTGAAAACTTTGAAAATAACCAGTGAAAAGTTTGTTGTTAAATGCCCAAATTCTTATCTAATATTTTAGAATGATGCTAGGAGATGAAGCTCTTATCGATATATGCAAAGAGTTCACAGACAAGCTCAACAAAGCCACCGCAGAAGCTTATCAGGATGAGTTTTTGCAAGAAGCAATTTTTCTGGACCCACGCTGGAGTCGTAGATGCACTTTATATAAAGAGCTTGTCTGGAATAACATCAAAGAGCGGATCCTCTTCAAAAACGGTAGCCTTTCTCAAAAAATAATTTGTTACGTTTTATTCTTAGATTCCCTTTGTTTGGATGATCAAATTGAGCCCGACATGCGCAAGGATCCGGAAAGCCATGAAATCAATCCACTGGAATGGCTTCTCGTCGAACCTGCCTCCAAAAAAACACGCCTTTCAACTTTGCAGGTGGGTAAAAATCTAAGTTTAGTGCATATTAAGGTGTTATAGCTCGAGATTGACGACTACGTACACTTTTGTACAAAGGAAGCCCGTCCGTCTACTACCGAAAACTTGTACCTGTGGTGGTTCCAAAACAAAGCTCGTTTTAAAAAGTTTGTTCACTCTATTTTCTAGTTTTCAGTTACTATTTTAGTTTATATCCGATTGCGGTTCAATATATATATGTCGCCACCAGCTAGTTCCGTTTCTTCGGAGCGTGTTTTCAGGTACAACTTTTTGTATGTGTAGTAATAGTTTTATTTTAGTATGTGTGGTTTAATTTGGAAAAACAGTCGACGACAGCGGATGGCCCCTACAACATTGAAGTCGGCCCTTATAGTTAGCCTTAATCAAAAGTGCATGAAGTTAGTCTCTTTTTGTATTCAGAAACAAATGCTAATTTTAGGAGTAGATTTTGGCCAACTTCGCTGGAGACTCATTATGGATATCGCTCGGCCCTGAAGATAGCTGCTACAGACGATGAGTTACACATCGAAAAAGAACCGTATTCAAGCAGTAATTTTTCTAATAGCACTAGTGAGTTTGTTTTTCTTACGGATCGGATTGTAGTTATTCGAGCAGTTATTGATAAGTAATTTGTTGTTGTTAATTTTTGTTTGCCTATTTCATTGTTGCGTTCGAATAAATACCTATGTTAATAACATTTCTTGAAAAACATTTGGTAAATTTCTATTTATATTTTGACCCGACCCGCTGACCCGCCCCGGCGAAAATTTTGAGCTTGACCCGACCCGCTGACCCGACCCGGCGAAAATTTTGAGCTTGACCCGACCCGCTGACCCGACCCGGCGAAAATTTTGAGCTTGACCCGACCCGCTGACCCGACCCGGCAAAAATTTTTGGCTTGACCCGACCCGCTGACCCGACCCGGCAAAAATTTTGAGCTTGACCCGACCCGCTGACCCGACCCGGCAAAAATTTTGAGCTTGACCCGACCCGCTGACCCGACCCGGCAAAATTTTGAGCTTGACCCGACCCGCTGACCCGACCGGCAAAAATTTTTGGCTTGACCCGACCCGCTGACCCGACCCGGCCGTTAAAACTCGAAAATGGACATGTCTAGCAGAAGTCGTCAATAATAATGGCAATTACTTGGAATGAATTCATGGTTTTATGTTCAATAAATTTTAGTTCAAGGTCCGGCAGTTTTCAATTCACCAACCCAATAGTTTCAATCTGTTGATCCAGCTCTAGCAATTCGATTTCTTGAAGGTTGAAGCTGCTTGTTGTATCTCCATTTATGTCTTCTTGGTCTAAGATTCAAGCTAAATTTTGTAAATTGCTTAAATAATCATAAAATTTATAAAAGTATACCTTTACATATGGAAATACTATGGTAAAGCTATATGAAATACTTGGTATATGGAAAATTAGTAGCCTTTCAATCCAATTTAACTCTGTTGAGGTTGATTCACTTCTATAAAGCCCAATGTTTTGTGCTAACTGCTTAATGTCGCCTTTCAAAGCGCTAATTCTGTTCTTTAAAGGTTTCACATCGTCGAGCACAACGTCGAGTGTTGCACCACCACTCACGACAAGAAGAGGTGGAAAAATGATTCCCACAAGTTTTCTATTCATATAGATTCAAAACTATATTACTCTAATAATCGATTTGGAATTTGAAAGATTCACTTTTCGATCTGTCATCAAATACATTAGTGAATTGAGGATAAAATCAAACTAATCTTGACTGGTATTTAGACCGAGCTCTTAGCGTGTTTCACACCTTTCAATTGTTACCTACATCACAATCGGCTAAGCACTTAATTTTGCTGGTTCTCTCAAATTTTAAATCATCTGTACTTTAGAAAATACTGATGGATGAATAAAATCACAAAGTTTTGCCTCATCAACTGGGGTTTCTCGCAGACTATCCAGAATTGTAGTTAGAAACAATTCTGAAGAAAAAAACTGGTTAAAGCAAAGTAAAAAACGCAAACGCAAAAATGTTTGAAACGCCTAGTTTGAAAACTTCTAGTTTTATTTTTTTTCTGACAAAATTCATGCTGGAATAGGATAGGAATCAATCCCAAGATTTTGACTCTATTTTAAGCAGTGAACTGCGTATTCTAAGCTGACCTGGATTGCTTGAATCTTTAAGAAGGATTCTTTAAGAGTATTTTCAAATTTTGTTCTCGTAAAGTCAAGTCACACACCAATAAATTCATTAAAATCTGCATGACAATTCAATCGTCAAAATTGCGCTTCCAATTCACTCATTCTCCCAAAACTCAATGTGAAAGAGTGAATTCGAATGAAAAGATCCTTTTTTGCTATTGTTCAAATTTTCGACAGTCCAAGTGAGACCATAAAAAAGGACAGAAAAAGACAGAAAGACAAGAAAAATGCTAGTTGGGAAACAAAACAAAACCTAGTCCAATCCTGGGTTTTTTTTCAGCTCAAAAAGTTACATGGGATCGTTTTAAAACAAAGATGATCCCATGTAACTTTTGGAACTGAAAAAATCCTAGGATTGGACTCGGTTGTTTAGAGACTTTTAGAGACTGTTTTGAAACAAAGGCCCAGGTGCTGAAATCGTTAGATTTTTATGGAATCATTGAATTGAGTCATTGGAGTTTAAATTAAGGCTCAAAATCACATTTCTTTATCTTTACACAGTCTCTTGTTTGCGAAGCTAATAGCAGACAAATATTAACTAATATTTGTGCAATTTATCTCAGACAATTCTTGATTTCTTTTCAGGAATTCGTAAAACCAATCCAGTGACTGGGTGTCTGAAAATGTGCGAGAAGAAAAGCTGTTGATTTCGTGATTCGCTTTGAGAGAAAATTGAAAGAAAAGGAATTGATTGCAATAAAATATTCTCACTGTTAGCCGGCCAAAGGGTTTTTTTTCGTCGATTGAATTGATGATTCTTAGAATTTTTTGATAGATTACGATAAATCTTCAGTTTTTTGGGTTTCCAACTTTGCAGTTTAGTCTCAAATTCAAAATCAAAGCCGAAATTTTATTGAACAACTCTGATTTTGGACTGATTTTAGACTAGGACTAATTTGGACTGATTAATCTAGACTAGGCAGCTCAATTTTTACGAAGTTCAATTGTTCAGAATGGCATTTTATTGGGTTGGTGAATTGAAAACTGCGGGCTATTGTCATATGTGACAGTTTGAGCACTTTCTTCAAAAGAAACCCATTTTGGTGTCAATGGAAAAGTTGTAGAGAATCAAAAATTAGGCTTATATTCAAATTTTTCAGAACGATTCAAAAACTGGTTTTCAAGAAATGCGAAATTTACGAATTTTCACAAAACTTGCATTTTAAGCGAAACTACTAAGTGTATCTTTTTGGAAATTTGGCTATAAACCTAATTTTTGATTCTCTACAACTTTTCTAGTGACACCAAAATGGGTTTCTTTTGAAGAAAGTGCTCAAATGCTCAAACTGGGACATCTCCAGTCCTCCATTTTTGAGTCTCACGCTTGTCTCACACAAAAACCAAAATCCTACCACGAAAGAAGAATCCGCAAATTGCCTGTAAAATGGGCGGAAGTCGTCAATAATAATGGAAATTATTTGGGATAAATTGATGGTTTTATGTTGAATAAATTTGAGTTCAAAGTCCGGCAGTTTTCAATTCACCAACCCAATAACTCAAAAGTACCAAAATTTGAGTCAATCAACCCCACAATCCTTGTTTTTCCCATTCCGTTGTTCCCAAAAAGCAACCTTGTTTTGTCAAATTTCGAATCAAATCCATTATCCAGTAGATCACCAAATGGTTTTGGGGAAAAGATATTGCCGAATTGGGTGATGCCCGCCAGTCACGAGGGCGCGCGCTTTCCGGCACTCAAATACGGCTATTCCCGAAAGCAAAACACCTTTTCCAAGACTCTTGATTCCTTTTCTCCTTTACTCTTTACCCTTTCTCTTTTTTCTGTTTCACTCTCATCCATCAAGGCTGTTCAATGTGTTCCCCTCTATGGTTATCGGCAGAGTTTTTGCCGTGATCTCTTCTTTTTGAGACTTGAGCATCCCTCGTGCCCATTTTGCGCGCTCGCTCAAATCAGCTGTTTCCTTGAAAATCGGTGTGACGAAATGTGAGATGTTTTGAAGCAAATAGAATTTTTACTGTCCTTTATTTTGAAAACAAAGTCGTTGATGAGCTTGGAAATTGTCTGCAAGTCTTATCAAGCAAAAGAAAAGGTTTTTGAAGACTGATGTTGAGATGAGTTTACGCTAGTTGGAATTGGGTATACTTTTGAGTGTTTCTTATCACACATTTAGGTTATTTGCCATATCACTAATTGCAAAAGAAGGATACGGTAAAAAAAACAACGCAGTACTACAAACACTGTCACTTTCTAAGATCTACAGGAAAAGCTACTGCCTTTTCCTGTAGCTACTGCCTTTTTTAATCAAAAAGGTGATCAAGATGAGCAAATCCTTAGCCATTCTTTGATGATTTTTGACTAGATTAAGCCCTGAACTAGACAAAAACCTTGAAGAATTAGCTCATATTAAATTGAATACTAAATCTTGCACTCTTCATTTCATTATCTAAATGAATGAGTCTCAAACTGCCAAATATTAATCGATTTTTTTCATTATAAATGTTTATCCTTTATTTTTAGTCATTTTAAAACAATTTTTAATATTCTTGAATAATAGAAATAAGAGAAAGCGAAAATCGGTATTTTTAAAAATATTAAAAAAAATAGCACATAAAGAAAGCCGCCAAACGGATTATTCTGAAATTTTGGTTGTAGAACTAACTTTTTCTGTGCTAGCTTTTTTATTTTGTCATCAAAATAGGTTTTATTGGAAGAAACGGTCTAAATCATCGAACCTTGTCGCTTTTAGAGACTCGGCTCTTTGCTAATGAAAAACCTTCAAAACAAAGCTTTTCAAAAACTTTCAAAAGTCATTTACAAGAGAAATGGTTGGCCTACCGTATTCTTTCTAATAGTAGTGCACCCCGCCAAGCCGAGAATCGAACCTGGATCGAACCTGTGGGATCGAACCTGGATCGAACCTGGATCGAACCTGGATCGTGACGAGCGCGCTCTCAGCTGCGCCACGGCGACAAAAACTGCTGTTTTTTCCCTAATAGTAGTGCACCGAACCGAGCCGAGTTGATGACTATTTTACGGTTTCCAGGCTTTCGCAGAAGCTCAACACTCTAATCCCCCACAAGATCTCATCGTCAGCTACATTTTCCGACCCCACATCGATAGGTTCTGCTAAGCGCTTTTCGAGGTTTGGAGCAATTCAGGCAACGCTCAGGATGAATACTATTAGAGAATACGGTATCTAATGAAAAAAGCTGTATTTCATTTGGTAGCTTAAAATATTCAATTAGAAAATGAATTTGGGTAAAAGACTCAACCTAATAGATAACGTAGATAATCTATTAAGTTACTTGACTAAAGTTTAGATCATTGATATATTGAGTCCGGACTTCTTTAAGTATTGTCTTGGTGAAGGCTAATCGCAAGCCATTGATTTAAATTTAAATTCCATCACTATCGATTCCAAATACCCCAATAGCTCTACAACCTATTTTCAATATTCTTTTTGATGAAGTCAGCTGTTCGATCCCCAATTTCTCCCATCATTTTTTCACCCAGGTTTTCATTTTTTTATCTTTTTTTCATCGCTCCGAGCCCACGAGCTCATTGATCGGACATTTCGAAGCCTTTTCCCGAAAGACTACTGTAGCTATGGTTGACCCGCGTGACCCCATCATTTCCTTTTCCTTACTCATCAAAATTTCAACAAATCATTCACGAGGCTATTTCGAGAAAGCCGGTTTTCACAAATTTCGCAGCCGATTTTCACAGTCGGCCTTTTTTTCGTCGATAGCTTATTTTTGTTGACGATTTTCTTCTTTCTCTTCTCTTCTCGAACTGTTTTTGTGTTTTTGAGTCAGCAGCTCTCGACGATAACCTTGACCATTCTTTTTCGGATTTTCTGTTTCTTAATGAAATTGTTTCATTTCATAAACTTATAGATTTGTAAATTTTATGAATTTCTTTAGTTTCGTAGTCCTCAACGTTCAAAAATCATTTCAAATATCAATTTTTGCATTACCTTTTTTTACTGTGACGTTTTCTTTAGGCAAAAGAGGCAGAACTTGATGTATTTTTGTTGAGAAGTTAACGAAATTTCAAAGTTTAGGTAGATTAATAAAGGTAGAATAGTGTTTTAAGTTAGCCAAAGACTTCATTGTGATCCTTGCTACAGATTTTGACTATAGATTATTCAAATCCGCAGAGTATAGTCAAAAATACTTCCATAACAACTCCATAATTAGACCAAAGTTGAGAAAACGTCGATGACTAAAATAAAATTATTTCATCTCCCTTGAGAATCACTTTAACGAGCCGACGAAATTTAACGAATTCCAGCTTATTACCCCTTTGAAATTAATTTGTTGATTAAAGATTTCAATAACACGTTTCAAGTCAATATGAAGTGAAGTTTGAAGTGAAAACTGGAGCACTTATCAAAACTTAGTCATGCCAATGGGGAAATTTTGGCCCTGGAGCCTAGAATTTTGTGTTACATGTATCAAATCGGTTGATAAGTGTAGTCAAACAAAAGACTCATAGCCTAAAGTAAGAAAGAGTTTCGGTTTAAGGTTCTAGAGATAAGCAACGCAAAAAAAACCGATATTTAGTCTAATTCTAAGAGTTCAGCAAAGCAGAATGGTTAATCTTTAATGCTATTTATGTCTATGATAGCTGATTCTTGCTTTTAAATCAATTTTCCGGCATTAATGTTGTACTTTACAGGCATGACTTTACTTTACAGGCTTTACATGTTAAAATCTGTTCAAACTTTAGGCAGAAAATGTGTTCATGGATAGCTTTATTCAAACTACAGTATATAAGAGGAAAGAATACAACTTTTTTTGGCAAAAGAGCAAGATCATTTTTCTAATCGTCTTTGCGAACTAATGATAGGAGAAATTAAAAGTACCGTAATCTAAACTTAAAACAGTATACAGGCTAAAAGATTCAAAAGACAAAAGATTCATGGCAAATGCAGTAAATTGTCTAGCTCTTTAGACACTATAGCAAGCTATTAATCTAATTACATTTTTGAGCTTTAATCTTTGCGCACTTTATCTCATTGCCTGAATAAAGTATCTATTTATATTATAGTAAGAAAAGAAGCTAAAAGTGTGATATACCATAGCTTGCAGGCGGAAAAAAGCGAAAAATTGAATATCTTTTAATTATCAACAATTTCAACAACAACAACAAACAAAATTTTCAACAAATTTTCAACTGAAAGTTTGTCAACAAGTCAACAAATGGGGCAGCTACGTTTTTCGGCTTTTTTCCGTCCCAGTGCTTGTCCCATTTGTTGGGTTTTGTTTTGAAAAGCAATGATTAAATTTTCCGCTTACAAGCCTGCATAGCACAACGTACTTTCTACAATGAACTTAAGATCAAAAGTCTTTTCGTTATGTCCTTTTCCTAGCTCTTTCCAAAGGGATGAGAGATGATTGAATAATGACTGGAAACATGCATTGTCTTTCCTTCCCTTTTTCACTCGATCCTTTCGCGCCAGCCGATCGGCCCTAAAAAGAATGCTCACGGAGATAGCCAAGAAAAGACACAGGCCAAGGACACATTTGCATATTCTTTTTTTTTCTTTGGCTATCCTAGAGTCCTTAGCCTAAATGAGTGAGATCTTGGAGAGCATTTCTTTTGGTGCATTCATTCGGAGATGGTTTTGATGAGTGCCTGCATCTATTATACACAGTTGATGTTTATTTTGGTCTGGGAAGGTCTTGGAT